CAATTAATTAATATTATGTAGATGTCAACAGAAAATAAAAATAAATTCATTATTTATTTTTTTTTATTCTCAAAAATAAAAAAAAATGCCCGATTTTGTTTTTATTAAAATAATAAAAATATGTATTTTATTTACAAAAAAATTACCTTTTCTAAAAATAAAATAGTTGTAAATTTTTTACAATTGTTAACAATTAACAGAAATAATAAAAATAAATAATAAAAATAAAGGTGCGGTATTTTTTGTAAAGGAAAAGTTGAAATAAATTCTAAAACAAAATTGGGTTAAAATAGAAAATAAATTATTTAAATATTAAATTTTTTGTTAAATTTTATTACTGTCTTGTTAAAAGATATATCTATCAGGTATATCTTAAATGGGGGGGGGGGTATATTTTCTATGACTCCTCCCCTAATAGCCAACCAGATTTTAAAAATTAAACTAATGTTGCCTCGGTAGCTCAATTGTTTGTAGATCAGGGCTGTGCGCTATGACGTTTTGGCGTTGCGTTTTGGCGCACAGCCATGTTGTCGATGACCTGTAAGCGTGTAATCGAAAGCCTGACAAGCTTCAAGAAGTTGCAAAAACAACTCCTGTTAGATGGATAAATTTTTGCTAAACTCTTACTAAAGACCTTGCTTTACACTATTTTATTATCAAAATAATTCATTTACAAAAAGTTTTTAAAAAAAACATTTTATAAGACAAATAAAATATTTAATTATCTAATTAATTATCTAATAAATCATCCATTTTAATTAATTTGCTAGTACTTGAATGTTGGGTAGTTAATGTAGATGGAGGCATTTGTGATGGTGTTAATTGGGGTTGTTGTTGTTTTTGATTGTTTGGTAAATTATTTTGTTGTAATAATTGTTGTTGTTGTTGTTCATCCTCACTGAATAAAATCTTCAAAAAATTAGAAATTTATTTATAGACATTACAGTAGGGGTCGATCGGAAATGACGAAGGTGCCGGAAATCGGAACATCGGAAATTGGAAGGAAAAAGAACGTCGGAAGTCGGAATTCCGATCGACCCCTGCATTAAATTTCTGTGACGGTCAGTCAATCTATTACTATTTTTTGAGACCAATAAGCTAATAAACTTTCTTCAGTGTTGGTCCACAATAGCCCGATCCCTAATATCTCACGACTTAGCAGTCGGAAATCGGGAGAAAAGCATGCCTAGACCAACTTAAAGGAGACAAGGTGGCAAGGACTTGGATTTACTTTTAAAGGAGGAAAAAGTCTAAAAATCCGCTCTAAAAATAAGGGAGGCAAGGTCTTGGGGATTTATTAGAGTTTCACCGGAAGTTCCGGTTCCGGTTCCGGTCAAAATTTCGGTTCCGGTGAAACACTAGGATTTATACGGCTTTTGAGGATAGATATCCTCAAGCTAGGCATTCAAGCTAAGCATTTTAGGAGTCGGAATTCTGATTGAAACTTGCATTACAGGTCTGTTTGTTTATATTTACCCACATTTCCTTTAATAGAGCCTTAAAAGTTCTTTACCTTATTTTGTTGAAAATCTGCATTATCTGCCATTTTTATTTGTTTTTCTTTTCTTTCTGTAGCTGCTTTTAGGGGAGAATTTAAATAGTAATAATGAGAATAAGGCAAGAAATTATTAGGAAGTTGATTATCTTCAAGAAAAAAATTTCTTTCATACTAAAAAAATATTTCTATTCCAACCCTGTTTTTGTAAAAATTCATTCGAATAAAGCTCTCCAAAAGGCTCTGGAGGTCCTTCAAACTCTTCATTATTAAAATATTTATTGCCTAAGGGCATAAAAGTACTCTGGGGATTAAAAAGATTTGTGGTTGTTGTTTTATATGGGGAGGGCATGTAATTATTATTGCAAACCCCACAACTTGCTCTACAATAATTTAACATAAATTCCGGAATTTTTTGACAAAAATTTAGTTTTGCCCAATTTGGGCAGCCAAAAATGTGCGAATCTCTGCAAAAGAAAGGTTGGTTGTTGAAAGGTTGATTGGTGGAGAAATTGTCGTTGTAATTGTATTGAGAGGTTGTTGAGGGGCTATAAGGTTGGGTGGAAGAAAGGGTTGGTGATTGTTGAAATGAAGGGTTTCCACCTCCATTATTGTAATAATTAGTCAAGTAATTCGATGATGGACAGGGGACACCACAAGAAATTGGACAGTTTGCAAGTGTGTTTGGACTGTAGGTACATTTGCCTGAACTTGCTTGTAATGCACAAGTTGTTGATTGGTCAATGCATTGCAAGGAAGGGCTTAAATTGCAAAATTTGGGTATTGTAAAGATATGCATCAGGGGTGTGCCAAAATTGATTTTGAAAAGAGAAAAAGGAGGGGCGAAATCCCATAAAGACGAAATTTGACGAAATACGAAAGGCGAAACACCAAACGAAATTTAGCAAAGGACAAAAGGCGAAAGTGGGCACACTTCTGATACATTTGCGTGCAAAACCGTTCAAAAAATGTAAAAGTGGGAGAGAATTGTGGCCTCTAGAAAATCTTCAAAAAAAATTCTTTAAATGAGAGAGACCTAAAAAATTTTTTTGGGTCAACCTACTTATATCCTCCTGACTCTCCATAACCATATCCTGAAGGATAAGCAATGCCTGGCTGCCAATAAGAATTAATTCCGAATGGTGGCCCCTAAAATATCTTCAATCAAAAATATTTCTAATTTCTCCACCTCATAACCACTCTGTCCATAATTACCATAAGGGGTCAAGTAAAAGTAACTGGACTTCCCGTATGGGGGAAATGAAGAAAAAGGTTGTTGACTTAGGGAGGAATAAAAATGATTATTATTATTAGAGTATCCAAATTGTTGCTGTCCATAATTAAATACAAAAAATGATAAAAAGGCAAAAAAATGAAGGAATGAAAATTTCGTTGGCAAATGAATAGAAATTGAATACATCTTTAAAATATTATAAATTAATTTTTTTATTCACCCCCAGGGATCTTAAATCTAGTATTGGGCGTGTTGAAACTGCATTATCCATTTTAAACTAATACTCGATGTGGGTCGAAAGGTACATGTCAGGGTTGGATTTGCTTACGCCTTACTCCTTCAGTCCCGCAGAATTCTGTCATTTTTGAGACTTCACCAGTCTTCTTCTTCTGCGTTTTTTTATTTCATTCAGCATTCTTCCTCTTCCGCTTGTTAAAATTCAAAATTCTCCAACCCTGCTACATGTCTTTGTTTTTAGATTATTTTAGATAAAATTTGCAGCTTAAACTTTTCCTAGCCTGTAGAATAGATAAACAAAATAAACATACAAAATTAGGCATAGAACTAAACGTCTGAAATTGCAAATAAATATTTATATGACATGTTTAAAAGACACTTTAAACGCTTTATAATATTACAAGGACAAAAGTATATTAAAAGAGATAATCCTTTATTATAGAACAATACATGACAAAAATATAATAAAAGGTGTTTTAGTTATGAAACTTGTTTTGATGGAAAAAAATTTTTAGGCACAACCTGGAACAGACAGGAAAAAACCAAAATGTTGGAAAGATAAGTTACGCAAGAATAATAATTTTTTATTAAACATAAATTATAAAGTACATTAAATTTGTTGATTTTTGATGCTATATATAGGAAATTTGGCTATAGCTGTTTGACATAACTCTTGTGCTTTAGAAAACAAATGTCCACCTTCAAGCCCAGCGGTGTCCGCAATTGCGGATTGTGTTTCATTTGCGGGCACTCCTGTTCGAGCCTTTCCTTTTAGCAATAATGAAAACGACCAGTCAGTGGTTATTTGAGTGGTTTCCAACATAGTTGATCTCTCACGATCAAGTCCCATCCAATTATTTGCAATTTTCTTGAATGGGTTCGGCCCTATTTTATGACATCATTCTCTTTTTTTTATAATCATTTTGATTGATGTGTTGAAACAAATAAACTTTTCAACTAGTGTTGTCGGTTCTGGACCGAACCGAACCAAAGAACCGAGGATTTTCTGGTTCGGTTCTTCGGTCCGGTTTCGAATATCTGAAGAATTTTCGGGAACCGACAACCCTATTTTCAATATAATTTTTTCCTTTAACCAAAATTTCACCATAATTTTCACCATAATTTTTATACAATTAAAAACTATAACTATCCATAATCTCATTGTTTTTTAAATTCGTTTTAGTAAACAAATTACTTTTTTAATATTATACTAGCTGTCTAGCTCAATTTTTATGTTTGTTGCTCGCACATTTTCAAGAGGCACATAAAAAAATATAGAAAAATTTAAAAATATATGCTATTTAGATAAAGCTTAGAAAATAGTGCAGCAAAGAGACATGCATTAAAATAAAAAAAAACATTCGTGTGCCGTTTTAGACTAACCCCCCTCACATATTGTGTGTGTTTTTAAAATAAAGAGAAGAAGCATTCAATAAATTTTATTCTTAGTTTTGGCTTTATTTGATAAATTATATTGTCATTATTATTAGATTTGTGAGACATTTTAAAAACTATATAAACCAGGCATAGACAGGGTTACTCGATATCTGAAACCCAGTCTTTTTTTCGACCCGAACCCTGATCCGAAAGAAATTTCGAGGAAAGATGGTTCAGAGAAAATTTCAAAACACTTACCCGCCTATCAGAACCAGAGATGCTGGGCCAAAATCCGAAACCCGGTTTCTTCGGCTCTGAACCATGTCAGAAGAAAATTGAAAAAAAAAGAAAAAGCCAGTCCAAGAAAATTTCAAAAATCCATACCCGCCTATCTGAACCAGGAATGGGCCGGGGTAACTGAAATCCGAAACCCGATCTTTTCCGACTCTAACCCTGATTCTAAAGAAATTTCCTGAAAGCTAGTTCAAGAAATTTCGAAAACCCGACTTGATACCGAAATTTCGCAAATCCAAAAATCGCACCCCAATCCGATGATATAATAGCGAACCCCCAACCCTAACCCCAATCTAACTTTTCACTCAATTCACGACCTAATCTAAACTATAAAAATTATTTTTGATTTTTAATAAAGGTGAATCCTCTTTTTTTTCTCCTTGCAACATCAAATTAAATTTTTTAAAATTTCTTTCCCTAATGAATCAACCAAATAATATTTATTTGGAAGAAAAGTGCGATGAGGAAGACGACGAAATTCAACAAATAATTTTAAACAACCAGAAAAATTTTGAAAGGGGAAATTTAAAGAAAATTTCTCAAAGTATTTCGGCACATGCTAACTTGGTTTTTTTAGTCTAAATAAATTTCAAAAATTAAAAATTAAAAGGATTTCCAATTTAAACATAAAAAGCTTTTGGAATTGGATGGTAGAGAGGAGGAGGAGAATAAAATTACGAATAAATTAAATTTCGAAAATGGTTGTCATGTAGATGAGGAGGACAGCGATGAAGAATTGTATATTTTAAACTTTTATTTATTCCTTACACTAGGGTTGAACCTACCTAAAATCGGGATCGAGATTTGTAATAATGACCCCAACCCTGGTCCCAAGCGGGATCGGGCATGGCCAAAATTGAGATCGAGATTAAAAAAACCGGGATAATCTCGCCCGATCCCGGCCGGATTCCCATCCCGCTCAACCCTACAGTCGAACTTCACTATCAGGTACACTATATTAGTGTTCGCAGTTGCCTAACGCAGTTGTCTAATAAGGTTGGCGGATCCGGATATCCGGATCCGAAAAAAGGCCGGATATCCGGAAATTTTCGGTTCGGATACCGGATCCGGATATCCGAAATTTTCGGTTCGGATATCGGATCCGGATCCGGATATCCGAAATTTTCGGTTCGGATATCGGATCCGGATATCCGAAATTTTCGGATCGGATATCGGATCCGGATCCGGATATCCGAAAATTTCGGTTCGGATCCTAGAATTAGGGAAAAAGGAAGAAATCTTGCCCAAAGGCTTTCCAAATTTCTCAAAATTTTCGCCTGCGGCGCTGAAAAATGAACAAATCTGGTAGCCCAGGCTTTCAAAATTTACAAAATTTTCGCCTGCGGCGCTGGAAAAGGAACATCTGGTAGTCCAATCTTCCAAAATCCCCAAAATTTTCGCCTGCGGCGCTGAAAATTGAAGAAATTTGGCTTTAATTGCTTCCAAAATTACAAAAAATTTTCGTCTGCGGCGCTAAAAAGTGAATTTTTTGGCCTACGGCCTTCCAAAATTTTCAAAATTTTCGCCTGCGGCGCTGTCAGTGGAAGAAATCTGACTTAAGGATCTCCAAGTTTCTCAAAAATTTCGCCTGCGGCGCTTAAAAAGGAAGAAAAGGGATTTGTATGATAACGGAGGATTTACTTCAAAATCCCTCAGTATTCTCTTAATCCCACGATCCCAGCTATCAATTTACCAAATTCAGAAATATGGAAATAGCCGATGTATCTACTACTTCCCCCAAATCCACTAAATTCTAACAAATCATCAGATAAACTAAAAATTTTCCACACATTGATTACACCAAGATAACTCTGTTAAGCATAAATTCTCTCGATAACACTGTTAATCCCCAAATCCAATCATAATTGCTCCTAATCCCTTTGCATCCTCCATAAGACTCAACTTTTCAGCGCCGCAGGCGAAAATTTTTAAAATAAAAATTTCGGTTCCGGATCCGGATATCCGAAAATTTCGGTTCGGATATCGGTTCCGGATCCGGATATCCGAAATTTTCGGTTCGGATACCGGATCCGGATATCCGAAATTTTCGGATCGGATACCGGATCCGGATCCGGATATCCGAAGATTTCCAACTATCCGCCAACCTTATTGTCTAACACTACACCTGATACCAGGGATGTGTCAGTTTCGCCTTTCTATTTTCACCGGATTTCGCCTTTTTTGGTTTTCCTCTTTTGCTTTTAAAAACCGATTTCGACACATTTCGAAAATTTTAATAGTTGGTTGATCACTGGGTTCATTTTTCCAGCCCTCTGGGTTTGTATCTTTAAGTGAACTTCGACGTGTATTTTAAAAATATATTAAATGCATCCCATAATGAATCATTCTTCAAAACAGTTTCGCAGCACATTCTTCGCTAATTCCTCTACGAAAATCCAAGTCCGCGTTAGCTGGGTTTACCTCTCATCTTGGTACTTCCGCTTCTCATTCAAAGCCGCTTCTCTGTTCAAAAATAGTTAAAGAAGGTATTAATGACAGTCAAGAAGAAATTATGGAAATGATAGATTTGCGTAAAGGAGACATTTTACAGGTAAAATTTACTTAAATTAACTTAAGATTGCTTCACTTAAGATTGCCTCAAAAATCGGCCCTAAACCTTGGAGACCCATAAAACTAGCCAAGAGGTATCCATGGGGTATCCTTATTACCCCCTTACTCAAGGGGGTATACTTAAGGGTATCTAAAGGGGCCCCCTTGGTCTGATACTCCTTGGTCTAATTCTAGATGGTATCAAATGATATCCGCTTAATGTCCTCTTAAATGATCTCCGTTTGATAAATTTTTTTCCATTTTTCTAGTTCCGCATCGAGGATGAACTCAAAAACAACCGAAAACATTCGGATAATATAGCTGGCTGTTCTCCATCCCAATATTCACCCATCCAAACTCTTCCCACATCTCCTGAACCGCAGAGCCAACACCAACTAGAACAAGATTGTTGGTCAGCCCCAGCATGTCCAAATGACTCCCCAGATTCTTTTGAAATTGGGGAGGGTGATGAAGAATATTCTAAAGATTTGAACATGTTATCTTCTGAAAAGCAAGACTTGAATTATCGAAAAGAAAGTAGCTGGTCGGCCCCCGGCCAATTTAACAGTGAAATGATTGAAATACCAATGCAAAATGAGAAGAAAGAGGACAAGATTGATGGAGAAAAGTTGAGGAAAAAGGATATTTTTACCGGTAATGAAAGCAACGATTTGATCCCTATGGCGGATGATGATGGATCCAATACACCAAATTATGCTTCTTTACATGGTGGATATCTGACTTTACCTCCCGGTTTTAAATGTCACTCAGCTGTTGATAATTCAAGTAATTTGATTATTAATACTTACACATGGCAATTTAAAATATTTTTTAATTTGGATGCCAAAAGGTAGCTGCCTAAACGATACCCTCCATTTAAGATACACCTCAATAAGATCATACCTTGTTTTTAATATTGGCGGATCATAGGAATCCTCTAATATACAAATCCGATATCAGGACCGAAATTTTTTGGATATCCTGGCTTCTTTAGGATCGAGATATCCTTATCTGCCAACCCTAATTGTTCGTCCCCATCTTTATCTTTTAGTGGGGTTCGACCGTATATTTTTTAAATTTGGATACCAAAAGGTGCCAATTTTATGCCAATTTTTGGAAAAAATATTTTTCCACTTCAAGAATTATCCGATACAATGAACTCTTCATTCTCTTCCTACTTTTCCGACGACGAAGATGAACAGAGTCCTGATTTATTCCATTCCCAAAGACGTAAACGCCAACAATTAATGCACCATTCAGCAGCAATGCGTCTTTGTAAGCGTGGAAGTCCTCCTTTTGCCCAGGCAAGCGAAATCCGATTCCTATTTACAAATCTAATTTTTAGATTGATTTACTAAGCGAGTCTGAAATTAGTGATTTAGAGCAGCAAATAGCTAGCGGTTGTTTGGTAAATCGCGATCGAGTCTTGACAACAAATTATGAAGGGGATGAGAGGACTAACAAGCATTCAAGCATAGATTACGAATATTCTGACCAAGATTTGGAAGATTTTAAGCAACAAAAACCTAGCAATAATGATGATAATGAGATGCATTCATTTGAAACTGAAAAATATTGGTATGACTCAAGGATGGATCGGGATACTCGATAGCCGAAACCCGAACTTTTTCGACTCGAACCCGAATCTAAGGAAAATTCCATATTTTCCTCAACCCTTACCGTCCCTGCTACGACTGGATTAAAAATAGTAACTAAAACTGACTCCGGGTATAACATCACCTTAGAATGAGCTATTAGTTAACCCAATATTCGTCGTTATTACTAAAAATTTGCCTTTTTTAAGTCATCATCATCTACCGCAAATGAGATTTCATTATTCAATGCCTGCAATCGTTAACTCCTTACAAGATTCAGTACCGGATAGGGTAAAATTTCGTCGATCTGATACTGAAGATTTTTTGATTGAACGGAAAGCTGGTACCTCGAGTGAATGTAAGGGCTTAATATTTTCTTTAAAATTCTAACTAATTCCCCTCCTTTATATTTACAACTCATTAAATAAATTTATTTCCCATCCAGGCACATTATAGAGGATTTTACGAGTATTTATTTTCCCCCATCTGACATCCAACTACTTTTCTAAGAATATAGCTAACCATCTCTCATTTTGTGTCTAAACTAATTTTAGCCGAGAAAAATCCTCATGACTTCCATTCTTAGCTTTGTGTCTCTCCTTTTTGTGCCACTTTTAAGGAAAAATCGATTCTGGCAATTTTGCCGTGTTTTAAACTCCATTTTTTGGTTGCTTAATTATCCACACATCATAAAATAGGCTTCAAAAAAGTCCCAAAAATTTTCCAAAAATTTCAGTATCCAACCATCAATCCCCCCTCAAACAGGATGATTTCTGCAACACCCAGACTAACCAAAATGTAACACCCTCAACTCTATCAGATTGTGAAACTGAAGATAAATTGCCTGCATTCAACCCCTCTATACCTAATAATAGGCAACATTTGTCATTGTCATTCACCTCTAAACGTCGCCAATTACCAAAAACACCATCCCCTGAGGACCCACTTGAACATATTGATATTGCTACTGCCTCTCGTGAACGGCTATTGGACGTACTTAAACAAACTTATCAACTGCTAAATTTAAGCAGGGAGAAGGAAGGAGGAAAGAATAAACATCTATATATGAATTGCGAGGATCAACTAGATCATAATAGAGAGAAGGTACTAAAGATATTTAGAAATTATATTAGAAGTCCAAAAATCTTCTTAGACCGATGCTTTCCTATCTCAGAAAATCGAACGTTTTCACAACTCCAAAGCTAGATGGTTCCAACTTTTTGAAGGTTCCTTGGCTTACGAGCAGCCGTTCCTAAAATTGTTCCAGAAACAGGGAAAGCACCACTGCTCAAGATCAAGACTTCCCTTCCCCCTCCCCCAGGCCGAAACCCCTTATGAGTCATGTTTCAATACCAAAGCCCTAATTCAATACTAAACCCTCTCTAAAATGGACCTTATAAAAATTATATTCACAGGATGAATCTAAACTTCCACTGCAATCTCTCCCTTCTCCCTCTGTACTTCGCGAAATTCAATCTAAATTGCCCAAGAATTGTTGTAGAGCTCAAGCCTTGGAGGACGAACAGCAGTACACATTCTCCTATGGAATGGATCATTCAGCAAATGCCCGTTCAATAGGAAGACGTCGATTATTCTCAATTGAGGGTAGCTATTATGAAGACAATCTTCCAGGCGTGGCTGCACCGTTGGATGGTGATTATGAGTTCAGGACAGCCAGAGAAGACCACCAGCCTTTGAATGAATTGTATAGTCCAACAGAAAATGACAGGAGTAAAGGTACTTCTTTTATGATTTAGAAGCAGTCCATTCACTATAAGATATCCCCTTGGGTCTGAAATTTGTGGCTTATAATGAGGTGTATGTTGATTAGGAGGTATCGTTTGGGAAGCCCTTCCACCCAATGGTCTACTGAATTTGAAAGTTGTTTTGTGAATAGAGAGGTATCACATATTAAGTTTACCGTTTTTGGCAGCTCCTCCACACACTGGACTACAGAATTGAGGTATCTTATAGCGGGTTATCTTATAGTGTATTGAGAGTGCATCTTATATAATGTGGTATTCAATTGACCTTTAAACAGGATATATTTTTGCCGACGGTGCCAAAAGTAGTTCCGGCATCTCTTCAAGTTGTTATACAAGCTCCTCACGGAGTTGCGAGCTTCCAGACTGTGATCAACAACAAAAAACAACCCCGCGAGAGAGGAGAACGTCCCCTCGATTAGACGACCCTTCAATCGTTCCTACCCACCGTGCCCAGTTTGAATTTATGCCTAGACATGCTGACGAATTGAGATTAGATCGTGGGGATGCTGTGCATGTAAACGAGAAATTTAATGACCATTGGTGCTTTGGCCTGAATCTCCGGTCAGGCCAACGTGGAATATTTCCTGAAGCTCTCATTGTTGAGATAGATTTGGTGGATGAAATTTGCAAAAAAGTTCTTCCTGAGACTAAGATGAGATTGGAACGTGATACTTTTTATTTGACAATGCTTGCTTCTGTTGAAGTTGCCCATCACAAGGGAAACGATATTTTGGTTCAAGCGATTAATAAGGTACTTTACTTTAAGTGGCGTCCGGAATTTTCTAAAATACCGTATTTCATACCGTAATACCGAAGAATACCGATACCGAACAATACTAATAACTGCCGTCAAGCCAAAACATTGGGGCCAAAACCGTTATCCCAAAACCCAAAACACCAAAATATACCGTACTACTGATACAGTATACCGATAGATGCCGAAAATACTTTCGATACTACTGTACCGTCCGAGCTCTAATATTAAGCTCTTCAGCTTTTAAAATAAAATTTTGTTAGGTCTGTTCAATGTATCTACAAAAGGATGAGATCCTTGTACCTCAAACGGTGAGCACCAAATATTTTTTAAAATTCTTATTTAATTTTAAAGGTATTAATGGAAATTTCATTCCGTGGAATTCATGTAATTGACAAACGGAAAAAAGACGTAATTTCAAAATTTTCAAATTTAAATAAAAAAATTTCCCAAAAACAGATATTTCGTTGCCCTACTTTTGACTATTTTTACAGCCTACAGAACATCTCCTTTTGTGGAGCCCATCCAAAAGAATTACGGTAATACTTATTACAGTCGGACCTCGCTTTGAAAAAATTTTAGATTATATGAGGGGTTATCTTAAATTTAATGTGAAACCCGCCCGAAGCCCTAGGTGTTAGATTGGGGGAGTTGTTAGGCTAGGGAGAGTTTAAGTGAATGTTAACCTTGAATCTAGGGTATCTAATAGTCTAATTTTGAGATTATTTTATAACGAGGTCTGAGTACCTTATTCCTCTAATAGAATGCTAGAGCATTTTATTTTTCAATCACCTTCAAAAGGGGTATTCTATTAGAAAGGGGCATTCAATTAAAGGAAATTTAATTCATTCCAAAAATTATTTTCTAAAAAAGGTATTTTGGCTTTATCACCAAACACCCCATTTTGCCTCGCTTCGCTTGCCACGTATTTCTTTCTAATGAATCTACTCAAGCTATTGTTGAAGGTTAATTAATTAACTCTTTAAATATTTAATTAATTAAATATAGCTATTGGACGTGCTTTTAAACGTTCCTATGATGAGTATATGGCTTTTGCCCATCCAACAGAAGATATTTTCTTAGACGAATAATTTTTCTAAAATCCTTTTATCAATTTGAAAGATATATTTCAGTCATTCCATTTGGTTAGGATTGTCGGTTCTTAGAAAATTTTCGGATCAGAGGTGGGTCGGAACAGTCAGAGGTGTCAAAAATCGGAACTGGCTCAAAATTCGGAACTCGGAAATTGTAAATCAGAATTTTTCGGAAATCGGAACTTACCCAAAAGTCGAAAGTCGGAAATTGGAAATCAGAATTTTTCGGAAATCGGAAGTCGAAAAAAACGTCGGAACTCGAAATTCCGACCCACCTCTGCTTCGGATACCTAGAACAGAACCGAAGAACCTGACCAGAAACTTCTTCGGTTCGTTGGTTCGCTTTCAAATCGACAACCCTATACCTACATTTGTTTAAAAGTTTTTCTATTTTTGTATAAAAAGTTTAATTAAAAAACGAAAAACAATCTTAATTATTTGAGTTAAGGTTGTTTCCCGCTAGCACGGGAAGGCTTTAGAAAAAATCTTTGGGAAGACATCGCTAAGGAGGGACTAGGAGACGGGAGAAATCCCCAAAAAAATTCTCTCAAATTTTGCAGCCTTCAGGCACGGGTCCCAATAAGTACCCAACCCGATTTCCGAAAATCGGGAATTCCAGACGTTTTTTGGATCGGGAATTGAATTTTTGTTGAATTTTTATGTTTAAAAATTGAATTTTTAATGTCGGCTGATCCCTGATAGTAAGTACTTAAATATCTGCTTAAATTAATTTTATTTAAATTTATTCTTCATAATTATACCAATTTAAGAATTAAATTTTATTTAAAACGGCTTATTTATTTTTATTTATTTAGCTGTTATTGACAGATTCTCGGACTTTTTTAGAGAGAAAATTTTATTTATTAATTACTCTCTTATTAAATTTTTCTCTCAATTTTATATTTAATGTATGAGTTGGCAATTAGGTAATTAAAGGGTAACCATGGAAATCAACTCTTGTATAATTAATTTTAAAAGTATGAGAATTTAAGATACAATTTCAATTGTAAACAACTTTTCCCTTTAATTGGCAAAACATTTTCAGTCAAAATACCCTCGGGAACGAGTCAAAATACCTTACACCCTATTTTTGTAAAATAAGTTTTTTCGGCTCTACTCTAGTTTATGCGTCCAATTTATTATTTATTTTATTTTATTATTTATTTTACCGACCTTTATGCGTCCAATCAAAAAATAATTAGATTTTTCTTAGTGTTGCAAAGTTGGGGTATGTTACCGAAGCATTTCTTCATGTTCAGGATCTACGTCCACTGGGTCTGGACGCATAATTATTATTGGACGCATAATCTGGAGTAGAGCCATTTTTTCTTACTTTTAAACAGACAATATCATATTTTTGGGTACACCCTATAAGACTTAATACATATAATTAATGATTAAAAAAACTAGCGTTGTTCTCCAGGGATGTGTGTTATGGCGTTTGGCGCATTTAAAATTTTGAAATAATGGCGTTTGGCGTGTCACGCGAAGATTTTGGCGCACATCCCTGTTAATCTCTAGCGAGTTGTTCTCCAGTGAGTTGATCTTTTGGGTTGTCTCGTATTTTAATTGTTAGTGAATTTTTATTGTTTTCTTAGACTATAGTTTTCCGAAAATATTTTTGTATGTTTTGAACTAACATAAAAATTTTTATTTATTTTTTTCTTCCTAAAATTAAATTTCCTTTATAGATTTATTTTTTAATTTTCTTTTTTAAATGCCCCAAGAAATTATGGAGGTTGTGGAGCAAAATCAAACAATTGACTTGACAGCCGATAAAGATGGAGGGGTTTTGAAGACTATAATAAAGTAAGGAAGGGGGGGGGGGGTTTGAAAAATATTTTCTTTTTTAAGGCAAGGAATTGATTTAAATAAACATCCGAGGAAAGGCGACACAGTTTTTATTCATTATACTGGAACAATTAAATCAACTGGAAAAAAGTTTGATGATAGCAGAGCTCGTGACCAACCTTTTTGTTGTTCTTTGGGACGTGGACATGTAAATTAAATATAATTTTTTTCTTAAATTTGTCTCTAAGGCCTTTGAAATTATCCAAAATTTAAAGGCCCGCAACTATCCGGAAATAGCTCCATATGGGAAAAAGCCCGAAAATTGGTATAGGAAAGGGTAATTCTTCGATTTAGACCTCCCCCCACCATTTTCCGGAATCTCTGACCATTCTGAGCTTTCCCTGACAATTTTGACTCAGCTCGAAAAGTTCTTTCGAATGATATTTAATTAGCCATAACAAGATAACAGATGCCGCATGGGATTCAGAAAAATGATGGGGAGATCTAAACAAAAAGAATTCCTGAGGAAAGTAGCCAGACTCTATATAATAGGAGCAGAAAAATTTACAAAATTAACACTCACATTTTGTCTGTGTCCCTTGTTAATCGAATTCGGGAAGCTAGGGGGAAATTGAAGAAAACATGAAAAGTTTCGAAAAAGAGGGCTCATAATGGTCAAAATTGCCTAAAACTATTAAAAAAATTTTGTCCAATTTTTCTTTTCAGATAATTAAAGCTTTGGATCTTTGTCTTATCACTATGTGCAAAGGTTATTTTATTTATAAATTAATTTAAAAATTTTTTTTTAATTTAGGAGAAGTTGCCCGTTTAGAATGTCTTCCAAAATATGCTTATGGACATTCTGGATCGCCACCAAAAATTCCAGGAAATGCAACTTTAATTTTTGAGGTATGTATTAATTTAATTTTTATTTTATTTTAACTAATTTTGGGCAGAGGTTTTAGTTTTTTATAATTTTGTTCAAAAGTTAAGGAGTGGATTGGGGCGTGGTACTTTATTAATATCCCACCCCCACCCCTATTTGAGTCTCAGATTAATTTTTATTTTTTACTGTCAATCATCCTTTCCCTCATAAATTTTAAGCAAAAGGCAAGTTAGAAGGAGAAAAATTAAAAATGAGGCATTCTAACTTGTCATTTATTAAAAACTTGTAAGGAAAAGGATGATTGACAGCAAAAAAGGAAAATTAATCTGAGACTCAAATAGGGGTGGGGGTGGGATATTAATAAAGTACCTGGGGCGTTTGTTATCGTTTAAAGCGTTCAGTCAACATTCAGGCTTTAAAAGAAAAGACAGGGTTCGTCCTCAAATCAGTAGTTCAGTTTGTAGTCCACCAAACCCTCTATTTAATTTGCTAAAAATTTTTTGTAAAACTCTTCTCTTTTTTTAAGATTGAACTTCTAAGTTTTGAAGGGGAAGATTTAAGCCCTGATCGTAATGCATTAATTACAAAATCAATACTCAAAGATGGAAAAGGGAAATATGATTGTCCTCCTGAACATGGAAAAGTTAGAGGTTTTTTAATCTGTATTTTTTCAATTAAAAAATTTTTTTTTCAAGTTCATATTTGTGGAAAAACTGGAAAAGGTAATTCTTTTTATTAAATTAAAATAATTTTTTAAAAAATCCGCAAATTTTGTCCGCAAAAAAATGCGGACAATATTTTGCGGACGAATTTTGCGGATTTGTCCGCAACTTTTTGCGGACACATATATTAATTTCCCTTTATTTTCTTTAAAAATTCACCTAATTTAGGTGAAAACGAACGCATTTTTTACCAAAAAACACATTTGGAATATACTCTGGGTGAAGGATTGGAATATGGTTTGCCTGTAGGTATTGACATGTTAGTTGATTTTTTATGGAAATTTTAAAAATTTTAATTTATTTTTTAGAGCAATTCGAAGAATGAATCGAGGGGAAAAAGCAATTGTTACTTTAAGAGGACATTTTGCTTACGGATTAGACCCGCCCCCATATTATCAAATAGATAAAATGGCTGAAGTGAATTTTACTATTTTCCTTAAGGGATATGAAAAGGTTTGGAAATTTTTTGATTGAAATTTTCTGGAAAATTTTTTAATTTTTTTAAATTATAAAATTTTTTTGAGTAAACCTTGAGGCAATAGAATTTTAAATTTTCGAAAATTTATTTTTTTAATTTTTCTAACAATAAGTTTGATTTTTTTTTGGATATGTTGAATTTTGAAATTTTTTTTAATTTCTAGGAACTTTTTGAAAATTAAAAAAAAATGAAAAAATTAGTAAATTTTTATGTTTCAAATTTTGGAATTTTTTAAATTTTTGTGGAGATACGTACCTTGAGGCAATAAAATTTTGAAATGTTTTGAAGAAATTTTCGATTTTGTTTTTTTTTTTGAAAAATTTTTTTGAGAGTTTAATATCTTTAATTTTTAGATGAGAGCAAATTGGGAATTAAATGATGAAGAAAAACTTGAAAGGGCCCAAAATTTTAAAGATTTGGGAAACGAATTTCTTAAAGCTGGGAAATACAATGTTGCTTTAAATAAGGTTTTTTCTTAATTTTTCTTAATTTTCTAAGCTTTTTTTAAAAAGTATTCTGCAATAATTTATTTAATGGAACATGCAAAATCTATGAAATCTGAGGAGAAAGGAGGGAAGGAAATGGCTGAGAATTTTCAACAAATGTTCTTTTTTGGATTGTTAAATAGTGCTCTAGCAAGTCTTAAAATGGGAGATACACTTGAGGCTATTAAATTTTGTGACAAAGTTTTGGAGAAAAATGCAACGAATGTTAAGGCGTTGTATCGAAAAGCACAGGTTTTTTTTATTTTCAAAATAAATTTTCTTTTAAATTTTAAAAAGAATTTTTCAAATTAAAAATTCGTGAGGAGCCAACTTTTCTTAAAAACCGAAAATTTTTATCAAATTATACAAGAAAAAATTTTTTTTCAACATTTAGGCATATCAACAAAGACAGGATTACGACGACGCTATAAATTATTTTAAAAAAGTTTTGGAAATTGAACCAGAAAATAAAGGTTTTTTATATTATTTAATAGTTTTCGACACGGGACCAAGCCAATTTACTTCTGTGATTGACTAAACGTAAATCTTTTAGAGTAGATAAAGAAACTCGACCTTTGGTCAAATGCAAGAGCGCAGCCAGTTCCCCATTTCAGGGGGAATGTTATGGTCCCAGAAGCCCCCTTGGCTACGCCCTTGGTCAAATGGTAGACGAAAAGTCAAGTTACCCGAACTGACTTTCAACCCGGCCCATCCCTAATAGGCAAGGGTTGATCGAATGTCGAGCAATATCTAACCTCAAAAACACTCCCCTTTTCCAGGATATTTTAAAATAAATTTCCTTTTATTTATTTAAAGCTTCTGCTCAACAAATTATTGAATGTAATAATCAAAAACTTGCAGTTGCTGAACATCAACGAAAGAAATTTAAAGGAATGTTTGGTTAAATTATGAGGGATATACAAAAAGAAGGGGTATTTTTAAATTAAAAAAATGAGCTTTCTCTTCAACTTTTTTTGGGCATTTTTTGGTTTCCATAATATTTTTTTGGTTGACTCTCTTATCACTAGTCATAAATTATATATTTAAATTATTAAACATGTTGCCGTTCAAATTTATTTTCCAAAAAAACTTTCTTTTTTAATGGCCTTGAATCACGAATCTAGCCAACATAACTAATTCTTGATTTCGAGAATCGGGATTTCTCAACCCAAAAATTTCAGTAATTCCTGATTTTAGAGAATCGGGTCAGCTAGATCTGCCCTGGATTATGTAAAAAAATTTTTTGTTTATAGTCTATGGCCTTTTTAAAATTCTATACATTACAAGGGTGTAGCCAGTGGACCTTTAGTCAGGGAAACTTTAAACCTCCTAAAATCCGACCCTGGATACGCTCTTAATTTTTAGCTAATTCATACAAATTTTGAATGGCTATGGAGGTTTTTCTGAAATTTTCTTTAAATTGAATTTTATTTTGATATACTCTTCTCTAGGGTTATCGGTTTCAAACCGAACCAAAAAGCTCAAGATTTTCGATTCGATGGTTTAGATTAACCGATGAATCTGATGAAACCGACAACCCCCTACTCTTCTCTCTAAATTTATGTAAAAAATATTTTTTTTCTTTTTGGGTAAATTTTAAAAATAAATTTGTTCAAATTAAAATTCAAAATAATTTGGAGGAGTTTCACATTCATTTTCGTAATAATCAAAATTTTTCTCATTTCGTATTTCTGCTTCAGAAGCACAATCATCAAACATTTCTGTTAAGGCATAAGAGTGGGGAGGTTGAAGTAGATTAAATTGATTTATTTGGTTTGTTGGTGAAGGGTTGATAATTGGAGACCAACGACGTTTACGTGAATATTGGTCCTTGAAAATTAATTTTTTTGAGTTCTTTGTAGACTACAAGGAAGAAAGGTGATCCAGCTAGCATTAAGCTTACTAGAGAAGAGAAATTAAAACCCTGCCCTTGATTTTTGATTGTAAAGCATATAGCTATTTAATTCCTAAGGCTGTGTAGTAGGCGGCGTGGTGTAATGATAACACATCAGTCCGGTCTACTGAAGATGCTGGTTCGCCCCCAGCGCCGATTAACCTTTTGCACTAGCTAAAGGAGAGAAGCAGCTATAGGCCAGCTGCTTTACTTGATCTTGACCAGATCCTTGACCTTGAGTCAAGGAACATTGAAAAATGCCAGATTTTTTTACTCTGGATCCAAGGAAGATCAAGGTCTGAATCCAGTTCTAGGCCTTGATCTCTAACACCTACCAAGCAGCACCCCGGTAGCTCATTAGGAGGTGAATGAGTAAATGTCAGGAGGTCGTAGGGTCGACGCATACCCTACCCTATCTCAGCTAAAAATTTTTTTTTAAATTTCTACCTCACGCCATTTTGTCCATTCAGTTTGTGTGTAAACATTTTTCTTATTTTTTTGTTTTGTCTCCTTTTCATTATTATTTAGTTCATAATTCGTTAGTGCTGGTTGTTGAATTAATCCAACGGGGAAACATCCAAACAAACTTGTCAATAGAGGGCTTCCCCCAAGCGTAGAAAATGTTTGGGCAAAACGGAGATTTTCGCTCATTGAATTTGCGAGTGCCTATTTTTTTAGAAAATATTATTTTTCTTCTAAAAATAGTCGAAACCTCATCAGACCCTCTTGGAGCTAAAAAAATGTGTATCCTATGATGGGGCGTGTCCGGAAATTTGGGGAGTGGACACTTGGGGAGTGGACATTTGGGGAGTGGATAAATGGGGAGTGAGCGGACACTTGGGGAGTGGACATTTGGGGAGTAGCCTAACGATAAAAATACAATAGAATATTAAATAGTTTTTCTTGCTTTTGTATTTAAAAAAATAAATTAGGAAGCTCTCGAATGAGCTATTATATGCTTTTTCGAATTTTTGACCCTAAAATCCCACCAATGGTATTTGACCATTTCAAACCCCAATATATATAGAAAATAATTAAATTTAAAAAATAATTAAAACTTTTCGACTCAGCTCGAGGAGCTCTTTCGAATGAGCTATTACTTGCATATTCGAATTCTTCACCCCAAAATCGAGCTTACTCCCCCACCCTATGGTTTTTCAACATTTAGGAACTACAACTCGGTCCAGAATCATTTATGAAATTGGGAGTAGTACCGTTCGACTCAGCTCGCCGAGATAAATCGAATGACATATGTCACGCCCCAAACTTTTACCTCCGGTGAACTATCCTATATCCATTTTTTAAATACAAAAGCAAGAAAAACTATTTAATATTCTATTGTATTTTTATCGTTAGGCTACTCCCCAAATGTCCACTCCCCAATTGTCCGCTTACTCCCCATTTATCTACTCCCCAAATGTCCAATCCCCAAGTGTCCACTCCCCAAATCTCCGGGAGCCATGATGGGGTGTATCTTAGAAGGAGGGTACCTTATGTTATTTTAAAATAGAGAGTATTTCTTAGCCCACCCATCAAATTTTGAACATCGTATCTCTTAAATAGAAATTACCCATTATAAGGAGGTAATCTTATATAGAGGGTATCCCTTACGCAACTCCACCCATCCTCCCATCAATCAGAATTTATAAAGCTCTGTATCTTAAACTGAGGTTAAGATTAGAGACCTGATCGAGACGAGATCTCGATAAAAAATCTCGGTTACCGAGATCGAGAATTTTTCGAGATCTCGATTCTCGCGCGACCTCCCTCCCTCCATCTCAGTCCGATCTCTAGTTAAGATTTGGGTGTATCGTATAAAGAGGTTCGTCTGTGTATTATTTAAATACCGTAATTATCGGCAGATAAAGCAATATATTTCCAAAAGTAATATTTGCATTACAATTTTGTCGATATTCCTTTAAATTTAAAAGTGTTTTCTTTTCAATTTCTAACTTCAAAAATACTTTAATAATTTGAAATAAAGTAGTGTATATTCTGTCTCTTAAAGAATAAATTTTGTTGGAAGCAACTTCTGATAAGTCCCTTGCCACTTAAATTATAAATAAGTTAGACGTTGATATTTTTCAAGAAACAAACTTGGATTGAGCACAAGAATGGCAGAAACACAAACATAAAAATCGAAAGAAATTTTTAAAAAATTTTTTTTAAATTTACAATTTCCTCTTCGCTTAAATGAATTCTACGGAAAGGTGTAACAAGTTCATTAAGTAAACGATCCACTAAACCGTTGTCGAGATGGCTAAAATATAAGGGGAATTGGAGAATGCTTTATTTTTAAAAGCTGGCATATGAAATCCCTTTGGGCTTAAAAATAGGTGTCTTATAATGAGATGTTTGTTAAATAGAGGGTATCTTATAATGAGAGGCATCTTAAATAGAGGGTATCATATATGAGTGTATCCTAAATAGAGTGCCTTATAATGAGGTGTATATTAAATAGAAGGTTGCCTATAATGAGATTTATGTTAGAGGGGCATCTCCTTGCCAGGTCCTCCACCCAATGACCACACCCAAATTTTAAAGAAACGTATCCTATACCGTGTATATTTTTAACCTATCTTATACCGAGGTCTAACTATAATAAATTTAAAAAATTCATACTAGGCATCATTATAAGCTTTGCTAATGTTTCTAGGGACATAAGCAAAATTGCAAAGGCAAAGCATATCCTCATTTTGAGTAACAACTGCTGTCCGGGCCGAGCATTTGAATAAAGTTAAAGGTCCAAAACAAGATTTAACAAGAGAAATTCTTCAAAAAGACTTGTATTATTCACCCAACCCCCTCCCTCCCTACCTATCTTCAATAGACAACCCTCCAACTCTATCAGCCAAAGCCTCTACCCAATCTACAGCTGCAATTAGACGTCGATACACAACAACGAAAAATTCTTCGTTTTTGGCCATTCTATAGGGTTCATAGCGCATCTTTATGTGAACTTTTATTTTACAAATAAGCTATAATCCACAAGATCACCCCAAGGCATTATAATTACCATAACTACTATAAAGCTATGGACTTCTATTTTAAATAGGGCTCATTAAGAGGCAGAAACTGGACTTTTATCGTTGGACTTTTATCGCCTTTATTGGAAATGGTTCTCTAATGGAGATGGGCTTTTATTAGAGTTTAAATGTTTAGTATATGATCATAGCGGTTGATCTCGTGGGATTTCCCTTCTAAAGTGCAAAATTGGTTTCTCACCTCAGTTCGCCTTCCCATCAATTTTTTAGGTTCTTCAATAATTTCTCTAATTGTGTTTATTCGTAATGGGTAAATGTCTGCAGCATCGTGGGTAGTGTCCCCATGGACAACCTTCAGAAAAAAAATTTTTTTGAAATTTTTGGAAAATTTTTTTTAAAAATTTTTCAAAAATTTTTAAATTTTCTAAAAATTTTTTTTTCTGAAAAAATCCTTGAGAGAGATCTATAAAATTGCGAACAAAATTAAAAATTTTCGGCTTTTTGGGAGAGAAGAGAACACAACTTTTGCTTCAATATTTTGTAGAGTCATTAGCATTGTGCGCAAATCAACAGGCAATTTTTGACTTAAATTTTTTGTTTTCTCATCGTTGTTATTTGTTGTTTTTTCATCAATTGAACTTAAACGTCTGCGAATTGGTGAAAGTGAAAATCGATGTGTTTCTAATTGTTGTTTTCCGGTTAGTGAACGGTCAGGGCGAACAGCTGTATTTTTTAGGAATATAGTTGGAGCTCATTATAAGATCTCCCCCCCCCCCATTTGGGAGAAAATGTCGTGTCTTATAATGTGGTGTATCCTAAATGAGGGTTAAGATAGCCCAAAATTTGGTTGGTCACAGTGTGGGTGGCAATTCAAGTAATACCCTCTATTTAATAAACACCTACCTTACTATAAAATACACCCAATAAAAGATACACTCAATAACCCTCAATACTAAATGCTAGGGTAGGGGGCCCGCTCAGGTTCGAAAGATCGAGTCGGGCATCGAATTTTGGCCCGAAAATGTCTCGGCCCGAAAAAATGACTCGAACGTCGGCCCGACTCGAAAACTAAATCTAAGAAAAAGAAAAGTAAAACTACGCCCGACTAAATCCCTCCTATCTAAAATTCACTGAGTGGAGTTTAAGTGATACCTTCTATTTAACATACATCTTATTATAAGATACGATTTCCATCACCTAAGGGTCTATATTATAATAAGGTCTGACTGTAATCTTGGAATTTAATTTTCTAAGCTTCTAGCTAAAATCCCTTTTCTAAAAGAAAATAGAATTACCAGCGGGGTCCATCCCAACATCCAAACATTTTTGGAGGCGACAAGCTCGGCAAGAAGTTCGTTCATCTTATTAAAATTAATTTAAATTTACACCAAATATTTCCCCCCTACTTTTATCAATAATACAATTATTATTGTGAAAGCATTCGTATTCGTTTAATTTTTTGAGTGCTCGACGGAAGAAGCCCTTTTTAGAAGGAAAAAATTTTTTATTAATTTTTACTTGAAACAGAAATTTTTACTTTACATCCAAGACAAGCCAAAACGCCATAATGCATTTTGGGATTTTCTTGTCCACAAACCAAACATTTGGAGGCGTTTTTCTGTATTTTTTATGATTAATTTTAATATTAAACTTAAAAGACTACTATTGTTGATGTTGAAGCCTCATTTGAAATTTGTTGGGTAGACTGATTATTAGTTTGCATTTTTGATATTTTCGGAAAAATTATATTAAGTAAATATTCTAATAGACGCCCATCTCTAATAAATTATTAAAGATCTCCAATAAAAGCCCCTCTCCAATAAAAGATTCCAATAAATGTATAGAAATTCTAATAGACGCCCATCTCCATTAAAGGTCCCTATTAAAAATTAACTATTCTAATAGACGCCCATCTCCATTAAAGGTCCCTATTAAAAATTAACTATTCTAATAGACGCCCATCTCCATTAAAGGTCCCTATTAAAAATTAACTATTCTAATAGACGCCCATCTCCATTAAAGGTCCCTATTAAAAATTAACTATTCTAATAGACGCCCATCTCCATTAAAGGTCCCTATTAAAAATTAACTATTCTAATAAACGCCCATCTCCAATAAAAGTCGCTATCAAAAATTAAATATTCTAATAAACGCCCGTCTCTAATAAAAGCTCCTATTAAAATTAACTATTCTAATAGACGCCCATCTCCAATAAAAGCCCAAAAAATATACACCCCCTGGGCGTTTATTGGAATAAAATTTTTTTTCTACTTTATGGCCAAAAGTTTATGGCCAAACTTGTATAAAATAAATAAAGATTAAATAAAATAGAAAAGAGAATAATGATTTTGTTGAACTCTCCAAAATATAATGCGGTACATAAAATATTTTTAAAATGTCTGCCGAATAAAACAAAATAAAAAGAATAATAACAATAAAGTTTTTTATTGTTGATATAAAAATCACGAGAGATGTTTAAATAAATAAATATTTTTATTCAACTATTTTATTAATTTTTGGAGTAAATAAAAACAAAAATTTAGCTATTTGAAACGTTTAAAACGTGTAAATATTGGCGGGACATGAAAATTATTTTTTGGAAAGAAAAGTGAAAAAAAAATATTTTCTTATCGATGACAAGTTGAATATTTTTTGAGCCAATTTTAATATTTTTGAAATTTTTTTGACAGTTTAAAGTAGGGGTGAGCGGGATCCCGACCTAAAATCGGGATCGGGATTTTGGAATAATGACCCAAATCCCGATCCTGACCCCGAATCGGGATCGAGATTGGTCAAAATTGGGACCGGGATTCACTTTAAAAAATTTTTTTTATTTTTATTTTCCTCACATAAAATGCGGACTGAAAACTAGGGGTCGAAAACTGGCAATAACCGAAAATCGGGGGCACCGGTTAATAACCGGTTGTCTCCAATTCTAGTTTAAAGTTTTCAGAGATATAACTAGCAAATCTGTTAAATATCGAAAACTTTTAAAAATTGGGAAGCTACACATTTGCTAATTCCAAATAAACTTTTAGTGAGGGGGGAGGGAGGGAGAGCTAATTAAAAATTAATTTCAAAGTAAAATTAATGCTCACAACGATAAAAAACGATTTTTGAATTCACTTAAAGGGACGACTATTTTGATAGATCAATAAAAATAAAAAAAATAAAAACTAATAGTATTAAATATTAAATAAATAATGAATATACATATTTTCGCAATTTTCAAAATATATTTTTATTGATCTTTATTAACCCGTCATATTTTTATAAAATTTGATTAAAATCGTCCACTCTATTTAAATAGAAAATAATTTAAAACAAATTTTTAGTTGTTCCAGTTTTTTATTCAAAATTAAAAATATATTAATGAAGGGGGAACAGGATTAATCAAAATAAAAATAAAATTTTTTCTGCTTCGTTTCGAAACGAAATGGAACGAAATGGGAAAAAGGGCACGAAAAAGCGAAACCAAACGAAGTTATGATTATCACTGGAGGAAGGGGGACTACTTACACGTTGACAATAAAATAATAAAAGGGCAATTAAGCATGGCTTACATGGCCAAAGAAGTTGGGGTCAATTGAACTTTTTGGTCAGACAAACTATTATCACATTGGTTGACTTTGGAATGCCTTTATAAAAAAAGAATAATTTAAAAATTTTCGTTTCGACCACATTTTTAAACAAATTTAAAAGAACTTTATGCAGTTCTTGCCTTACATATATTTTATTTTTAAAAAATATATTTAATTTTTTTGTTGATATATATGCCAGAACAATTAAAAGTAGAAGCATATTGTGAAGCCATTGATTTTGAATTTGACTTACGAAAAGAATCATTAATCTCATCAGACATTAAACTAAATTGGTCGAGTGCTAGATCAATAGTAACATTATTAAAAGGTTTATTTCCAATATCCATCTCTTTATATCTCAATTTGAATAATTTTCTAACTTGAGGGAAATGTTTGTCTAAAATTTCTTCAGCAACAGAAATATCTTCAGGCCAAAATAATGAATTCCCAAATTCAGTTGAAGAATAGAATTTTATCTGTTCTTGTAAATAGATTAAAGCTTTGTTGTTTTTATCCGTTTTATTCGCATCTTTAAATTCCTCTTTCACCATTTTCATTAAATCCATTTTTTGTTCTTTTAAATTGAAGCAACGACGAATTTCGTTTAATCCAATTTGCTTGATACCATGATCGAGAAGAAGAGTTAAAAACCAAGCGACAAGACCAGGCTTTAATTTGCACGAGTAGAATTCTTTATATTGTGTACTAGTTATACAGTAATTTGAAATTTCATTCAATAATTTGTGATAGATTTTTGTGTAATTTAAAGTTGGGTTTCTGAAATATTTGTTTGGGTTGTTGAAAAAACATTTGTTGAGGCGTTTGTTGTATTTTCTGAATGAAAGGATCATTATTGTTTGATTTAAAGTAGAGTTGGGATGTATCGGGATTAAAGACCGGACTGGGAGTATCGTAAGAGAATCGAAACCTCGATAAATATTGATTCTCGATAATCGAGATTTTTCATCGAAATCTCGTCTTCGATCATAAAATAAATATTTTGGAATGATGATGCCGATCCTGATCCCAGCCTCGGTATTGAGATTTGTTTCTCGGTAACAGTATCAGAAAAATCGGTATTGGGATTCAAATAACCTTTGTAATACCGCCCGATACCGGGTGGGATCCCAATACCGTCCAACTTTAATTTAAAGTTATATCCTTATGGAATATTAGAAAGTAATTTTAGACTTAATTTATAAATAAATTTCAAATTAATAAAAAAATAATCTAAATTCATAAAGATTCTCGAGAAAATAATTTAATTATTAAAAAAAATACCGTTAAGGCTCAAGTTAACTTTTATATTCAAATTTATAATGGTGAGAATAAATAGCAATATTTTAATAAACATATTATTTAAAAGCTCCGACTAATTTTACAAATTGCATGGAATGATAAAATTAATATTGAAAATAAACGGGTACAGCTCAAAAAGGCGCGCGCCATAAAGCGAAAAGTCTCAACTAGCTGGAAAATTTCTAGCCCTTATCAGTTTTTGATACCAATCTCTTTAGCTCGATGAGTGGAATCGTTTAATATTAAATTTGCTACGATTTGGAAATCTTGAAGTAAGTTATGGCTTTGCGCCGTTATGGCGCGTGGCCTAAAATAGTATTTACTAGATATGTAAATTTAGGTCAATTAATTGTCTGCGGTAGAAGAGAAGGAGGGCGCTGTTGTCCATTTTTTTATTTTCACATTTGTATAATTTTATTTAATAAGAGGATATACAACTTTGCTAATCAAAAAATTTTCCAAATTTTCATAAGTTATAAACGATTTAGACAAAACAGCAGCAGAAAATAAAAAGATTTTATAATTTAAAATTTAATAATTATTGAAATAAGAATATTGATTTTACTGACCCGTCTTATTTTTTTGTAAAATTTGATCAAAATGATTTGCTTACTCTATTTCGACAAAAGAAAAAATAATTAAAAATTTTTTAAACAATACATAATTTATCATTTAAATAAATTTATAAAAGTGCGTCTCAAAACAAATTTTTAGTTGTTTTGGTAAATTTGACTTTTTTTCAAGGGTAGTTTGTTATTTTGAATTTACAATGCTTAGTTTTAAGGAATTTATTCAGGATTTTACCTAACTTGGACCCAATTAAACTTTTTAGAAGTAGTCTTTTAATAAAAATATTAAATTTTTGTCCTTATTCTTTAAATTTAGGATCTATAACCCTAATAATCTATTATCGACGAAAACCGTGAGACGATGATTTGGATGATGTAAAGTTTACCAAAATTTATATTAAATCAAATTAAAAAATCTCGCCTCAAAATTGTGAATTACTTTTTTAATTATTTTTAAGGATACTCCTCGCAGAGTTTTCGGTCAAGCAAGAGAAGAACGAAGAGGGTTGGGGGGCCGAGGTGGAAGGCCAACAAGTCGTCTAAATTTGAATGCAATTAGGAATCAGCAAGGGCAAGGAACAAGTCGAAACGCGAGAGGTTTAAATTAAATATTTATAAAATTATAATTTTTAATTAAAAAATAATATTTTTAATTTATATTGTCCTATTATTAAAAATATTATTTTTTAATTAAAAATTATAATTTTATATATAATTAATTTTAACCATTAGCATTCCGGCTTGTTCCCTGTCCCTGATTCCTAATTACATCAAGATTCAGACGCCTAGTTGGCCTCCCTCCACGTCCACCCAATCCTCTTCGTCCTCCTCTCGCTCTTCCAAAAACATTACGTCTATTTTGGCCTGGATTATCCTTAAAAATAATTAAAGAATTAATTCCAGAATTTTGCTGCGATTTTAAAATTAAATTAATTTATTATAAATTTTGATAAACTTTACATCATCCAAATCATCATCTTCATCAAGACTCGGATTACTTGGATTAAATGTCTGAAATTTTAGGAATAAAAAAAAAATTAAAATTGCACTCAGTGAATTACATTAATTTTTAAATTCAAACAGATTTTTTACTTTAGATCAATGCGAATAAATTAAATTCACTAAGTGCATGAACAAAGAAGTAAATTACTCTTCCATGTTGATGATCATATTTTAAAGAAACTTCAAATCTCCCACCGGGAAGCCTTCTCATTCGCATGCGCGCCGGACAAGGAGGATCCAGCCCAGGTATCTCCTGAAAATTTTTTACAACAGTTTCTAAAGCATGAGAGTACAGCCCAAAACGACACGGGCCAATCGAAACGGCGCAACCCCAAAACGTTGCAAACCCTTATTACAAAATTTGTTTATTAATTCTATTGATCAGTGTAACGTCCAAAGAGCGGTTAGTGACTCGTGACCGCTCGCTAAAGCTAAAACGATCACAAATAGGGATTAACCGATTACGCATTAATAAACTGATCACCATCTGTTGAGCAATTGATTACTCTCAGATTAACACTGTTAATTGGGTGACTTGCGCCGCTTTGGGTCTGCATCGTTTCGTTAGTCGGTGCGGTTAATCTGACAAATGAGAGTAATCAATTGCTCAATTTTCAGGAGATACCTGGGCTGGATCCTCCTTGTCCGGCGCGCATGCGAATGAGAAGGCTTCCCGGTGGGAGATTTGAAGTTTCTTTAAAATATGATCATCAACATGGAAGAGTAATTTACTTCTTTGTTCATGCACTTAGTGAATTTAAAATTATTCGCATTGATCTAAAGTAAAAAATCTGTTTGAATTTAAAAATTAATGTAATTCACTGAGTGCAATTTTAATTTTTTTTTTATTCCTAAAATTTCAGACATTTAATCCAAGTAATCCGAGTCTTGATGAAGATGATGATTTGGATGATGTAAAGTTTATCAAAATTTATAATAAATTAATTTAATTTTAAAATCGCAGCAAAATTCTGGAATTAATTCTTTAATTATTTTTAAGGATAATCCAGGCCAAAATAGACGTAATGTTTTTGGAAGAGCGAGAGGAGGACGAAGAGGATTGGGTGGACGTGGAGGGAGGCCAACTAGGCGTCTGAATCTTGATGTAATTAGGAATCAGGGACAGGGAACAAGCCGGAATGCTAATGGTTAAAATTAATTATATATAAAATTATAATTTTTAATTGAAAAATAATATTTTTAACAATAGGACAATATAAATTAAAAATATTATTTTTTAATTAAAAATTATAATTTTATAAATATTTAATTTAAACCTCTCGCGTTTCGACTTGTTCCTTGCCCTTGCTGATTCCTAATTGCATTCAAATTTAGACGCCTTGTTGGCCTTCCACCTCGGCCCCCCAACCCTCTTCGTTCTTCTCTTGCTTGACCGAAAACTCTGCGACGATTGTGGCCAGGAGTATCCTTAAAAATAATTAAAGAAGTAATTCAAAATTTTGAGGCGAGATTTTTTAATTTGATTTATTATAAATTTTGGTAAACTTTACATCATCCAAATCATCGTTTAACGGTTTTCGTCGATAATAGATTATTAGGGTTATAGATCCGAAATTTAAAGAATAAGGTAAAAAATTTAATATTTTTATTAAAAGACTTCTTCTAAAAAGTTTAGTTGGGTCCAAGTTAAGTAAAATCCTAAATAAATTCCTTAAAACTAAACCTAACAGCTCATGGAATATTCTCACATAAAAATTAATTCTGAATTTCATAAAAACTATAAAATGTTTTACCCCTCCCACCCGCCACAAAACAACTAAAAATAATTTTTAAAATAAAACAAAAATATAATTAAAACAAAAAAATTTTAAATTACGGATCAGTCACGCTTGTACATGTAAAGATAACCAAGAGATTTCGGCGGATTTTGAGATATTGCAACCTAAAGAAAAAAATTATTTTAAAAAATTTAAGGACAAATTTTTGGAAACTGTTTTTAATAATAACTAAATACGAGCTCATTTAATAGCTCAAAATTTTTCTCCCGAGAAAATTAATTATTCATTTTAAATAAATTTTTATACCTTTTCATCGTTGAAGATATACCATAAACCATCATCTCGTTTAACATGAGCAACATAATGACCAGAATGTGGAGACGAACCCATATGAGAAATAAAAGCACAAAGTTTGTATTGCCCTGAACCATTATGTACTTCTTTGGGAGGAAGACCTTTAAAAATAATTTTAAAAAATTTTAAGAAAAAGTTTGAACCGAAATAGAAAAGTTAAAACCGGTTTTAGAACCGAAAATTCTGATATTTTTTGGGAAAAGTAATCATTTTATGAAAATTTTTAAAACAAGAAAACATAAAAATGATCAATTTTCTATAGAAATTTCCAAAAATAGAATCAGTATTTAACAAAACCTTAACCTAATGCATTGAATGATACCAAGTTGTGTCTACCCCTAGTTTGTTATAATAACATAAAATCAAAATTCCTAATTAAATATTAACCTTTAGATTCAGTAGGAGCCCCTGTTGATTGAGAAGGAAGTGGTTCGTTTAAATCCGCATCATCCATATGTTGTAATATCCAATTAGCTGCACTTTCGAGTCCTGCATTTTTTGTATGAATAGAAGCCTTTATTGATGCATTTTCAGTAAAGCCCATATCCATTAACTGAAATATAAAAATGAATGAGAAATTTTAGAATAAATATGGCTAGTCAAACTAAATTATTTAAATGACGTAAACATTGGAAAATATAAACATAGGACTCCCATATTATAACTATCCCATAAATAAAGTTGGGCGAAAAAACAACAAATCACAAGAGCATGAGATCAACAAACCAAAAAATTAGAAAGTCTTATTTTTAAGTTTAAAAAATTCTTAACCTGCAAAACAATCTCTTGGTTCACATCTGGATTCACATCTGGAAAAGGTTGTTCATCTGGTTGAATTTTCCCTTCAGAATAAAAAGCAGTCAAATCAATAGAATCGTCCATTTCAACATCCACATCCAATTTTTTTATTTGATAGTTGTCAAGGTAAGTGAATCTCTGAAAAGATAAATGATATTCATGAATAATTCATAAGTTAAAAATACCTGAATTTGTAGAATCAAAAAGTCTGGAAAACTGCCCATTTTTAGCTCTTGAATAGCTTTGCCTTTTGTTTTTAAAACTGGAGAAGTATAATCATCAATATTTTCTTGAGAAAATGCTTTTGATAAACAACTTTGTAATTGAACAAATTTGCGAGTAGAACCACCAACTTGGACTGGAGACTGAAATAAAAAATTTTTTTTATAAAAATTCCAAAGGAGAGAGGATTGCCCATAGTAAAAAATAATTGACTTAATTTTCAATGAGAAAAAATTTTTTTTAGAAATCCGCAAGGAAAATTTGACAAACCACGAAAGCCAAGAAAGTGACATTCGATTAAATAAACTTCAAAAAATTACAAAAATTAAAAACAAACGTCTCTGCATTCTTGTAAAGGCACAGGTAAAGCAAGTATAGTTTCTTCTCTTTTTGAGTATCTAACACATCCAGACAATTCATCCACAAAACGAGACACAAGGTAAAATCGAAAAGAATTCACAGGATTTAATTCTCCTTTCACATTGTTGTCAATTTTGTCAAATAAATGGCGAATATATTCTTCTGCATCTTGTTGTTTTGCTGTAGAAAATTCAACATGTCCACGTCCTGCTAAACGTCGAAAAACTAATGGGCGTATTCCATTTTCTTTTTGTCCTTCTTTTGAATATTCTCCAGATTGTAATGATTTGACAATTTTTGCTAATTGACAATTGAAGTCTTCATAAGAGTTTAAAGGTGAAATTTTGTTAAATAAATTTTCTGAATTGTCTCCGTAAACTTTCAAAAAGTCAGGTACGTTGTAAAGCATTTGTAACACCTAAAAATAAAGGGTGATTTGATTTTAGTTAAAAAACGGATTTATTCATGATCCCTAACCCTAAGAAAACCCATAAATTAGGAACAGAACCGTTTCGGTAATAAACAAAAAAATTTCAGCAAGTAATTCAAAATGGGAACGCTTACAAATCCTACTCCATAATAAAGTATAAAAATAAATATACCGAATTTATGTAGCAAGAAGAGCCCAAATTAATCAATCCAGTAAAACCAGAGCCATAAACATTTTTTAAAGACGCTCCCTCTTCTTGAATAGTAGAGAATTCATGTCTAAAAAATCAAAAAATAATTTTTTTAAAAATTAAAAATATACTTAAGATTTGCATCCAATTCCAACTCAAGTGTTGTTTTCTCAGTTTTGGTAAATTTGTCAATAGAAAGACCAAAATGTGCCAAATGTTTTGCTAACAATGGATCACGAACAGGAGCGTCTTCAGAATAACTGTAAATATCCCCATCACCATCAGCAATTGTACCCAATTTGACCACCAACGGATAACCAGTTTCTTCATAATGAGTTTTCTAAAAATTAAAAAAAATAATACAAATTGATTTCTTTTTCTAACCCCAGATTAGAGACCCTAATCCTAATTTAACTTGGTTATGTCAGAGAACTAATTCGCTCTACTAAAGCTTTTTAAATCTGGGCATTCTCATTAGAATAGTCTGTGTGAGACTCCTAGATTATGACACAAATTAACGTGGAAATGAGACTCCCAATCAGATTAGGGAGTGTCGCTAGATTTGCCTTATTAGATTAACATAGAAAAAGCTAAAATGTATTAAAACTAACTGCATGTCCATTCCCTTTAACGCCACTCATAGGAGCATATCGTCCGCACATGATAATACCATCACTAAGATTCAACCACAAATTCTCTTTAAGTTCACAGCCGGGCTTGGCACAAATCCAACCATCATAAGAAATTTTGCCTTCAAATGGAATCTGAAATTAAAGAATGAAAGCTAAATAAGGCGTGAATAAGAGCACAAGACAATCAATACGTAAAATAGAACCCGTCCTAGGATCCCAGAAAGCCTGCTTTACATTCGCGAGCCTGCTTTACATTCCCTATAGACCAAATAAGGTCGGTAAAATAAGTCGGTCAAATAAGTCGCCTATAGACCAAATGATGTTTTGGCTAATCCACTATCGTAGTCCACAGTTGGAGTTCCAGTTGGAGCTTCAACTCCAGAGAACTAGGACAAGTCCTCTAAACAGAAAGGGACACGTTAATCAAACAAAAACCTGTTCAAGCTTTTCGGCAGCCTTTGAAATCTGCCGTTCTTCTCCATCCCATTCACTAACGCCACTCTGTAAGCGTTGTTGCAATTCGGCACTAATATGAGCAATAACCATATCCACAATCTCACGAAGCTTGTCTCCAATATTATTTTCAATTTTGATTGGAACTTCAGTATGTGGATGCAAACAAAGGCTGTAGTCTGAACTGATTTTGTCTTCCGTTTGAGATATGCATAAGCGTTGAATCTCAAATAAGCCGAAGTTAGGGAAGAACAAAAAACTTTAAAAAAAACCTTATCTTTCGGCTCCTCAGAATCCTCATTAGGCACTTTAGACTTCTTAATGTTCAAAAACAAACGGAATGACGTCTTCTTCACATAAATGTCAAGATGTTTTGCACAAACGCCAACAAAATCCAATAAAGAAATAAAGAATCCACCTAAAAGCTGAGAGTAAAAGCCTTTGAAAAAGTTAAACCTGGCGAAAAAGCAGTGTCAAAACATAAGAAACACTCATCTTTGTAGACTTTATCGGCACTTTGCGGCCCTTCCAATTTAAAGGAACCCCCCGAAATATATTTTTTCAATTCAATCAAAAGATTTTCTTCGGTCATCTAAATTTATAAATTTTTAGGTAAAGTCGAGAAAATTAGTCTCCGGACGTAAAAATTACTTTAAAATAATAAAAAACATAAAATAAAATGAAAGGGAAGCAAAAACGACAAAAAAAATTTTAAAAATTTGAAAAAAACGGCAGAGGTTCCCCCTCTGTAGCGTAAAATCTGATTCAACAAATTTGGCTTTTATAGTAAAAAATAATCATCATTTTAAAATTTGCGGATTTTATTTTGGCATAATGTATTTTTATTAGTCATTTTCTCTTCCAACACTCATTGTTTACGTTATATTTTCTATTTTACTTATCAATTTTTATCGTTGTGAAATTTCTCCTCTTGTCTCGCCCTCTCATATTTTCTGCACTCTCTTGCTTTTTGTGTTTCTTTCCGTTTTGTGCCCGCTCAAATCTGTGGTACAGCCCAAATCGGCGCGCGGCCATGACGGCGCAAAGCTATAATTTACTGAAAAATTTCTGGCCCTTGTTTATTTTGGTACCAATCTCTTTAGATCGATGAGCGGAATCGTTAGATACTAAATCTGGTAAGATTTGGACATTTTGAAGCAATTTATGGCTTTGCGCCGTTATGGCTGTGCGCCGTTTTGGGCGAGACCCGCGCCGTGAAATTGTCAAAAAATGAATTTTTGAGGCAATTTTACCCACTTATCAAAATTCCCTTTTCAAAACTTCAATTAATAATTTATTACTCATCTTTAGTATGTTTTTAAGTGTTGAATGTCTTTCATTTTTAATATTTATAAATGAGAAGCCAGTCAAATGTTGTTAATATCGATCAACAAGAACGTCCAATTAGAGATACAAATTCAAGCACATCTGAAGATTCAGAAGAAAGTTTGCCTGATTCATTTGGTTTTTTATAAAGATTATCTTTAAATAATAAAATTTGTTCATAGAAGAAGCTAGAGCTCCATTAACAAGGCGACCCCAATCCGTTCAAGAAGACGAAATTCTCAATGATGTCAACGAGGAAGGAAACGAAGAAAATGCTCGCGATGACCAGCCTTTTACTAAAGAATTGACTAAAAGCAAACGCAAAATTCCTAAAGAACGACGAAAGACTGGGGTATATTTTAATATTTTTAATTAGAGTAAGGGACTATTTTATGGATGTATTTTGATTGTTTCTTCCTTTTTACAAGGGAACCTTCTGAACTGCCAGTAAAAATTTTTAAATAAAGATAATATTATCCTGTAGAGCGTAGTCGATAACCTACTATGTTTCCGGCTTTTTTGGCTCCGACCCCCCAAATCGAAAAGTTATAGCTTATATGACCCGCTAAAAAATTTCTCTACTTTCATTCGGTCTTACCAAAACTCGATCCAAATGTGTTGGGGTTTTTTGGCGCAGTGATAATTCTTTGTTTGGTACAACTGATAAGGTTATTCCAACTACGTGAAAAATTAACGAAAGAACAACCTTCTCCGTCATGTCAAACAAACAACAGCGTTTGCACCAAAAAATACCCCAACCAATTTGGACCGACTTTTGCTCTAGGCTAATTTTTCTCTCAATACCATGTTACCATGTTTTTCCCCTTTAATTTTTTCCATCAATAACTATTAAAAACTTTTATACTCATTTTTTAGTATGCCTTCCTTCTACTTGTATTTGCTGGATTTTTGAATGATTTTGTTCTTTCCTATATTCACGAACTAATTCCCGAATCGCCTCCACTTCCAGATTTTGCATTTTCAATTTTGCCTTATTGGCCTTGGGCATTGATTGTCTCTGAAGTTTTGATGATTTCATCTTTTTCTGCAATGCTCACAGTTGCAATTCTTCATAAATATAGATGGGCAGTTCTTCGGTTTGTTTTTAGTTTTATCTTGAAAATTTTATGGAAGAGATAAGATTATTTAAAATTTTCTAAACCTTTTTTTTAAATTTGTTTCTTTTCTAAACTTGTTTTCTAAATTTATAAATTTTTTATTTTTTAATAATTATTTTTCTGTTTTTAGGCGAATTTTTACAATTGGATTTTTACTATATCTTGGTCGCTGTGCTACTATGGCAAGTTTACTTTCTTTAATTAAGTCAAGTTAGAACCGGGGAATTATTATCTTTAATCTGTCATCTTAAAGTGGGTAGACCATCCACTCAAGCCATGACTGAACAAAAAAAGTTATAAAATATTCTGTTGAAGGCCCAACTTTTATGAACCTAGTTATAAACTGCATAGACTGGTCTGTGACTTTATTAGATTGTATTTTTTGTTAAACACGAATTTCAAAAAATATTGAATTTTTTTCTATTATTTTTAAATAAAAAATTTCAGTTTGTTACTCAAGTTCCAGTTGCTGATCCCAATTATTATTGCTCTCCCAAATTGAAACCTGAAGAAAGAACTGTATATTTTTTAATTTTTTGTTTTAAATTTTAAAAATTTATTTTTTTAGTTTTGGAATATTTTGATTCGTGCATTATCCGTCTTAATTGGACTTGGGCTTAAAATAAATGGAAGACATACACTTTGTGGTGATTATATTTATAGTGGCCATACTATTGTACATGTTTTGTGTTATCTTTTTATTAAAGAATGTGAGGTTTAATTTTTTAAATTTTCTGGTAGTCAAAAGACCGACCTTTTTTTTGTTAATCTTACTGAAAAAATATTTAAAAAAATTTTGTAGCTTAATGCTAACCTTTGTGATTTTGGTGATTCTGTCATTATCATTTTGTAAAAAAACAGAAATTAGGATTTTTTTGATTTTGGTGTCATCGACACAGCTCGACGAGTTCTATACATAATACTGACTGACCATTTTTTAATGTTTTGAGAAAGGTAAAAGTAGTGGGGGTACGAACCGAAGAATTACCGGTTTTTATTAAGGCTGGTGTTTTACAGAAAATTACCTGATATTTTTTAATTTTTGATTTTCGATAAACCAATTATGCTTTTATTTTTTCGATTTTTTTCCAAATTTTTTATACAAATGTTAAGGTCAACCAATATTTGAAGATATTGGTTGACAACTAACCATTATTTGAAGATCTAACTAAAAATAAATTTTTGTTTTTAGACAGTCCTCGTCGTTGGCTTCCTCTCCATATTTTGGCATTTGCTTTTTCTATTGTTGGTGTTTTATCATTGCTTTTTTCGCGAGGACATTATAGGTTTTTTTAATTATTAGAAAATATTTTTTTGAATAATGTTAAGCAAAATTGAAATTTTGAAAAAAAAAAGAGTAAATTGGACGTAGTGTTAGGATTGATTTTGTTTTTGGAAAAATGATTATAAATAAGGGAAATTTTTAAAAAATATGACAAAGAAAGGAGAATTTGGAAGGAAATGAATCATAAATAAAATTCTAAACGTTTTCAAATTTTAAATAATTCTTGGTATTTTTTACATTGAAATTTTGAAAAATTCTAAAAATTTTTTAGTATTGATGTAATAATCGCTTATTGGATTACTACGCGTATTTTTTGGTTTTATCATACACTTGCTGATTTTGACGAGCTTCGAGTTTAATTTTTAAAAAATTTTTTAAATCATTCTTTTTTATATTTTTAGCACAGCTTTAATGGCAGAAATCGTTTTGTAAATGTTATTTGGTACCCTTTGTTTAATTTTATGGAACAATCTGTGCATAGACCGATACCTAGAAAGTTTGGTTTTTTTATTTTTGAATTAAAAAATATTTTTCTTAAAGATATGAATTGCCTTTTAAACTCCCTGCTGGTTTAATACGTTATTGGCAACAAAGACGTGGACGTTCAAATTCGGCAGGATATTTAATTGTTTGAAAAATTTGGTATTTTTACTATAATAGGAAACAAAAAATTATTTTTAAATTAAAATATTGATTGTGAACAAGGGCGCATTCAGTAAAAATTTTTTTAGGAAAAATGACTTTTGGTCTTTATTCGTAGTTGGCCGAGAACCCCAAAAATTTTATCCGATATTTTTATTTTTCTACAGTTTGGGTGGGAGGGAGGGGTCCACTGGATGCGCTCTTTTCCCCTAATATTGCTCATTTATTCTCTCATACGGCCTAACTACTTTAAAAAATTATATTACTTTAAAGCCTATATTTTTAGATAGTACTTTATTTTAAAAAATTGTCAACATTTTAAGAGCGGTTCAATTAGAATATTGGGGTTTTTAATATTTTTAGGTAGAAGAAAATCAGTAATTTTCAGGAAAAAATATCTTATCGTTTAAGGACATCTTATCATTTAAAGGGCAAACCCAACCCCAATGTTACAGGTTAATATAAAAGTCAAAATAATAAAAGTCCTGTACTCTTGACCTTTTAAAGTTAAAAATATCCCTTATTTACAAGATGTTTTTAAAATTGACATTTGTCAGGAACATTTTTTCGGAAAATACATATTAGTCTGTTTCAAATTTTTCATAGATCCGCATGTAATAAGCATTTTCATTTTATGATAAATACCCAATATTCTAATTATCCTATCAATTTTATATTTTTTATCATTTAATTTTATCCCGATGTTTTTAATATTTTAGTTTTATTGCAATTCTTTACATTATTATATTTAATAGTCAATTATATACAAATTTATAAATATGAAAATTAGTAAAAAATGTTTGTGAATTTTAATTCCTACACTTATAATATTTCAAGGAAATCCACAATGAACTTCAAATGACATTTCCATTAATCTACATTTCCCCCCACGCCATAAATACCATTCACGGGCAAAATCACCAAATTGTTTCGGTAGAGCTTCTCTTGAAGTGTCATAAGAAAAATATCTTATACATTCTCGACTCCAACTTGGCACCTTTTTGGGGGATTTACAATTATATTTTATAGCTAAAATGCTGTTTAAAACTGGTCTTTCATTTGTTGATTTCATTGGTTTTTAGGTTCAGATTTTCGCTTTTTAGACCAAAAATGACTGGGTTTTGGTTTGGCCTACCAGCTGGACCCAAACTGAAACCTTCAACATTTAAAATCAAATCACCTTTGATATTACAGAATCTCTATCAGCTCCACGACATTCAATATTACAAGAAGTTCGACCTTCTATTTCTCCTTTTCATTTAAAATTTAAAGCTTTTTTAAAGGGGTTTCGAAGAATTTTCTCCTAGAAAATTACCTGTTGCAAGCTTAAAACTTTCCTCATGACATTTTGCCAATTTAGGCTTTTCCTCCTTTCCAACAGTTAAATAACACTGGCCAGAATGTTTTCCATCTTTGCTAGGACTGCAATAAAGTATTCGGCGTTCTTTAAGAAATTTCTTTGATTTTTTTAAAATCCCTCAAAAACATACTCCATTCAATCAACATATTTTTAAAAATATTTTCCTCAGCATTTAAGGCATAAATAAAATAAAAAAGAAAGGAGACAGTTAATATTGAATACATTTTTTTTAAAAATAATAAATAAATGATTAAACAAAAATAATAATCAGAGGAAATAGGGGGAGAGGTTATTAATCATTTTCCTTTTTTCTAAACGTTTGGAGGAAACTAGATATTTTTATCAATTTAGTAGAAGCATGTGTTGGTCAGTTTTTTGTCACATTAAAGGTTGCAATGATCTGAGAGAATGTTTCTTTGCTGGAATAAATCACCTCCCTAATGATAAACATTAAATAATCGCAGATTTGTAAGGTCGTTGATTTATAGGATGGTGATCTTTTGGGTTGAAATTAAGTTTTTTATTTTTCCTTGTTGACGAAATGAAAATTTTCTTCTAACTGGCGAAACGCGTAAATCCATTTTAGCAACTTTTTTTATTATTTAAGCCAATTTTTTATTTACTTATTTTAAGAAATTTTTTTTCTTTTTTTGGAATAAAATGTAAAAATAATGCCTCCAACAACATTAACAAGTTCGCTCCATCCGAGCAATCGAGATGCAATAGCTTGGTTAATTTATTAAATTTTAATTTATAATTTGACGTTATTTTCTGTAGGAATGAAAAAGGCTTGATAGCCTTTGGATGTCATTCAACTTTGGTGCTTTTTGACACTTGTAAACTTGAAGTCTTTCAAACGCTAGAACAACACACTACAGCAATTAATTTGGTAAAAATAAAATTTTTAGAATATTTCGGGGTACAAATTTAAATTTGCCGGCCAAACTTGTTCGAGTTTTTGGATTGAAGTTTCGTGGTCCCACTGGAGTTGTGTATTTCTGCACTCGGTGTGGGTAGCTAATATTCCCAGTATTGTGGTACCCTTATAGTTAGTATAATATTCGATTTTTTGCCTCAAATGTAGTTGGAAATCGGATATTCAGATTCGATATTTGATTCGAAAATTTTCGGATATCGGCCTTTTTCGGATCCGGATCCGATAACCTTACAAATCAGTATATACAAGCGAGTCCGTCTGTATTTATAATAGGTCTCGCGGTTTAAATGTTGTCGCTATGGAAGAAGATTATTTTTTTAGGTTTGTTGGAAACCTCCTATTGACCTTCTCTTTCGAATAAAATCAAAAGATGTTAACAACGACAATATTCGTTATTGTAGTGATATTAATGTTGGCTGTGCTTCTTCAGATATTAGCGGCAATATTTTTATTTGGGATATTCAATTAGGAATTGTTGCTGCTTCTTTGCGTTATTTGACTACAAATGTTAATGGTTTTATATTTTATAATTTTTTTAAACAAGCCTCCCTATAAGGTTTTTGACATCCTTTGGGTCTTAAAAATCAGAATTTTATAGCGAGGTTATTTAAAGTAGAGGTTATAGTTCTTTTGGCTCCGCCATCCAGTGACTGACCAGATCTAAAGCGGACATACCGTAAATAGAGGTGTTTTCAGGATTAGGAATATCTAGGTTTGGGGTATCTTATAGTGTGGTTCAATCGTATTCTTATTGGAAACATAAAGTTGAAAAAAATTTTTAGATCTCAAATGGTTAAATTGGCCAAATTCAGATTACAACCTTTTATTAAGTATTCATTCCAATTCAACTCTAATTCTTTGGAATATTGACAAAAAGGAAAGAATTTGGGAACACAAATTTAATGTCAGCATATATAAAATTAGTATGGACCCTTTTGATCAGACAAAAGCGGCAGGTTTGTTTTATAAACTTTTTTGAATTTTTGGGAGAGGGGTGTTTTTGAGAATGTTTTGTCATTTTTGTGGGTTTATTCTAGCTGACTTTTTACAGACTTTAAATTCTCTGTCGGGGTTTTTTGCGGATCTTGTTCCTTTCTGTTCCTTTAATTTCTGAAACTGGCATATAAATTTCTTTTCGAAAAAAATTTCCGTAAGTGGCTTCTTAATGTTGCTTTTTGTCGAGCCCAACGTACCACAAGAACGTACGAACCATAATTAGGTTTTCAGAGACATTGACATTATGTAATAGGTTGGGGGTACGGCCCGGTCCGAAATAAATGACTCGAACGTCGGCCTGACTCGAAAGCCCCAACTCTAATGTTTGTCTCACCATTATTTTCTTTTTTAAATTTAAATAATTTTTTAAATTAAAGTAAGCTCTGTTGGTTCTAGTCTAATCCTTTTGGAAAAACTTTCATCCCTCCACTGGTCTAGTTCAAAAATTACTTCAATGTCACTTGAACCTCGAACAATTCCAAATTCCTCTACAAAATTAAATAATTCTTCTTCAATTATTCAATTAAAATATCATCTGGCTTACCCACAACTTTTATTTGTTCTATTTCCGACAGAAATTTGTTTGGTTGAAACACAACATTGTCAAGTTATTTTTAGTTCAATTATTGATACAGGATCGCCTTTAGTTCAGGTTTTTATTTTAATTTTTTTATTTTGATTTTTTTGTGGAAAAATTCCTTAAAGGGTTTTGGAGTTGTCTAGGATTTATTTTATTTTTTATTACTACCGTAAGCGGGCTGGAGAAGTCAGACCTTGGGAATTTAAAAAATCATGTTTCTGAACTCGGAAGTTAAAACGTCGGGAAAAGTAGGAAATTGGAATTTCGTAACCACCTCTAGTTATTTTTAAAGAGTTGGACTTCGTCCCACGAAGTCCAAAATTCTGGGTTGTTGTTGCAATTAAAGTTTTGTTTTTGTAGCTAGACGGGGTCTGGATAAATTTTCCCTATGTTCTATTTTTTCGGAACTTATTTTCTTTTCAAAATTCTTCTCTTAAAAATTTTTTATTGAACATTTTTTCTTAAAGATTCTTCCCTGTGCCGAAAAAGATGCCTTCTTTTTAATCCATCAAAATGGGACTTGTTCTTTTCGGCTTGCCAATTTTCACTTTTCTGATGAAAAAATGATTTCCGAATTGGATTATGAAAGAAAATGTTCAATAGATTCAATGCAAAGGCAATCAATTAGATTAAGAGTTATGGGAGCTTCAATATGTCCTACAACTAATTCTTCTTTTGTTTTGTTAATTAATTCTGGAAAATTGTTAATTTATCAATTGGTTTATTTTTTTTAATAAAAAATTAGAAAATAATTTTTTTAGGAAGATGCTCGTCAAGAAATTGAACCTTATCGTATTGGAATGATCAATGATTTTATTGAATTAAATGAGGAATGTCAAATGCGTGTTGCTAGTAAATCTGGACAGCTCAGGTTTTTATTTATAAAAAATTCGAACTTGAGAAGTCTCTGCCTCCTTCTTTTGCTAATGAAGAACGAGGCATTTTTTATTAACCAAATTGCTAAATAAAATGTGTAAAGTGCCGTTTAAACTAGAAAAATGTTTGAATCGGCTAAATTTTTTCAACTTTGAACTAGTATTAGGGACGAGATTTTACTCTAAAATATATGTGTGCTCTTTCCTTACGCCTTTTCTCTATCCTTATATTCAGCTTGATTTTATTTTGATTAACAAACACATTCTTGGGCTGGCTCGTTTTTTGAATTAACTCATAACTTTATGCTCCAAAATTCCTATAAATTTCTGATTCGATTCTGGGGTCTTTCCCGAACTTTATTTTCGATATTCCGTTAATTTTTTTTCAAAATTTTTAGATTAACTCAATATGGAATTTATTCACCATTAAGTACTACAATTACAGTTATTAGAATGCGTCCAATAGATTTATTAACTAATTCTGTACCCAGTTTAATTTTTTCTTCTAAAATTGGTCAATTAGCAGCAGTTGGAAGCTCTACTGGAATTATTCATTTAATTAATGTTTGTGGAGAAAAAATTTGTAAATTTAAAGATTTACAAATACATAGCTGCCCTGTCAAGTAAGAAAATTTTTAAAAATATTTTCAAAAATTTTTGAAAATTTTTTGAAGATGTTTGGAATGGGCTGGTCCAAATGCTATTGTTTCTGCTGCTTATATTGCTTCTCTAAGTTCTTCAAATACTGTTCGGAATGATATGTTGGTTTTTTTAAATAAACGAGATTTTTACTTGCTTTTTTAATTTTAGTTTTATAACTGATATTCAGACTGGTTGGAAACGTCGTCTTAGGCCAGAACGAGAAGAATCTCCAATCGAGGTTTATATTTTTAAAGAAAAAAATCAATTTTGGGCTCTAGGTTGTGCTACGGGCACTAAATCAGAGAAAGTTGTGCTTTTCTGATTTAAATTTTTTTAGTTATATTTGGGGTCCTGAAACAGATTTTAGAAGGCGGAGGCTAAAACCGAAAGAAAGTTGACTTAAAAAAGCTAGCTAACGGACTTTCGTCTTTGTTTCGGATATTTTGCTTATGTCTTCAAATTCAAAAATGTTTCTTAACCTAAGGTGTATAGCTTTCTTAATGCGTCCTTATTCTGTCCTACACTAAACACGAAAATTTCTATTTTTAATAAAAAATTAATTATATTTTTAGACAATTCGTGTGTCCCACTACAACAGTTATTTGGCCATTTCGTTTCGTCAAAATCCTCTTGAAATTTGGGATTTGGGTACTCAACGACTTTTAAGAAGAATGAATAAACGTTGCCCCATAATTTTGGATATGTGTTGGAGTGGAAAACATCATCAGTCTAAAATTGTTAATGAAAGCAAAACGAAGATTTTTCGAGAAAATTTGGTTGTTTTGGATAATGATAATCATCTGTAAGTAATTTAGATTCAATTTTTTTTAGAATTAAATTTTAATTAAGTCGGTCTTGAGTTAAAAAGAAAAGAAAAAAACTTTTTTTAAGGCCCCGGGGTTAAAAATAGAATCTTCTGATGAGTGTGGTTGGCAATTCTGGATTCGAAAAGTTTGGTTTTCCGGAAATTTTCGGTTTGGATATCGATTCCGGATCCAGATATCTGAAGATTTCCTAGGATCCGTCAATTCTATTGGTTATCTACGGTTGGAGTATCGTTTAAGCAGATCTATCTTTCCCATGGCAACCGAATTTTTATATAAAACGTTTCTTAACTATCATCTATTTATTTATGAGCATCTGCAAGGTGGTGTATGCGAGAAAATTTCTTTATGTATAATTAAAATTAATATTTATATAGATATCACGTCGTTGTCAAAGGACTTCATGTCCGTGATGGAAAAGAAGTTAGTACACAATGGAAAAGTGGTGCAGCATTTTTACGTTGTATGGTTTGGAAGGATGATGTTTTGGCTTTTGGTGATAGTGCTGGACGTATTGGTGTTTGGGTTTTGGGTGATAAATCGCATTGTAGACAATCTGGATTGGGAAATTCTACTAGAGGACCTGTTTTAAGAATTGTGTTTTCAAAATTGGCTGGAGATTTTACTTTGGCTGTAGGGTTTTTTTAAATTAATTTTTTAAGGTTTAGCTCTTACTATCTTTCAAATATTTACGAAAAAAAATATTTTTCCTCGTTGGTGAGGGAAGATGTCCATTGGGGAGGGAGTGTCCACTGGGTGAAGGGCCACTGGGTGAGGAAAGACGTCTTTAAAGAGATTCTTGGTTGGGTAGATCCTTTAAAGTATTTTTAAAAACCGAGATCATTTTCTGAAATTATCAACTTTAAGTTAATTTTCTGTTTTAAAATCAGGTTGTAGACTAAAAATATTTTTTTTATATTTTAAAGGCACAACACCCAACTTCCTTAGTTATTTGGGATACGGAAAGATTACATACAGTTTTTGTTTTACAACGTCCTGGATTAAGTGTTATTGATATTGATATGTGTGGATTAACTCCTGGTATTTATATTTAAATTTTAATAAGGTTTCTTAAATAATGTGACATTATTGGAGAAGATAGGGTCATTTTTGTCAACTTTTCTTTTATGGGCATTCTTTGTAGATTTTTTTTTGTGAAATTTTTGTACAGACAAAAAATCGTCCAGGAGAAGGACAACCCTTTCTTCGTTATAATCCCTAAAATAATTTTTATTTTTTTAAGTTTACATTACCTCTGATGGAATGCTTCGTTATGCTATTTCTGATACTGGAAAAGGTTCAAATATTTCTTTGAGTGAATCAGGTTTATTTTGAAATTTTAATTTTTTAACTTTATTTTCAAAAGATTGCCCATTTTTAATTCGTTCAACACACTCAAATATTTTACAAAATTTAATTTGTTATATCTCCAATTTTCAACAAGATTTACTTCAGAATTTATTTAAAATTGATGACAATTATTACAATTATTTGCTTAAAAAATTGGAAAAATTTGAACAAAATAAATTGTTAAAAATTGGTTTTTTGTGTCAATTTATTGGATTATTATCTTTAACAAATTTTATTAAAATTGTTGAAAATGCTTCAAATAAAGATGGATTGAATGATAAATATTTGTCAACAAATTTGTTGCAATTTTGGTCAAAAAATTGTTTTCAGGTTTTTTTTGAGATTTTTTTAAGTTTTAAAATTTTAAAAAAAATATAGAAGAGAATGGAATTAATTGTTCGTTTACTTCTATCAACTTGTAAAAATGAAAATCATTTGGAACAAGCAATTGAAAAATGTATAATTATGAAAAAGGTTATTTATTTTTTTTAAATTAATTTTTATTTTTAAAAATTGGTGTTGGGATAAATTTGTAAGGAAAAAGGTTCGTGATACCCTGTTAGTAGGTGTCAGACAAATAACTAAAGTGAATTTGTTTTGTTTCTATTGTACTATCAGCCTATCTCTGCCCTTGTAAATACATATACCTCGTATTACCTGATTTTTCATATTTTATCTGTACACTTTTGTTCCTTTTGATTATGGTTCGGTTTAATTTTTGCTAAAAAAATCGTCAGGGTCTTTCTTACCCGACGATTATCGAAATCACGAATTTATTTTTTATGTCGGCTAGATTTTCTACTTTTAATTAATCCGTTTATTACCCAAGTTCGACACAAAAATTTAAGAAGAATTAAAAATTAATTTTAAAAAATTAATTTTAAATCTTTTTTTTAGAATGAACTAGCCATTTATTATTTGCTAAATAGTGACAAAACAATTAACAACACAAAAACTAAAGATGATATAAAATTTAATTCTTTTCGTGCTTGTCTTTTATCTGCTAATTTTGATAGTGAAAATTCAAAATGTTTGGTTAAATTAAATGCAACAAATTTAATTGCTTCCAATTTTATTTCTGGTTTAAATTTTTTGAATTTTTTTTTAAATTAAAAAATTTTTCTTTTTTTGAAGAAGGTATTCAACTACTTTCTTTAATTGACCAAGGATTGGATGCATGTAAATATTTAATTTCACAAGGATTGTGGAATATTGCTTTGATCTATTCTAAAGTATGTTTTTTAAAATAAAAACGGGGCTCTTTTTCGTGTTATCGAAAGGTTTACAAAATTTTATTCGCAAGTCTTATCAGAGAAAGGATTAGAATGGTTCGGAATGGTCGGACGAGAATTGTTTTCGATATCTCCAAAAATTATCGATAACTAATTTTTTTGAGGCCTTGTCTGGTCCTATCTGGTTCCTATCTCTTATTTATTTTATTAAAAATATGAGAGAAGAAAGGAGAATATTATTTTGGAAAATTAATATCAATAAAAAAATTTTTCATGAAATATCCTAAAGTTTACAATGAAAATGAGGTCCGTGACCTCCCGCTTTTAAATAGATCAACCAACATATCGAATTTCTAATTTCGAATTTCTACTTAAAAATTTAATTGAATTTACTGTCTCCTACCATTAATAAATAGGTAAAACTTGCGGACTTTTGGGGGAGTGTAAAAAGACAAAAGCTTTAAAAAATCTTTTTACTTATTTTTTCGAATTAAATTTTTAATTTTAAGATTTATCCAAATTGTGATTTTGTTGAAATATATACAAGATATGCTGAATATTTAATTACAAATGTATTAGATAAGAATGTGAGGAATATTTTAAATAAAAAAAAATTTTTTATATTCTACAGAGTTTGGCTTTAATGATATTTGCAAGTTTGGGAAATTGGCAAAAATGTAAGACACTTATTGAAGGTGAAAAAGAAGAAATGTCTGCAAATAAACAATTAATTTTACAAATAATTGATTTAGCTATAAATTGAAATTGTAGAAATACACAGTGGCGGAAGGAAAAGTTTGGTAATTTATTTGACTTTTGCAACAATTGATGCATTGTTGTTGGCAAAAAATAGGTTTGTTCAACCTATCATCCAAAATATTTCTGGATTTTTTTCTAATTCAAATGTTTCTCACTTTTCGGCAGGTCTGTTTTTAAATTTTTTTCTTGTAAAATTAAAAATGGCGTGGGATTAGTTGTTATTGTTCACATTTTTTTGAGAATGAACCCAAAATTATCTTTAATATATTTTATTAAACAAATGGAGAAAATCTAATTAATAATTCAAAAGCAATAACTCCAAAACTCAACCAATCAACAACTTAAGTAATCTTTGGAGACATATATTAATATTAATACAACGATTTTAAAATTAAATTAATTCATTAGAAATTTTGGTAAATCAATATACTCCTCTCATTAATAGTTTCTCAACGTCTTAAATTTCTTAACGTTAATAATCAAAACCGTGATGAAGTAGTTAGTGATGATGAGGATGACGATCTTGATCAGGTATATTTTTATAATGAAATTTAAATCTAAAAATTTTTGAACCAGTAGATTTTGGTTTTTATTATTATAAAAATTTTTAACTGAATAATCTTATTTTTAAGGACTTTCCCGGGTTAAACCCGAACAGAATTTTTGGCGGAAGGCGTGGCGGTGGACGAGGTCGTCGTGCTGGTGGTGGTGGACGTGGTGGTCGTCGTGGTGGTGGACGAGGAGGGAGGAGGATTGTTAATAATGGTGCTAGGGTTGAAAATTCAGATATACAGGTTTTCGATTTTTTGTTTGAAATATTTATTACTTACGAATTTGGAATAAATCGGGGTTTGAATCTGTCCTTTAAATAATGGGTTAAGTGGGCAAAATTTCCCAATTTACATTTTTTGACAAATAACAATTTTAATGTGGCTTAAATATTTTAAATTTTAAAAGGACGAGTTGGCAGACCATCCCATCATTTAAAGGACAGATTCAAACCCCGATTTATTCCAAATTCGTAAGTAATAAATATTTCAAACAAAAAATCGAAAACCTGTATATCTGAATTTTCAACCCTAGCACCATTATTAACAATCCTCCTCCCTCCTCGTCCACCACCACGACGACCACCACGTCCACCACCACCAGCACGACGACCTCGTCCACCGCCACGCCTTCCGCCAAAAATTCTGTTCGGGTTTAACCCGGGAAAGTCCTTAAAAATAAGATTATTCAGTTAAAAATTTTTATAATAATAAAAACCAAAATCTACTGGTTCAAAAAATTTTAGATTTAAATTTCATTATAAAAATATACCTGATCAAGATCGTCATCCTCATCATCACTAACTACTTCATCACGGTTTTGATTATTAACGTTAAGAAATTTAAGACGTTGAGAAACTATTAATGAGAGGAGTATATTGATTTACCAAAATTTCTAATGAATTAATTTAATTTTAAAATCGTTGTATTAATATTAATATATGTCTCCAAAGATTACTTAAGTTGTTGATTGATTGAGTTTTGAAGTTATTGCTTTGAATTATTAATTAGATTTTCTCCATTTGTTTAATAAAATATATTAAAGATAATTTTGGGTTCATTCTCAAAAAAATGTGAACAATAACAACTAATCCCACGCCATTTTTAATTTTACAAGAAAAAAATTTAAAAACAAACCTGTCGAAAAGAAAGAAATATTTGAATTTTAAAAAATCCAAAAATATTTTGGATGATAAATTGAATGATGATTTTTTGGCAACAATGATTCATCACACCCCTGAGTAGATTCTCCCCTCCTTCCAAAAAATATCAACAAGAACAATTATCGCAAAATAGCTAAAAAAAAAATAATTTTCCGCCATTGTAACTTTAATATAAATATATTTTTAAAAACAGAATTTATTTAAATAATTTTATTATATAAAATGATTTTAAAAGATTTTTATTTTTTCTAGTCTTACAAGGTTCTTCTGATTTCTTGAAAAGTTTTCTTTTCTGTTCCGGATAACCGAATATTTTTTACTAACAGATAACCCTATTGAGCATGAAATTTTTTTTTGATTTAAAAAAACTCCCAACATTGTTTAAAAAATTCCCAAAAAATTATATATTTAAATTTCGAGGGCTTTAATTTTATTTTTGACTCTAGTAATTATTTTGTCAATATAGAATTATTAAAATTAAATTTATTTTAACAGTTTATTTTTTCCATTTAAATAATTTTTTACTAAAAGCTGTGGATAATTTCTGAATCAATAAATATATTTTTTAAATCCCTCTCTCTTTTAGGATTAATTTTTTTAATTTAAAAAACACTCATGTATTAATTATTTTAAAAATAATTTTCTTCTTCAATCCTTTCCTCTCTCAATAAAAAATGTAAAAAAGAAGTCAAAAGCCTCTAAAAATTCAACAAAAAATTATTTTTTAATTTAATTTTTCTAAAAAATTTATGGGCTGTGCATTTAGCAGCACTCAAATTTTTTTGGTTGATTCATCAAAACAAATTGAAAAGAAAGGAGGAAATAACAACAACACGAACAATAATAATAATAATTTTGTTCGTTCTCTTATTTTTCACGCGCGACAAGGCTTCTCTCTTTAAAATTTATTTTAATTTTAAAAATTAATTCTTTTGGGTGGAAAAATTAAAATTTAAAATAATATATCCCAGCCAATAAAACACCCCAAGAGAATTGCCGCCTTTGCCATTTTGGTGTAGTGGGATAATTTTTAATTTATTGGGGGAAACTGGAAGGAGGTTCGATCCCGCAAACTTTAATCCTTTCGCCTGTTTCTGAGCTAAGATTTCTTTAAAATAACTCGATATCCCTTCGAGTTTGTTACAAATAGACATTCGAATGTAAAATTTAAGTGATTTGAATTTTATGGCTCTATTTACATTTTATGGTTCCAGTGAACTTTTCGTTCCAAATTTGTCCAAATTCACGAAAAACTGAGGGAAAACTCATTCAGGACACCTCAAACTAATAATTCAAAAAAACTTAGCCACCCCTGTCAACACATCCAACCTAGAGCCTAAACCTATCAGTCATCCATCTTGCTCTATTTACAGCCAACTTAATATTTTTTTGTGTTTTTTATTTTTTACTTTTTTGCCCTCAACTAAATTTAATGAAAAGCCTAATAAAAACAAAAAAAATTTCCCCCCAAAAAAAACAAAAAAATTTAATTAGGCTTTAATCGTTCTGGAACAACAACAATAATAGGCGGAAATGGAGGCGGTGCTGCCCTTTTACTTGCCTCAAAATATGGGAAAGATGTTATTTTAGTTGGCCAGATTAAATCGAATGGATGCCGTCGAAGGCCTAGTAGTGAAGCTAAATTTATTGAACAAAGAAGGAAATTGTCTAGTAATATTTCTGTGAATAAAGAAGGAAATAATAATTCAAAAAATTTGTTTCAAAAGTGAGTTGGAAAAAAAAGATACTATTTTAGTGTAGTGGACACTATTTCCATAGTGTCACATAAAGTGGACACTATTTCCACTTTAGTGTAGTGGGATAATTTTTGATTAAATGGGGGAACTGGAAGGAGGTTCGATACCTCTTGATGGGAGACAATTTTATAATGAAAAGTTGAGGTGTCTAATGTTTTCTGAGAATTTTTCGGAATGTTCAATAGCTAGAAAACCACCCCAAGAGAAACAGCGTTTTGGCCACTTTGGTGTAGCGGGATAATTTTTAATTTATTGGGGAAACTGGAGGGAGGTTCGATCCCGTTCGATGGGGAATAATTTATAATAAAAATTGAAGTGTCTAATATATTTGGAATGGATCCGGAAAAATTTTTTCGGTCCGGAATTTTTTTCTGGATCCGGAATACTTATTTTTACAATTTCCGGAATGCTACTAAGAAAATCCATTCCGGCTCTATTTTAATTAAAAAAATTTTTTTCAAGGATAAATCGTTTAGCTGATTCAACAACTTATGTTGGAGATACTGCTCCAATTTCTGGACCTATTGACTTTCAAAAACGTTTACAAAATTTAAAAATTAAAAGAAATGAAGAAATTACCGATGAAAATAAAATCGAAAAAAATGAAGAATTTAAAACGGAGAAAAATGAAATTTCTCCAAAAGAGCGTTTAAAGAGCCTTGCAGGCAAGTAAAAATATTTTGATTAAATTATAAAAATTATAATTTTTATTTTAGTGGAAGAAAAAGAATTTATAATGCATAGAGCTGAACAGGAGTCGATTATTACTGATGGGTAAATTTAAAAATAAAAATGTTCATTTGTGACTGCAGTGGTTTATTGGTTTAGGTGTCGGTTTGGGAGTTAGAAGGTCCCGGGTTCAACCCCTGTTATTAGGGATATGGTTTTTTGGGTTCTCTAGAATCGGATTATTGACTAGCACTTACTATTTTTTGTCCTGATTTTTTATAAAAATTTTTTCTTTGGTTTTTTAGACAAATATCGTGTTTTATTTGAAGGGGGTTTTCTGAAATTATAGTTTTTGATTTTTTCATGAAGCCTGGGGCTAGTTTATATTTTTTAAATTATTTTTTAATTTATTTTAAAGAGGATTAGACCATCAAAATACAGAATGGGATACTTTAAGCAATACAACATTAAGTGCCGATTGTTGTAGTCAAATTGGGGGAAGAATAGGGTTACAACAACAACAATTACATGATGGGGATGTTAGTGAAGCTAGCTTTGTTTTGGTTAAAAGAAAATTAAAAGTGAGCAAGAATAAAATTAATTTAAAAATAGTCTAAGTTCACTTATAAATACATCTCCTTAAAGCTAAAACCCGTACCTTATATTGAGCTATATCTTAAGTAGAAGGTATCGCCTGATTAGCTCACCCAACCTTGGGCAACCAAATCTAAAGAGTGCGTAACTTAAACAGGTGTTAGCTAGGCTTGAGGGCATCTTATAGCGAGATTTACCCTCTATTTAAGAGACAGCTTATTATAAAAATTTTTCCTATAATGAGATCCAAAAAATTTTTTTCTTTCCAGATAGCTTGGGAGCATCACCAAATCCGTCAAATACGCAAACAAAGCTTATTAAGAAAAGAGAGAATAACAGAAAATAATTGCTGTGATAATATGCTACAAACACCTCAACAAATAAAAAATATTGATAGAAGATTAAGTAATAATTGGATACCTGAAATTACTAAATTAAATGATGAAAATTAAAATTAATTTAAAAAAAAATATTTTTTAAAAATAAATTTATTTTAAAAAAAATTTATTTTTTAAAAAGGGGAGATGTGATTTTATCAAAAAAAGGCAGGAAAAATTGTTGTTATCACTACGGGGGAGTATTAGCCATAAGAAGATCAGATTCCAAATATAATTTCTTCTGTTTTTCCTTTAGTTAAAGGAATTTAATGGATTAGAAACGGAATAGAGACCGTAAGTGTAAAAACAAAACTAAAGCTGAGAAACGTGAAATAAAAAATTGAGCGGCCGGGAAATTCCAAAAAAAGAACCGAGAAAAGGATTGGAAAATGGGGCTGGATTCGAATAGAATAACAAAAACTACATGTCTTTATACCAGGGCTGGATTTTCTTTTGCCTTCCATCTTCCGTTTTTTTTAATTCAAAATTCTCCTGCCCTGCTATATACTCTAGTCCTAAACTTTAAAAATATTGCTTAATTAGTTTAACCTTTCCAATTAACCCTCGTTTTTTTAAAGAAAATTTTTTTAAAAAAAAAAAGATTTCTTTAAAATTTTCACCAAACTATAAAATTTATTTTCGTTTTTTCAAAGAATTCGACAGAGAACTCTGAACAGATTAAAAATTAATAATTTTAAAAATTCTTTAAAAAAAGTTATTTTTAAAAGAATTGCCAGGTGTTAAATTTTAATAAAAATTTTAGAATTTTTTGCCATGTTTAACACACAAAAAAACTTTTTTAATATTAAAAAAGGAATTTTTTTCTGTTATTTTCACTCAAACTTTTTTCTTCAAAAATTATTAAAAAAATAATTGGGTCTATCCAATTAATTATTATTAAAGGGGAAAGGGAGGCGTTACAAAAATAAAAAATAAATTGGGTTCAAAAATTTATTTTTCTGAAATAAAAATTTATTTATATTTCCCTTACTGAAAATTAATTTTTAGCAAAAAAAATGTATTTTTATTTTTTATTTTTTCTGATGTCATTTTTGGAAGGAAAAGCTGCTGAAAATTTATATTTTTATGATGAGTTGGTCCTTTTTTTAATTTTTAATGAATTAATGAACTATGATTAATGACACTATCTGATTTAGCTTCCTCGTTTCCCTTCTCTCCTAAAATTAAAAAATGGTCAACAGGAACAGAAACTGAAGAAGCAAAAATATTTAAAACCAGGAAGATACCCCCCCCCCCTAATTTTTGTATACCCCAGGGAAGTTGATAAAATGAGAGATACTTTGTGTGAATTTCAATTAGGAATAAACTTGAACTTCCATTTGGGCTTAAAACCTTAAATTGAAGCTTCAATGTTATACATGAGATGGTATAAGCCTTAAATGCTATCAAAGCCAAATTGATCTTTTGTAATAAAATTATTAAATAGCTTTGCGCAAATGCCGTTAAGCCGTCTTCCCCAACTTGAAAAATCATTGGATTTGGCAACAGAACTTTTAAATGAAGGTTTTCTTTTAATTTTAAAGGGAGGGGGCGGGATATCCAAAAAGAACCCTTTTCTTTAATCAAAAATTAAAAAAAAATTTTTTTTCTAAGAAAAGCGTAGCAGCTCCATCAATGTCCGTTCACTAACCGACAATAACAACAACCCTTTACTTATTCGATTAGTTTCCAATTCTTTAATTAAAAAATTTGGGGGGATAAAAACAAAAAATGATGTTCGTGTCCGTCTATTTAATTCCCCCACAAAACCCAAATCTACAAATTATCGACTCGTTCGAGTATCTGATGAACAAAACAGACAAGAAAAGGTGGAGAATATGCCCAGTTTAAATAGAAATATTGCAAATCCTTTGTTGAGGCAGCTGTGGACTTGAATAAACGAGGAAAAGAAAAATTTTAAAAAATGTAAAAAATTTAATTTTTGTTTCTTAAGGAATTGAATGTTTAATTTTGAAACTGATAAAGTGAAAAGAATTTTAAATTTAGAATTTTTTAGAAAAAATATTTTATGGTATACGGTAACATTCATTTTCAGCCTATTAATAAACTTAAGGGAGACACAGAATCGCAAGTCACCGGCTCTCGTATCGCAACCAGAGGTGGGTCGGAATTCCGATTTCCGGAAAAAATTTTGGGCAATCCCGGAGAATTGGGGTTTCTTCGAAAAAAAAGTTTAAAAATAAGAAAAAGGATTTTTCTAGGGTAAAAAAATATGCTGATTACGAATCTGAACTCGGATTTTGAAAAAGTCGAATCCCGGACCCGAATTCGGAATTTGACCCCGGACATTGTCGGACATTGTACAAAATGGTCAGTCTTTCATATGCTGGTAGAACTCATCGAGATGCATCGAATGACACCAAAATCGATGAAATCCGACATGATTGGACCGAGATACAGACCCCGGAATATTGAAAAACCATAAGGGTGATTTTTTGGTGTAAAAAAAAGTTTATGCAAATGATAACTCATTCGAAAGAGCATGTCAAGCAAAGTCGAATGACACCTAAATTACAGTGATTCATCAAGTTTTGTCAAGGTTATGACATAAGTCGCCGACTCCTACAGTACTCACATAGGTATACTTTTTGTCATAACTTTGTCCAATCAAGTCAGATTTCGTTGATTTTGGTGTCATTCGATGCAGTTCGACGAGCTCTTTCGAACGAGCTATCATTTGCATATTCGAAATTCGGGTTAAGGGTTCGAAATTTGGTTCGGGTTCGGGATTCGACTTTTTCAAAATCCGAGTTCAGATTCGTAATCAGCATATTTTTTTACCCTAGAAAAATCCTTTTTCTTATTTTTAAACTTTTTTTTTGAAGAAACCCCAATTCTCCGGGATTGCCAAATTTTGATATCCGATTTCCGACTTGAGAGCCAGTTTCGATTTCCGGCTCTTCCGATTTCTGCCCACCTCTGATCGCAACCAACGGTTTTCGATTTCGATTTGGTTAGTCAACCCCTAGTAAATATAATCCACACTTTTTATACAACAACAATTTTATACAATACAAATTTAATGCAAAAAATCACAACATCTAATCCCCAAAACGCGCGCTTTCTTAGAACCAATAGGAAAACATAAATACATAATTTTATGTTCTAGTGGATTATCTACACCAAACATTTCATACTCCACAATTTTGTAAATTTCTTCCATTTCTTCATCCTGAGCTCGAAAATAACGTTCTTCTTCTTTTAACAGTTCGCCATGCATTTTCCGTCCAATAAGATAAAAGCCTCGATATCCGTGAATAACAACGTGATGATACATAAAATCGTATTCTCTAGAAAAACCGTATTCTTTGTAAACCAGATAAAAACATTTTGTGTGGAATTTAAACGGGGAATCGCCAAAAAATAATTCGAGAATGTCCGGATTGATATAGGCTTGTTCAACTTTGAAGTTTTCAATGAAGCACTGGGAAAGCTTTTCAAGCCAGAAACGAAAAATAAGCATTTCTTCAATTGTTTGTGGATATTGTTGTAATTGAAGACGAATAAATTTGGGCGATGTTCCATCTAAAAATGAAAAAAGTTATTTGTGAGAAAGCTTCAAAAGTTTGACACTTGTGTTGTTTCCCTCCCCTATCCAATTTTTTCCCACAATACACGAAATGGAGTCATTTCTTTGTATAATCTAGAGTTGGCCGGTATCGGGATTTAGAGAAAAACCCGGGATCGGGATTTTGGAATGGTGATCCCGATCCCGGATCCCGACACGGGATCGGGATTGGCCGAAATCGGGATCGGGATTTGGACTGGAGATCCCGATCCCGGTCCCGATCCCGAATCGGGACCGGGATTGAAAACTCGGGATCGGGATTTACTAAAAAAAATTTTTTTTAACTTTTAAATTTTTATTTTCTTCACAAACGACTCAATATAATTCTAAAATTTCCACTGCGGTGCTAAAATATTGAGTTAAAGTCTCATAGACGCATGATTTACTTTCCGGTTCAGGGTATTAAGGGGGGATAAGGTAATGGGAGGGGGGAGGATAAATGGGATTGGGCTTTTGATTTTCAAAAAATTTGCACCTTTTGAAAAGTTTGGCACCTTGGCCTTCCAAATTTTGAAAAATTTTGAAGGCCAAGGTGCCAGATTTACTCCCTTTTAAGCGCCGCAGGCAATAATTTTTAATCTTGGAAGGCCAAGGGCATGTAAGTCTAAACGTTCAAGTCTACATGATTAAATGCGTTACGTTCAAATGTTACGTTCAACGTTCAGCGTTACGTTCAACTGAAATTGAGTGATTAAGCGATATATTCATGTCCCTCGTAAACCCTCGGTTCTCTTCAAATCTAATTTAATCACTGTAAATCCACCGATATCCTTCTATGCTCCAAATCCACCTATACTCCCCTCAACCCCTCTTGATCACTCGATATCACACCAAATCACTCAATATTTCGTCGAAGTTTTATAGACAGCTTTGTTTAAATTTGCTCCTTTTCTGCGCCGCAGGCGAAAATTTTGAGAATTTTGGATGTCAAGATCCCAAATTTCTTCCATTTTCTGCGCCGCAGGCGAAAATTTTTCTTAATTTCATGCCTCCCCTCTTCTGTTAACTTTAATTCACAGACTTCTATTCAATTTATAAAGTCGGGATTTGCATCGGGATCTGATGCACATCCCGATCCCGATCCCGGATCCCGGCTCGGGATTGAAATTGGCCGGGATCGGGATCGGGATATTTATTTCGGGACCGGGATCAGAAAAATCGGGATCGGGATTTGAAAAACCCGGGATAATCCCGCCCGATCCCGACCGGGATCCCGATCCCGGCCAACTCTAGTATAATCTCACAATATTTCTCTGTAGCATGATTCAATCAGTGCGAGATAAGTGAACAAAAAACATCAAAAAAATGACTGACCATTTTGCACATTATAGAAAATTAGGTATGGGAGGGAAACAACACAAACACCCTAAAGCTGACTTGTTTCTCCTGATTCAAACAGCAAATTCCCAATTTCATTTGTTTTATCGTCTGCGTCAGATTCGGTTTTGTGATCAAGGTAGAAAGGAATCCGTTCTTGAATTGCTGCTTGATACTGAAAAATGAAAAGAATTTTTAAGCAGAATAACCCCCTCTCCCAATTATTTACCTTTAATTTATCTCCTTCGCTTAAAGCCAAGTCCAACTCATCAGGAGCACACTCCAACTCTTTACAAACATCTGAAAAATAAAAACTTATAGTCGATTAAAGAGCAAAACCCTTACAATTAGCAACCAATTCAACAGAACAAAACACTTTCCTAGCCAATTCTCTGTTGTATTTGACAATCACTTCACAAAAATGACGATTTGACAGTTGAAAGTTGTTCAATTGGTAAAAGTTGAGGCATTTGAGGATGTCAAGTTTTGATTCGACAGGTAGAAGATTCATTGTTGATTGATGAGAGAAAGGTTGTTTTAAGGTATACTTTAGCCTTTTATACTATCCTAGACTGTATTCGACATTACTGTAGTCTATGTAAAAATTTAGGATTATTAACTCAATTTAAAGGCTCTTCTCGATTTTGTTGATTAATAGGGATATGTAGCGGTTTGCTCAACAACTGAGGAATAGCGCAAATCCTTTGTTGAGGCAATTTTGGGCATAAAACCGTAAAAAAAAGAAGTCTTGTACCATTTTGTCTTTTTTTGACGCTGTACTGTTTTGTCCATTTTTATCAATGGTACCATTTTGTTTTTTTACCCATAGTATTATTTTGTCAATATTTACTTCTATGTACCATTTTGTCGATTCTTAGCCGTAGAATCCTTTTGTTTCTTTCATCTTTCGGTACCATTTTGTCTGTTTTTGTCAATGTACCATTTTGTTCAGTGCTATTTTGTCGCGACACAGTAATTAATTAAAGAGTACGCAAAAACAAGAGAGACAGAGAAATAGTAGACGAATTAATTGTTTTCACTGACGATCAATAGGAAATCGATCTGTAGGGTTTTTATTTGGTGTTCTTTAATATTTTTATTTTTTAGAGGAATGGCATCTTTTGTCAAATCAACAAAAAATGCCGACAAATTAGTTTTTGAAGGATTTATTTATGTAAAATACAAAAATGGTGCTGCCAACAAGCGTTATTGGAGATGTGAATATTGGAGAAGTTGTAAATGTTATGGTTTTGCTGTAACTAATGCAAATAATGAAGTGACTGTAACAAAACAACACAATCACGGGCCTTCACCAAACAGAATTGAATTGGCTAGAATTAAAGACAGAATTACCCAAGCTGCTATTAATTCTACTTTGTCTCCTAGAGAAATTGTTAATGAACAATTGGCTGGGATTAGTGAACAGGCTAAGGTTTTTTGTTTGATTTTTTTGGGGTTTTCTGGGGGTCAGCCCTTCCCGCTGACATTCCTGTCCGTTTATTCGCCTAGGAACTAGATGAAATGGGTGACGTTGGACAGGGTTTCGGCTAACTGGGTTGACCCAGTCTCCCGTACACACGTTTTAAGAACCTTTGAATTATTTCTAGGACTAACCCATAAGATCAGCTTCCCAAATATCTACATTTAGGTCTGTTTTCTTTTATTTTTTTAACTTGTGTGGTTCGTAAATTTAGGTTTCAAGAGGGGGAAACACGAAATGATAAATTTTTGTGTGTCTCTGGTCGGGTTCCGTAAATAAGGGCATAAAGGGTAAAAAAGGAGTAATATGTGGAAGTTTGGGTTATTTTAGTGTGTTTAATTTTTCTGAGTTTAATTTTTAATTTCCAGGCAACACTTCCCAAATTTGTCAATCTCCAAAAAACAGTTGGTCGAAAACGTTATGCTGATGGATATCGAATGCCTTTGCCCAATTCTCTTTCAGAAATTGAAATTCCCGAACAATTGAGGCGAACAAAAACTGAACTTCAAGAAGAATTTATTTTGGTAGATACGGGGCCAGCTGATCCAAATCGAATAATTCTTTTGGGTTCTAGAACAGATGTTGCTAGGTTGGCAGGTTGTGATGTTTGGATTTGTGACGGGACTTTTAAAAATGGTGGAAATGTTCAAACATTATATCAACTTTGGGTATTTTTCTTTAATTTTTATTGCTGAGAGTCCGCAAGTTCAGGTTGTAAGTAATGAGATGTTTTTATAATGAGAAGAACCTGTCTGTTGCTATTTTGGCTGCCTTGTTTCCTATGTTCCAAATTAAAAATTTTTTTGTTTATTTTTTTGAAATTTGCGGACGGCTTTTGCGGACGTTAACATTCCTGAAAAATCTAGTTAACTAAATTTTTTGATTTATAATTTTCGTTGTAACTCTTTGATTCTTAAAATTTTTAAGTTTTCTCTTTAATTAGAAAAAAAATTTTTTTAAAGATAATTTATGGCCGTTTTGGACGTTCTTTTGTTCTTCCATTTATTTATATTTTAATTCCTTCAAAAACAACAGACTTTTATTTGAGATCTATAGAACTTTTACTTGTCAAAATTGATGAAATAACTCCTGGTTCTCGTCCACAAACAATAATTATTGATTTTGAAAAAGTCGAAGAACAGGCTTTAAGAAATGCTTTTCCTTATGCAATAATTCATGGATGCTTCTTCCATTTTAAGGTCTTTTTTTAAATTTTTAACAGAAAATTTTTAACATTTAAAGGAATCTATTTTGAGAAAAATACAAGAATTTGGTTGGGGATTACAACATCAAGAAGAAGATGGTTTTCTTAAATATTTAAAAATGTTTGTTTGTCTGACTTTTGTTGATCCAGGTTTTTTTAATTTTATTATTTTGTGTTATTACTTTGGGTTGTTTTGTTTTAATGACAATGGGGGACATTTTTTACTGTCAATCCGAATCTGATATTTTTGATATCATTCTATACTGACCCCCCGTTTCCCGATTGCGATGTGTATCTATTCTCTTGCAAAATGATTTTGGATCGAGTTATTTTTTTAATCTGCGTTGATATTATTTTTCGATTCAAATTTCTAACTTTTCGCTCTGTCCTAATTTTTAGTGGAAGACTGGGTGGGTAAAATTGACCATAAATAATCTTAAAAATCCTTATATGACTAGGTTGGAGGCTTGCACATTTATTCATTCCCGTATCACTTTTACTCGAAATCTTTCGGCTATCTAACCAATAGAGATCGGTACTTTCAAAAATCCTGGATCTGGATTTAGGTTAGTAACCTGAACAGGATTCTAGATCTGGATCCAGGAAAAATCCAGACAAGATCTAGATCCAGATCGATCTCTACTAACTAATCAGCGGTCGGATGCTGATTGGAATCGAAAATTCAGTTCGCCTAACCTTTTTTTTAATTTCTGTTCAATTTATTTTAACTAACTTTCTATTCTTTCTTTACAGCATGTGTTCGTGCCTGTTTCCATCGATTAGCTCAAATGTTTCTTGAAGTTTTTAGCAATGGCGATTTGGAAAGTCCACATTTTGCTTTTATTGATTATATGGAAAGAACTTGGGTTGGAAGAGAGTTAATGCCTCCAAGATATCCGCCAACAATTTGGAATAATAAAGATATAACAATTGAACAGATGCCCAAATCTTCAAATTCTGTTGAATCTTGGCATAATACTTTTGCTGGAATATTTAATAGACACTCTTCAAATCCTTATAATCTTGTTAGGGCACTTTTGGATAAACAGGTTTTCTTTAAATATTTTTTTGGGACGTTTTTGGGGAGTATTAATTTGGTAATACATTCAAATTGTGAAAATGACTAAATTTTCATTAGGGTCTTTTAATAACTTAAAAATATTTTTGGGACGTTTTTGGGGGTCTAGTAGGTAATACATTAAAATTTTAAAATGAGTAAATTTTTCATTTTTGGGCGTCTTTTGACTAAAAAATATTTTTGGGAATGATGTGATTTTATTACCTTCTTTTTGAATGTTTTCTTTTAATTTTAACAATAAGAGGCGTTTTTTATGTCAACGTGGTTTGGAAGAGGAAATTAAAAAAAATAATTTTTAACTTGTTCCTCTCAAAATTGTTTTCAAGCCAAAATTTTTTCCCTTTGTTTGTTTAAGAATTGTTCCTCTTTTTTTCTTCCTATCTTCTTTCCGTGTCGGGCTAACTCACAGAACGGACAAGTCACGGAATAACCAAAACATGGAATATTTTAAAAATCGGAATTTTTTGAAAAATCTGAATATTTCAAAAAAAATAAGAATTTTAAAGAATTAGAATACTTTAAAAAAAGAATTTTAAAAAATCCTAAAAAATTTTGATTTTTTAAATTTTTCGTGTTTTGGTCATTCCGTGAGTTGTCCGTACCGTGATTTCGTTAATTACGTGACTTGTCGTTCCGCGACCTGTCTGTTCCGTGAGTTGGAATTCCTTGAGTTAGCTCCCACCACTTTTTTCTAAAAAAATTTTTTTTATTTTTTTAAAGGCTCGTGTTGATACAATAGCTGTTCGTATATCATCTGGTGCTGTAGTTCAAATGTTTAGTCGACCTGAATATCGACGGGATAATCAAAATTTATTGAATGTTTTAAGAGGTGTTGGGGGGCCTAGAGATCCTATTGAATTTTTGACGGCTTGTTCGAATTTTATTAATTTTTAATTGAAAAGATTTTTTTTATTTTTAACGAATTATTTCTATAGCTAATTTTGTATTTTTTTAATTTTTTAAATGTACTGGTCCTTTTTTTCTCAAATAAATATTGTGTCTTTTTATTTTTTAAAATGTTTATAAATTTATTAAATTAATTAATTATTTATCTTTTTAATATTTTAAAAAATTTTTGAATTTATTTTGAGTTTTTTAAGGATGGCAGAATTTGTAGAAAAATCATTGGAAGAATTACTTCCAGTCTTTGAACAACTCAAATTGGTTCAATTGTTTTCTCCTGAGGAAGTTTGCGATTTTATTAAGAATTGTCGTGATTATGAGTACAAATTTTGCAAACAGGTTTTTTTGTTAATAAAAAATTGGAGGAGGGAAAGGGATTTTAAGTTGGGGATTTTAGAGAGGAGATGTGTAGGAACCTGGATTCTTGAATGGAGCGTGGTAACAATTTTAAGTCCTATTTCAATGGAACTATTAAGAATTTTCTAAGCTCGTGACTAATTTTGGTAAAAGATTTCTAGCCGTTTTCTACATGATTCCTCGCGAAATTTAATTTTGCGTTCACATTATCTACACAAACCCCCTTAAATTTCTTCAATATTTTTCCTTTTAAATTTTGCTTTTTTAATAGACAAAAGTTGCCAAAGACTTTTTGGCGTATGCAGCATATTTAGAAGAAAAATTGGATTTAATTGTTGAACGACGAAAAGAATTAAAGTTTTTACATCGATATGATCAAATTGAAAGACCATTAAAGCATAAATGTGCTCATCTTTATCGAATATGTGCTGCTAGGTTTAAGGTTTGGTTTTTTTTAAATTTTTATAGAAAATATTTATAGCAATAGCTGAAAACCGATTAAGATTCTCTGAAGATTTTTTTCTAGTCTTCAATGTTAGGTATCTTATCGAAAGTCATCGATGTATCAAATTATAGATTTATTCAAGTTGGACCAAGGGATTTGTCTTTAAAAGTAGAGAAGGTCGTCTAGGGATTCCTGACTCAGGACCGTAGCTAGGGAGTAATACTGGCTACCAATTCAGCGCAGATAAAAAAGAAGTTTTGGCCCTGTATCTACTATAGTTATAAGGACCAATCGACAGTTTAGTTTAAATAAATCTAAAATTTCCAAAATGTTATTTAAAAATTTTTTTTAGAAAATGGAATATCATAATAAAGAAATTGCTTTTCTACACAATGCAAAAATGCGCAAATTATGCAGTCAGGCTTATACTCGTTTACTTCAAGTAATTTTTTCAAATTAAAAATTCATCTTGTCTCAACTTCAGATTTATGCCCATTTACCTGAAAATCATGTGAGAGCTGCTCGTTTTGAATTTTTTGATAATAAAAGTGCAGAAAATGCTCGAACATTAATTTTGATGGGTTTGAGGAAATTTCCACAATTTATTCCTCTTTGGGTGACACATTTTGAAATTGAATTACGTTATGTGGCAAGGTTTCTAATTTTAATTTTTAAAGATTTTTTGGCTTTTTTTTCTTTAAAAAGATAAGGAAAGTGGGAAAATTTCAAACTAATTTTCTGAAATTAAAAAAAATTTCCAAAATTTTTAAAAAATTAAAGAGAAATTTTTTTAGATTACTTGAACGACGAGAATTTTTAATGAAAACAGACGATCGTAGCAGCCATCTACTTTCTAAAAATAATGAAGAGATTAAAAAATCATTTGATCCTATCAATACTGGAGATGATGAATTTTTAAAATTGAGTCTTGCAAAAGTTGTTTTTGAAATGGCTGTTAAAACAATTCGGGAAAGAGGACTTAAAGCAGGTTTTGATTTTAATTATTTTTTCTTAAAAAATCAAATTTTAAAATTATATTATCAAGCTCCAAATAGTGGAATTTTTAACATTTTTTCTCATAAAGGGTTAAGCATTTTTTGTAAATAGAAATCAGAAAGATTGGTAGGGTTGCCTGTTTGAAAGATCGAGTTGGGCATCGAATTTTGGCTCGAAAAGACTTGGTCGGGCCGGCTCGAAAAAGATGGTTCGAAAAAATGCGGCCCGATCGTACACGGCAATTCTAGTTATCATCTTCGTCTCTGGTGACGTAATATTTTTTCAAGGTCCGAATATCCATTGCCCCTCACTTTTGCTTGGGTTTTGGCCCCACACTTTTTGGCCCCCTCGATAATAAACATTTTTCAATTTAAATTAATTTAGGATTAATTCGTCAATTTATTCAAATAGCTGAAGATTGTGGTGAATTTACAAAAGATTTGGTTTTAAGTATGCGTGAATATATGAGTATTTATGGGCTTGAATTGGAAGAAGAAATTGACCAAATGGAGGTTTTTTTTGAATTTTGAGAATTTAAAATAATTTTAATTTTAAAAGGTTCCAAATGAAGATTTATTTGAAATTGACACAAAAAGAATGGGAATTGATGAAATAAAAAAAGAAGAAGAAGAAAATATAAAAGTTGAAAGGAAAAGTGTTTTGGATGGTTTTAATGCAGACGATCCGGAAATTAAAAAGGTTTTTTAAATAATGGTTGATAAAAAAATTTTTAAAAATTTATTTTAGTTACTTGAAAAGGCTTCACTTACAGAAGTAAGTTTCTAAAAAAAGTTTTTTCTTTTTTTTTAATTAGAAAATTTTTATATATTTTTAGTGGTTAGCCGACATTTGCGGACCCGCACTTGCGGACCGACATTTGCGGATTCGCACTTGCGGACCGACACTTGCGGACCCGCACTTGCGGACCGACACTTACGGACCGACTTTTGCGGACCGACACTTGCGGACCGACATTTGCGGACCCGAAATGAATTTTTAAAAAAGATGATAAAAGACCGGTTTTAGTTATAAATCCGGAGCCAATCTTAGCAATTTTTTTTCTTTTGAACCTATCCATTCTCTTGTGCTTTTTTTAAAGAGAAAATTTTTTGAATTCTGGGGCGATATTCTAAAATTGAGGTAAGGGTAACCAACCCTCAGTTGCGGGTAAAGTGACACACAATCAGAACTCTTATCCAAAATGCGGGTAACTCTACAAAAGAGTTCTGGTTTGTTATGCAGGGAATAGAATTGTACCCTCATCTGACGTGGGTTAAAATCCTACCCGAAGCTCTTTAAAAATTAAAAAAAATATTTTTGGATATAATTTTTAAAAATTCTCGTTCATTAGTAAATTTACTGTAAGCTCTCCACATTTTTGAGATTCTGATTTTCATTTTCAAATAAATTTCTTTTAAATTTTTTAAAGTTTTATTTCTTTAATTTCTTTTTATTTTTTATTTCATTTCGGGTCCGCAAATGTCGGGTCCGCAAGTGTCGGTCCGCATATGTCGGTCCGCAAGAGTCGGTCCGCAAAAGTCGGTCCGCAAGTGCGAATCCGCAAAAGTCGGTCCGCATGTGTCGGTCCGCAAGTGCGGGTCCGCAAATGTCGTTTAGCCATTTTTAGTTAAAAAATATATTATGTACTATTATTAATATTTTTTGGACTTATTATTCTATTTTTTTCTATAAAGTGTTGATAGTTACTTTAGTGTTGTGGGAAAATTCTATTATCTTTAATTCAGTAGGCATAGGTTCGACTCCACATTGGGAAAATAATTTTATTAGAAGAAAATTGAAGTGGATTCTTTTAATAACTTAATCTTTAATTAAAAAATTCTTTTTTGAAAGGATTATGATTCAAAACCTTTGGATGAAGTATTAAAACGTTCAAAAACACAAGAGAAAAAAATTAGAAAATCTCAAAATTCCAAAACAGCAGGGGAAAGTTGGTTTGGATTGCCTGCTTCTGAAATGGATGAAGAAAAACGGAGAGATTTGGAATTGATACAAATGAGGAATATATTGGATCCAAAACAGCATTACAAAAAAAGTGACAGAAATGTTTTGCCTAAATATTTTCAGGTTTTTTTTTAAATAAAAAAATTTTACTTTTTACTGACACAGGGGGCTGGTCATTTATGGGTCCTGGCCTTATAGAAAAATTAATAGATAATTTTAATTTTTGGAAATATACATAGTTGGGTTTCACTCCCCCCACTCTCTTTTTAAAGGAAATTCTACTCTGCTCGTTTAAATAAAAAACAACTGAATGAAATAATTTAGACAAGCATCCTGACTAGGGTTTCCAAAATGGACCGACTCGAACCGAAAGATCGAGTCGGGCCTAGATGTTTGCCCCGAAAAAGACTCGTACCGGCCCGACTCGATAAAACAAGCCCGAAAAAAATTGCCTCGACCGTCGGCCCGACTCGAAAACGGCAACCCTAATCATGACTTCTTTTAAGGCAATATATGTATTTGCGGTGGTACTTCACAAGCTTCCCTCTCCCTTTCCCATATTATTTTTTTATAAATAATTTTATGCTAAAAATTTGTTTTTTATTAAAAAACCCTCAGAATTGCTCAAATTTTGTTATTAAAAAATTTCTTTTAAAAATAGATTGGTCAAATAGTTGAATCTAGCGCCGATTTTTACTCTGCTCGTTTAAATAAAAAACAACGTAAAAATACTTTAGCAGAAGAATTAATGAATGATCACGAAATTATTGCTAAAAACAAAAAACATTATGCTAAAATTATTAAAAAAAGGGAAGCTACAAAAGGTGTTGGAGTATTTAAAAAGTCTGGGTATTTGCCTAAACATAAAAAGAAAAGGAGAAAAAATTTTTAAGGTTTTTTTTAAATTTAATTGGTACTACTGAAGATAGGAGGGCTTTTTCTGCGGACTTTTTTTGCGGACTTTTCCTTTCTTTTAAATGTTTTACTTGTAGCAACAAACTGTCAAAGGCCTTCCCCCTATTATTTTTCTTAACTAAGATTGTACATAAAGGTCAGATTTCCTTCTTCCTCTCCTTCGTTCTATTTGCCCTGTGACATATTAAAACAAGAGACATTGATACAGAGAAGATGATTTTTTGCCTCCGAAAACAATTTAAACAAAATAAAAGAATTAAATAAAATGATTTGGTGTATAACATTATGCATTTCTGTGTCAAAACATTACATTCGTACTTATATTTAAAAATATTGAACAACTGAAAAAACTAAATTGAACTCAATATTGAACAACTCAATTAAAAATATTGAACAACTCAATTAATTTTAATCTTCTCTGTATCAACAATGTCTTGTTTGAAGCTCATTTGTCAGAGGAAAGAGAGGAAGGAAGAAATCTGACCATTTTGTACAATCTTAGGTAAAAATAATGTAGGGGGGGAGGGGGGGCAAGGTTTGAAATTAACATCATTTCTGTTACACAATTACATATTCTTTTTCAATGAAGCATTCCGAGATCAGTGATCCATAGTTGAAATTCATCATCGGGTAATTGAAAATATAGGTGAAGTAAAATTTTTTATTGATTGTAACATTTTAGAATGTTCAATTAATCATGAACACATACTCCTTTGACAGTTTGTTGCTACAAGCAAAACTTGCTACAAGCAAAACAACCAAAGCATTAAAAAAGAAACATTTAAAGGAAAGGAAAAAGTCCGCAAAAAAAGTCCGCAGAAAAAGCCCTCCTATCTTCAGTAGTACCATTTAATTTGAATTGTTAATAATTTATATATAAAATTGTTTTAGAAGTTACAAACTTTTTTTGGTTTTTAAAAAAATACACACAATTTAGGCAATAGGGGAAGAAAGAAAAAATTTTTTAAGTGGGGCTTCGTGATAGTTTTAAGAAATTTTATTTTTATAGTGGTGTTTTCTCTTGTTAAAAATTTTCAGATTCGAATCAAGTATTATTACTTTTTTTTATAGCTCGGTTCCGAATATCCAAAGATTTTTCAAGAGTCAACAAAATTCTACTCTGACCTCTAACTTGTATTTTCGATTTCTTTAATATAATTTTTATTTATCGAGTTTAATTTAAGTTTTGTCAATTAGTGCTGCTCGAGATTCACGGTCTCGGCTGTCGATCCGAGAATTTTCTCGGTTTAGGTCTCGATTTCTCGTTTCGGACCTAATTCTCGGTTCTCGAGTCTCGGTAAAATTTCAGTCTCAAGCTGCACTATTGTCCGTCGTCTAATTATTTCTTAAAATTTGAAAAGGGCAAATTAAAAAAAATTTTTTTACAAATCGATTAATCTATATGTTAAGGGGGAAATTTACATTCATAAAAATATTTTCATTTTACTCAAATCCTTTCAAAATAATTTTTGAAATTTTTTATTAAGAAAGATTTTCTTTTAAAATAATGTCTCTCTTTTGTTTCCCTCATTTTATATTTTTATTGTTTTTGTCCTTAAATGCAGCTGTAAAAATAAAAAAAATTATTTTGACGTTTCTGTGAAGAAATAAAAATTTTTTGGAGAAAAAATCGTTCGCTTCTACGTTTTTGCTTAATTGAATAATTTTTGTGAATTTTTAATCTTTTTAATTAAAAATCCTCACTTCAGTGACCTTACTTCAAGATCCCCTGAAAGATCAAAAAATCTGTACCCTATAATGAGGCGTTTATTAAATAGAGGGTATCTCTTAAACAAATCCACTACCCAGTGGAAATTGCGTTTCTTAAATAGATGTGTTTTATAATGAGGTCCTACCTTCTATTTAAGAGACACCTCATTATAAGATACAATTTTTTGTGTTCCAGGTGGGTATCGTATAATAATTTCTCTTTTAAAAATTTTTTAGATGCCTTAAAAACCCCAAAAATTTTCTTTTTTAATGATATTCTCTTATGGATTAATTTTCATCATTTTTATCAACCTAATTAATTTAATAGCCGAAAGAATAAATAATATCCCTTCATTGTTTAGACATAAAAGAGAACAACAATCCCTTACATATCCACCAATTTATCATATTTGTGGAAATTTTCCAAATTTTATTTATTCTTTATTACGTAAGAAAATCTTTTGAAAGTTTAATTTTGAATACTCTGTTAGAAGAAATTTTTGAGAGTGAATTCTGGAAACAAATATCCATTTAAAATCCTAATACACCTATAAGATCAGCACCTTTGGATATCAACGGCCAAAGGATCAAATTGTTTTGGGATCAAACAATATTAGAAGCCTGTGAAAAATAAAAGCCCAGGGCTTCTATTAGGACATTATTTTACTTTTTTAAGGTTACATATTTTCTTCCCAAATTTCCATCTCAAATATTCCTCAAATATTTTTATTTCCCAGCCTGTCAAGTTTGTCGAAATGGTGGGCGTTCACTAAACCTACCATGTACATCCCCAATTCAATGTGTTATTTACTACACACAAGGAGCAACAGAATGTATAGACAGTCAATGTTGCACGGCTATTTCTTCTCTAGAAACATTAAATGTTCAACCCTCCATACAATTTGAACAACAAAATGGACAACAACAAAATAATCTAATTGAAGAACAAACTGAAGGTTCTTTGTTAAGGGAGGATTTTTAAATTCTAGCTTAAGGTTATTGCCCAAATAATGAGCGCTCCAAAACTCGTTGCAGGTTAGCGTGATTGTTGTGAAATTCTTTAAAATGTGTTTTAATGGTAGACGAGGCTTGAGGCATTTCTTGAGTTAATCCACTTGGTCCATCCCAGAATGTCAATCCCTTAGAGGTCAACTCCTTTTGGAGAGAACTTCCTTCATCTCCTTTTTTCCCTCTGGGGTTTCCCCTACCCTAGTTGATTTTGTGAAAATGGGTTGGTCTCTAACCTGAATTCCATCCCTCTGAAAATGGGGTTTTCTCGTGGATTACCCCATTTCATATAACGAAACTACAAAGGTAGATGAAAATAAAAAAATTTTCCAGTGCTGCAGGCCAATGTTCTCCTTCCCAAGAATGTCTAAATGGAATATGCTGCCCACAAAACCCTAACAATTATCTAGGTAGTTTAATTAATAATTCTATAAGAAATCTTCTTAAGAGGCTTGTGGAGGTCAAATAGCTATAGAACGTTGTGATTCTGGAACGTGTTCAAACGGATTGGTATGTACCGCCTCTCGATATTGTTGTCAATGTAAAGTTGGCCGTTCTGCTGGATATTGTAATATGGTAAGAGAATACAGACTTGGCCATGGACAAGGGTTTTAGTATCCGTATCATGATATATCCCTCCAACTTTTGAGTCATATCCATCCGCAGGTATCCGTGGATATATCAAATTTTCTCAGAATGGTCAACATGACGGATATCTGCGCATTTGGGGTACATATCCATGGATAGCCGCGGGTATCCGGATCCCATCCGTATCCATGATCACGTCTGATGAAATATGGAAAATTTCTTTTAGGGTGCTTGCCAACCCGGTTATCAATGTCAAAATGGATATTGTTGTCCTTCTTGCCCTGATAATACAATGACTTTTGGTGTTTGTACAGCGGGGGATTCTACAAATTATAATTTACAATATTCAAATGGACAAAGACAATTGGGCTGTCCCATTGGTAAATTCTTATGTATTTTAAATCAAAATTAAGTCGAAGAGTCGGTCCACATTAAAATATATCCACACAAACACTAGACACACCTCTATTTGGGATACGTTTTAAAAAAAAATTTTTTTGTTGACCACAATATGGAGGAGTTGCCCCAAAGCCTTCTATTTAAGAGACACCCTCAATATAAGACCCCTCCTATTTAATATACAACTCATTATAAGGCACCCTCCAAGGGGGTATCTTTTAATGATGTCTGACGTATTGTTAATTAAATTAAAAAAACCTCCTTTTATTATTAAAAAAATCTTTCAATTTTTTAAGGTTATAAATGTTTAACTGGTGATATTTGTTGTAAACAATAAACAAAACAAGAATTTTATTTGAAATCTTCAATAATTGGAGGCTTTATATGCATTACATTATTTCTGTATTCCATTGTTGATTTTAATCCTTTTCGATTAACCCGGTTAATATCTGCTGGATTTAATGTTATCAATTCTGGTTGAATCTAAAGAAAAAATTATTAAAAAATTTTAAAAAATTATTTTTTATTTAAATAATTAAAAAGGAAATTTATTAAAGGAAAAGACATTTTGGAAATTATTAGAGTAGTTTAAGCGATTAAACAAGCCCTTTTGATTTTGGAGACGGAAAGGTCCATACACATACATAGAAGACAAGGGCGTGACCAAGAGGTCGATTTCATTTCTGTGTCCAAAACTCAACCTTGTTTCTTGCCTATCAAGGTTAAGGTAAGGTATTCCTGATTCACCCATCCCCTCCAATCCCCCTCTGGATACGCCCTACAGAAAACCAATAAACCTAAAATAAATTTTAAAAAAATATTTTTGGCTTCCTAATAACGGTTCCCCTTTATAAAAAAAATTTCCAAAATTTTATAAAAACAAACCTTATCAAGCAACATTTTCACTTCTCTCTCTTTCCTTTGTTGTTTTGATTCAAAAGGATTTGCTCGTAACGCATCAAAATTTGCCTGTCCAGCGCCGGGTATTAAAAGACTTGACAACCCTAAAGTGTGTCCAACACCCAAAACATCTTCGTATGGACAAAATTTTAAATCTGTAATTGTTCCTTCACATTTATGCATTAAATAGGGTGTAGTAGACTGACCCAAATGTGGGTTTTTGATAATCTAAAAAAATATATATTGATTAATCAGAATTTTTTGGGGTTTTAATGATATTTTACGATAGTAAAAGAAGATAATTCGTGGTTAAATAATCTACGACGCCCTTTTTCTACCTGATTAAAATAATCTTGTGGTTACCTTGCCATGGTCGTTTGTCAAACAACCACAGACATTTGACCTAATTCTTACACTAAAGGCTTGGTCAATGAGGAGGTCATTTGGTCAGACAAAAATTCGAAGAAGCAAATTCATAAATATAACTCCCTCCCTCCCGATCACTTATGCATGATTCGAAACACCCGGTTTGAAATATCACAGCCTCTACTTATGATTAGAGACCGGACCTAAAGGAGATCTCGAAAAAAGCACGGTTATCGAGATCAATATTTTTCCAAGCTATTGATTCTCGATTGACGTTCCCAGTCAATCCGGTCTTTACTCAATCAAACGAAAAAAAATCTCAAATTCAGAAAAAGATTTTCTCAAAATCATTAAGAAACCTGCAAATTATTTCCTGAATTAACCGCCAAAAAATTTGTTTGACTAAAAGCAACATGTGAATAATGTACTAACGGACCAGAATAAACAGCCAATTCACTATAATTCTTCCTCAAATCCCAAATTCTCAATTTATTGTCCAATCCACTCGTTGCCATATAATTTCCATTTGAATTTATAGAAATACCCAAAATTGGCCCTTTATGTGCAAACATTTCAATTAACGGTTTTTGAACATTAGGTGACCACATTGTTACTAAACCACGAGAATTTCCTCCAACAATTATTGCATTTGACGGATTTTGTGTCAGAACGTGTAGAGCTCCACATTTTGTTGGAAAATTGGCTACCTAGTTAAAAAATTTATTTTTAAATTAAATTTGAGGAAAAAGAAACTTGTTTGCCAACAGAAACATCTAACCAAGTAAGGAATGTGTTTCCACCCTAAAATTTAAAGAAAAATTATTAAAAGGAAAAAAAGAAAGATTCTTGAATGTAAGAAATAAAAATGGATTCATTCCGAGGAAACAAACAAGGAACGGGTTGGACTACCCGAAAACTCGATTCGAAGAAAATTTTGAAAGCTCGACCCGAAAATCGGCTCCTATTCACGCTAAGGTTTTAAAACATTTTCCCTTTTACACAAAAGCGGGGAAGGCGACCTTGAAATAGTGTTAGGCAAATGAATTTTCCGATACCGGGAGTACCGAAAGGCAACGGTCAGGTGATGACAATAGTACCGCGGTAGTACCAAACCGTGCCTAGCACTACCATGAAACCCCCTTATCTTGGATAAATTATCGTTAGACCCGTTTTCGACTATTTTAACGTGTGGTCCGAAAGCTCAAAAGCTTCGATGACATGACTTCTATTAAATTAAAAAAAATATTATATACCGATCCAACAAGCAAAAAATGCCTAGGCAGAAACTCCAATCTTCTAATATCAAACATTGATTTTATACAATGTAATTCTGTCCCATTTCTGTCATAAATTCTTAACCAACGTTTTTGGGCTACAGCAAACATTGTTTCTGTGTGAAGCCATCTAATTTTTCATTAAAATTAAATTTAAAATTCAAACAAACTGAATATCCCTCACAGTTTCCATTACATTAATTTCAGTTATTAAATCTTTAGTCATCCAATCGAAAGCAGCCACATGTCCTTTGCGTCCACCTAGCAACATATAACGCCCATTTAGAGTATAATCAAGGTTGTATGGTCCAAAACGAAGATCAAGCGAAAAATGCTTTGAAAGGTGAAAAAATAGTAAACTTTTTGCTTTTAGATTAGAAACAGGACAGGCCAAACCCTCGTGCCATATATGTTCGAAAAATCAATGAGTGATAGTTAATAGACTTGCCACCACCCAATAGTCTAAATTTTTGAGGACTAGGGATTCTAAAAAATTTTTCCCAATAGTCAAAACCGTTCGAGGTCAAAATTGAAATTTGTATTCGGAGTCGGTGTTAGACGGGGACAAGTATACAAAAATATATTATTTTAAAATATATTCTTCGGTTTAAAAGTTAAAGGTCAGAATTTGCATGGGTTAGAGGTCAGAATATCGTGGTCGGGTTCTGAAAAATTGTTCGGGATCGGGCTTAGACAGAGCCCAACCCTATACCGTTGCCTAATGGCTTCAAAAAATTTTTTAGGGAAGAAAACCGGAAAGCATTCTTTTAAAAATTACCTTAGTTGCACTAGCAATATCCACAGCATCACAAATTTCAGCCTGTTTGGTCATACACGTAGGGACCCCATCATCTGCTTCAATATACCTTCAAATAAAATTTTTTTATAAAAAATCAAAAATTAAAAAGAAAACCCTTCTTGTTGAGTATCAAGAATTTCAGCACGCGCAACCCTCTCCACTCTTTCAAAAAATCTTCCCTTCTTTTTTGTTAAGCGTTTTTGGGCGACTATCGTCCTTGCTTTTTCCTTTAAAAAAATTTTTTAATTAAAAAAATTCAAAACAAACCGGAATCAAAAGTTCAGCCCCCGTATAATATTCATTCAACTTTTCTTTAGGAATCTCCAAGTTTGGAGGGAAATTATCAGGCTTTCCACGAATCAAGTCATTTGGGATCGGAGGACGATTATGCCGAAATTGTCTCCTTTTTCCAATAAAGTGTTTTCTATGTTGACGATTATTAATTTGCCTTTTCGGTTCTTTCATTTTAATCTGGTATTTAGTAAATTTGAAGAGTAAACGAAAATGAGTACGTATTATCCTGGCAACATCAGGAAGAAAAATTAAAAAAGTTAACTTAAAGCTATAAGGCTTGGGAACATTATTCAACATATTGTCACTAGAGATCGGCCTGGATCTGGATCTAGGCCTTGATTTTTCCATGGTCAAGAATCAACCAAAATCAAGGTCTTTTAAAATTTCCTCTCTACTTGACGCACCTTCTCTGGGTTGCTATGTCAGTTTTTGAAAAAAAAGAAGCAATTTCCCAAGAATTATTCAAAACTTTGAACGACAAGACGAGAAAACAAGGAAAACCATACCGACGGAAAATAACTAATTCTGCTCAATAAAATAATTAAAAAAGGTAAAAACCGTTAGACAACAAAAAAATCAATCAAAAACATTTTATAATTTTCATCAACAAGAAAATGAACGCATTAAAATTAACAAAAATGCTTTCAAATCATTTCTAGGCTTCCTCTGTCTTGGTTGCTCGAGTATACACCAATTGAGCTCCATGCTTAACCACAACTTTGATTAATCCTTTTTGATGCAATTCGCGAAGGCCAGCACGCGCTAGAGAAGCTCGGACCTTAAATTATTTTTAATTAACTTGTGAGAAACCCGAGACGTCCAAAAAAACCTTGAGACGTTCAGAAACAACGCTCGGAGTGATCAATTTGACCGAAACAATTTCCTAGAAAAGAGGTCAATTATAACAAAAACCCCCACAAAAAACCTTGTAAAGCTTGTCAAATGTCGCCTGGTCAAAAAGTACCATGTTCTGCAACTTGTCCCGAACCTTTCCCTTCGACCACTTCTTCTTCTTAGCCTTTCCGCTTCCTCCGGCTGGCGTGTCCTTCTTCTTTGCTGGCGCCGCTTTTCCTCCTTTAGCGTCGGCCTTCCCACCTTTTGTTTTTGGTGGCATAGTTTAATAAATCTTTCTAAAAAAATAAAACAGTAATGTCAAAAACCGATGAAAAAATGACTTTTACGTCAAAAACTGAAATGAAAATAAATTTTAATAAGAAATAGTACACAAAACTAAGAGTGTTGGAAGGGGTACAGCCCGAAATGTCGCGGGCCAAAATGTCGCGAGGCCGAAATGTCGCCGGCCGAATTGTCGCCAAGCTTTTTAATTAAATATTCTGTAAAATAATTAAAAACAAGGATATAGTTTTCAACTTAAACCTATGGAGCGTCGGCGAGGCGCTTGTGCAAAACTCCGTGCTTCGCGCGGAGTTTTGCGGCACGCGCCTCGCGGGGAGTCTACGGTCGCTGGGTTCTGGGCTCGTAACTTAATCCTATTCCTTTTTACCGATTCTCAGCCTTGAATGCCGACCTACCCTCCGTAGCAACACCAAAACAGGTATTGAAGCGAAAAGGCGAACAAGGAAAAGGCGAAAATATGAAGAAAAGCTTGGCGACAATTCGGCCGGCGACATTTCGGCCTCGCGACATTTTGGCCCGCGACATTTCGGTCGCGCCATTTCGGCCGCGACATTTTGGCCCGCGACATTTCGGGCGTGTCCCTGTTGGAAGAGATGTAGAGAAAAAACATTTCGCCAAATAAAATAAATCCCAACAAATTTAAAACAATAAAAGAGCCGGGTCAGTTGAGTACCGCCTGAGATTGCCAAATTTCTATCGAAATTTTTTATTTTTTTCATTAAATTTCTTTAGGCAAGCAATGACAGACAGCTCAAAACAACCCAACAACAATAACGACAATTTAGTTCCCGACCCCTCAATTCTCACCGATTTGGAAGCCCATGCCAGATCAATCGCCTCAAATTTGGACATGACTTTAAGGGATTTGAGAGGTTCTCTTCACGGAATGAGCGATTTAACTAGCGAATCTATGCAAGTATTTAATAATATAGTTACTTCTACTTGTGATCAAGTAGATTCTGCAATTCGTTCGACTTATGCAATGTTGGCTAAAGCTGAGGAATTTAGTGAATCGATGAATGGAATGCAAAATATTTTTCAGCAAATGTAAGAAAAAATATGAATTTTTGGTAAAAGGGTTGGAATGAGTCTTTCCCTTTTATTTTTTTTCAAAATTTAGTTTTCCTTCAAAGGGTTCATAATGGTCAGATTAAGGAACTTTCTTTTTTTATTAGGGTTACCAAAATGGCCCGACTCGGACCGAAAGATCGAGTCCCGAAAAAGGCTCGTACGGCCCGACTCAATAAAAACAAACCCGAAAAAGATGGCTTGAAAAAAAACGGCCCGGTTTGAAAACGGCAACCCTAATTTTTATGCAAAGAACCCTTTCTTGATTGAAAAATGCCAAGGAAACTGGAGACGAATTTCGGGAAAATTTTAAAAAAAGGAACACGGAGGGGGAGAGAACACAAACTAAACTTTTTCCCATATTTTTTAAATTAAAATTAAATTTTTTGGAAATTTTGGAAATCGGTAACCCCCCATTCCCATTTTTCCTTTAAAAATAGACTAGAAATAAAAACGTCCCTCCAAATTTCTTTTCTTATCTTTAAATAAAATTTTTTTCAGAAAAGATGTTAAGCAGCTACTCAACGATTTTGAATTAAAATTGACATCAAATATAGGACAACAAAAATAATTTTTAGAAGAAAAAATATATTAAATTATTCAATTTTGTACAAAAAATTAAATCAAAAAGGTTTTATAAATTTTATATTTATTTTTTAAATTAATTAAATTTCAAAAATTAAAAAAATAGTTAAAGAGATTATTGCACAAATGTAAAAAAATTTAAAAATATTTTAAAAAAATGAGAATTTTCCGTTAATTTAACGTGAAGAATTAATTAAAAGCATTTTGGGGAGCTGGATAAAAACACCAGTTTTCCTACAAGTTTTTAAACCTAATTTTTGTCATTTTTTCATATAAAAATTGACTGGCTTTCACTTAAAAATTGGGGAAAAATAATTTTTAGAAAAGGAATAATTTTTCCAGAAAAATTCCTTCAAAAATATGCCCCTCCCCCCCCCCCAACAGGCTCGTAGCCAGGGACCTTCAAAAATTCTCAAAATTTTCGCCTACGGTGCTAAAAATTCAGCAAAGAAAAATTTTTCCCTTGCCCCCCCCCCCCCCCCCCCCGAAAAAAAAACTCCAAAAAAAATTTTTCTCCAAAAGATAAAATTTCGCTACGGGTCTGCCCCTTAAAAACTGGTGTTCCAAAAAAATTAGACTAGAAAAACTTAAATTCCCCACACAGTTTTAACATCTAGTTGTTTCACTTTCAGCCAAGCTTGTAATACTTTCACGTCTATGTCCCATTTTTGGATATGTATGTTCTTGCATTTCCTCTCCTCCTTCTAATTCTACTTGTAATGTCATTTTTTCTAATGCTAATAAATGACGTTTCCATATAGGTTCTGATTTTTTTAGTGATCTAAAAAAAATTTTTGTGCAAATTTTTTGTTCTATTTTTTATTTTAAGGGTGTCAACGACCAATTTTAAGACTGACTTTCTTTTTATATTTTGTCAAAAATAAATTTTTCCAAAAAATTAAAAAATGATTTTCCAAAAATTTTTCCTAAAAATAAATTCGTATTCAACAAAAATTTAAAACAGAAAAATGCCAGTTTCGCTTGTCGACGAATTTTTGTGTTATTGATGTTTCACATTCGTTTTTCTTTTTTGATGAAAACCCCAAGGAGTTAAAACTACAAATCGAACCGAAACGGGATCCGGGACAAAATTTCGGTTATCGATTTTGATTCTTGAACAAAGTCCGGTTTCTCGTTCCCTCGAACAACCCCACTATCCTTTAAGCAAAATTTACCCCCCAAAATTTTTCCAAATTTTCTACAAAAAAATAGACTTTGAGACTTACTCTCTTTGTTTTTCAATAATATAATGACTTGTCCACATTTTATAAATTAATTGTGTTGACATTTGCTAAAAATTCAATCTTAAAAAAACCCAAAAAAATCTCAAAATTAACCACGTCCGCGTGTTGGGCAATTAATCGAAGAATAAATAATCCATCCGTTTTTAAATATTTAACAATAAATTTAGCTACACATTGCTGAATTTCTTTAAAGAAAATTTTTTTTGTTTAAATAAAAAAATAAACAAACGTTTTGGTTGTAAAATATTTGGATCTTTATCGAATAATGGTTCACCAGCCATTTCTAAATGATTAAAAATAAAATGTTCGGCAGAAGCTGTACTTAAGTAGCCATAGAACCTTTAAAAATAAAAATTTTTGTTTCTTAAAAAAATTTTTTTAATCCTAAGTCTACGTGTAAGATCAGGGATGGATCGGGCTGAGGAAATAGTCCGGATTTCATGTACTCCAACCCATCCCTGATATAGACTAATTCTCCAATTAATTCATATTTTCAGACTTGGAGTTCAGAGATACAGTGTGGTGATCATTAATGAATTTCGGACATCTATAGGAATCGAAATTTTGAGGTTGGCATAACACCCGAGTCGAAAATCCTGATTTAATCCCAAATCCAGACATCCTCTAATGTTGGTCCCGTGATAACCCAGAATCAGTTTCAATTTTAAAATTTAAAGAAAAAAACAAACCAAGCGCTAATATTAGCCAAAGTAATAATTGCCAAAACTGTATACCATCCCCACAAAAGCATAAAAGCTTTTTCCATAAAAACGTTTAAAACTAAAACACATTGAACTGTATGGTTAACTGATTGTCCCATTTCTCTGACCTTCAAAAAAAATTTTTTTTGAAAAATTTCAAAAATTTTTTTGAAAAATTTCTTAAAAAAATCCAAAAAATTTTTTAAAAATTTTTTCAAAAAAATTTTCTCTTCTTACATCAAAATCACACCAAGTAACTCTAGGAAATACTCCAGATTCCTTCCAAAAAGTTGAATTCCAATGCAACAAATTTCTCCAAAATTCAAAACCAAAATTATCATTTGACCCAAAAAGATAACTTTAAAAAATAAATTTAAAAATTAAAAATAAAAAATCCAACCGATTAAGAAAATTTAATTGTCCCGTTACATTAATAAAAAATAAACATTTACTTAATAAATATACAAGTGTTACATAATAAGCAGAATATTTCATATTTAAGAGACGAAAGAATCTGTGAGGGCGAATTCTTCTCTGAAAAAAAATTTTTTTATTTGAAAACTTGGTTCTCCTCCCTAAAAAGGTTACTCGAACTCAGAAATCCTAATTTTTTCGATCCGAAACTCGATCCGGAATTAATTTTGAAAACCCAACTCGGACTCCTATCCGATTTTCTCTCAACCCGTCATATCCCTTCCTTGTCCATGCCCAGCTATTAATTAATCTTCACTCCATTTTTATATTTTATAGTAGAATTCTTAAAGCCCAGGTTTTCATTTTTAATAAAATCTCAAAACCCAATCTTGAAGGAAACTTTAAAAATCCCCCAAAAAATTTCTTTTATCCCCAAAAATTCCTTCATTTTAAAGAAAAATACATTTTTGTATACCCCAAAAAATATCCCCAAATAAAATTAAAAATAAATTCAAAAAAAACCATTTCCAATCTTCTATGAAATTTTAAAACTTTCTGCAAATGATTACAAAGAGAATTAATATTATCCGCTCTAATTGTTGGATCACTATTAGCTTCACTGGATGCTATTCGAAGAATTTCGCCTACTTTCATTCCTAAAATTTATTTTTTTTTTATTAATCTTAGGAAAGCAAAGGATTTGAGTTAAAAAGTCTTTAAAAAAATATTTTTAAAAATTAGAAAAAAATTTTTGTCCGCAAAAAACTTGCGGACACAAAATTTGTCCGCAAAAATTTTTGCGGACAAAAAGTGAATTTAGCTTTTTCACAAATCCCAACCATTCCCTAGGATTACCAAAAAGTTTAAAAAAACCTGATTGTGCATGAAAGTATTTCCAAATTAGAGCAGGCACTTTAAAACACCCAGCTTGAAAAATTAAAAAGAAGGGGATCCACTGATAATAACTAATTCGTCTTTCTCTTCTTTCCTCATCACTTATATTCACTATTATTTGTTCAGCTTTATCTATAGCTACAAAATAAGTGTTGGCCGTATAACAATAATTTTCTGTATACTAAAAAATTTAAAAAGAAAATTTTTAAAAATCAAACCCTATAACTTGTGGCCGAAAAATCCTCTTATAATGAGGTGTCTCTTAAATAGAGAATAAAACTCGCTATAAGACACGCTCTTATTTAAGATACGTTTTTTTAATTTGGTCGACCTCTAGGTGGAGGAGGCTGCCCAAGAGGCTCCTCTATTTAAGATAGGATGCCTCTTGTAGGTTAGAGCGATACCCTCTATTTAACAGACCTCATTATAAGGTATCTTCAATTTAAACTCATTATAAGATATAATTTTCAACCCAAAGGGTGTATCCTTAGGTTTAATTTAAAAATTAAAAATATAATACATCAGTCCAAGACGAAGAAAATCCAGCAGGCGTCATACACTCAATAGGTCTACCTCCAAATTGTTTATAACTTAACAAAATAGCCAAGCCAATCAAAAAATTGAAAGTAAAATAAGAATGTAAATTAGCTATTATATCTTGTACTGGTGGACGATTGCTTTAAAAATTAATTTAAAAAAAATTTTCTTATAAAAATTTAAAAAATAACCTGAATGGAACGGTACTCAAAACACGTAGAATTGACATTTTTTAATTTAATATTTAAAATTTCCTAAAAATTTCTTAAAATTTTTAAAATTATTTCTTAGAATCCTCAGACAAAATCCACATAACCACAAATGTCTTCTGGTCAATTGTCTATTTCCCCCGTATTTCCCTATCGTCTTTTTGTGAGACATTTCGTCCCCAGAAAATTGAGTTATAATTTAAATAGTTAAAGTAATAAAAAAACAGTAAAAACTCTAGTAAAAAAAAGATATTAAATTTAAAAAAGAATAAATTACCCAAATAAATTAATTTTTAAATTTTTATAATTTACCTAGCGAAAAAAATAAAGTTGCACGAAAAAAATTTTTTTTTAATTTTAACAAAACATAAGATTCTTCCTTTTCTTTTTTCTTTAATAACAATAAGCCACGCGTTCCTTCTTCCTTTTGTTCTCCATCTTCTCCTCATATTCTAATTCCAATACTTTACGTTGAATTTTAAGGTTGGAAATTTGTTCTTCAGCCAAAATAGTCTAAAAAATAAATTTTTTTAAAAAGATTTTTTTGATTAATCAAAAGAAATACCTGAATTCGAAAATATTCCAATTTAGCCTTTTTCAACTCAGTATCCATATCTTCCCAAGGTTTCAACGCAACAGAATCTTAAAAAATAAATTTTTGGGGTCCATTAAATCTTATCCCTTCTAATTAAAACAAAAATAGGTCCATTATTCAATGTTCTCTCCCATACGTCAACTCCATTTAAAGTACCGACAAGACCCTTCTATGTATCCCCAAACTAGTCACTAACACTATAAATTGGAGTAGCAACCCTTCAGATCGGGGTTTGTCATTGCAGAGCCCTAGGGGTTCGGGTCGCGGTTTTTGCCAAAAAAATCGTCGGGGTCGAGTTGCTACTTTACTATAAAACGGAGTTAACTGCATTTCTATGCATTTACCTAATATATTTTGCGTTACAATTAAAATTTTGTCCGTCCTTCAAAGTTGGAGGAATCTAGTTGTTTGAAAACATTACAAGCCTTTATCCCCCAAAGGTATGCCGAAACTAAATTTTAAAAAGCAAGGACAAATACCGAAAGACAGCAAAACTGAGAAGATACTTTCGCTACACCCCCACCCTCTCCCTCTTTTGACGGCTTCTTCCCCTAAAAATCATTTTAAAATAAAAATTACCCTTTAAAGATGGAGGCTTTTGTTTTTCTTCCATCTTTTTACTATTAATTTCTACCAAATTATTAAACAATAACTGTTCTAAAATTTGTACTAAAAATAGAATAAAAATGAATTAGTGAAATATGACAAATTGTAAAAAACAGGTAAAATTTCGGTTTTTTCGATTTCCCTTTTCCTCTTTTCATCTCCCTCGTAAAAAGGAAGAGGAAAATATGCCTTTACGATATTTTAGAGGTTTGCCAGTACCGAGTGTATTGATTTCTAATACTTCAAATTCTACTTATTTCTAATAACGGACATGAATTCGAGCTCGAAGAGACGGTCTATTCCTAGAATGAACCCTGACAAGATTCGACCCTGACAAGATTCGAACTCCACCCTCTACTAATTCTCAAATAAAATCCACTTAACCACTGTCCAACTGTCTTCCGACCAATTATCCTATTGTCTTTTTGAGACACTTTGTCCCCATAAATTTGAGTAAAAAAGAAAATTTAAACAGTAAAGGTAAATTAAAAAAATTAAATTAGTTGAAAAAATTGAAGTTAAACTTTAACATTTTATAATTTAAAAGAAATAAAATTGCACAAAAAATTATTATTTTTCTTTAATTTTAATTTAAAAATAAACTCTTGGCTTCATCCTTTCCTCCTCTTTCTTCCTTTCCTCCTCCCTTTTCTTTTCCATTTTTTCCTCATATTCCATTGCCAACAATTTCCCCTTAATTTTAAGATTGAAAATATTAAAGAGAAGAAAAATACCCGAATTCGAAAATATTTCAACTTAGCCTTTTTCAACTCAACGTCCAAATCTTCACCCGGCTTCAATGCAAAAGAATCTTTAAAAAATAAAATTTTTTGGGGTCATTAAGTTTTCCCTTTTCTAATTCAGAAATAGGTCAATTAACACAATAAATGTTTTCTCATACAAGTCAACTCAGTCTAAAATGCCGACAATTAAAGTTATCCTTAAACTAGTCAAAATCGCATTTTCAGGATCTCGTAACATATTAGAGTTTCAGAAGATCGGCAAGGGAGGGATGCCTCCCGTGCCGATCACTATAAACGAAGTCGACTGCATTTCCTTGTCAGTCCTTCAAAGTTGGGGGAATCTATGTAAGTAGTTATTCGAAACATCCTCAAAACCCCTTACACCCTAGAGCTACCCAAACTGCTTCTATGAAGCAAAGAGCGAATACCGAAAGGCGAAACACCAAAAAAGGCGAAAATTTCCACCTCCTACCTTTTTGCAAACCTGCCTTCCCCAAAAGATCGTAAAATAACAAAAATTACCCTCTGGTTGAGGATTTTGTTGCTGCTCCATCTTTTCAGAATTATTTTGAGACAATTTCTGTCCTTCTTTATTAATCTCTACCAAATTATTAAACAATAATTGTTCTGTAATTTGTAGTAATTGTTCAGAATTAATTTGTGACTAAAAATAAAATAAAAATGAATTCGAGGGATGTGACAAAATGTCAAAATTTCCTCTTGTGACATTTTGTCGAATTGGTGTTTTGAAGATTTTACATGTATTGGCAATTTGTCAAAAAACTTTTTAAGATTTTCGAAACGCCAAAACGACAAAATGTCACAAGAAGATTCCTAATTCAAATTTTACTTATTTCTAATCCCGGACCCGAACTCGAAGAGACGTACTATTTCTAGAATGAACCCTAAGAAGATTCAAACTCACGCCCACTTAACCACACTGTCCAATTGTCTTCCGACCAATTGTCCTATTTTCCTATTGTCTTCATAAATTTGAGTAAAAAAGTAAATTTAAAAAGTAAAGGTAAATAAAAAAATTAAATTATTTTAATAAAATTATAGTTAAAATTTAACATTTTTATAATTTAAAAGAAATAAAATTGCACGAAAGAAATTATTATTTTTCAATTTTAACAATCACAGGTATTTGCCTTCTTCCTTTTCTCCTCCCTTTTCTTTTCCATTTTTTCCTCATATTCCATTGCCAACAATTTCCCTTTAATTTTAGAGTTAGAAACCTAAAAATTTAATTTTTTTTTAAATTTTGATTAAAAAAAGGAGTAGTGGACCTGAATTCGAAAATATTCCAATTTGGCCTTTTTCAACTCAACGTCCAAATCTTCGCCAGGCTTCAATGCAAAAGAATCTTTAAAAAATAATTAAAAATGTTTTGGTCTCTCATACAAGTCACTCAGTCTAAAATGCCGACAAGACCTTCAAGTTATCCACAAACTAGTCACTAGCATTAAAGACCAAAATCGCATTTTCAGGATCCCGTAACGGGATTCAGTTTCAAAAGATTGTTGAGTGGGAGGGATCCCTCCCTTGCCGAACTCTATCTAGCACTATAAACGGAGTCAACTTCAGTTCCTTGTCAGTCCTTCAAAGTTGGGGGAATCTAGTTGTTTGAAACATCCCAAAACCCTTACACCCCAGAGGTGCCCAAACTGCTTTTAAAAAGCAAAAAGCCAAAGACGAAACACCAAAAAAGTACAAAATAATCCACCTCGTACCTCCTGCCAAACCTGCCTTCCCCCAAAGATCGTAAAATAACAAAAAATTACCCTCCAAAGATGGTTGAGGATTTTGTTGCTGCTCCATCTTTTCAGAATTATTTTGAGACAATTTCTGTCCTTCTTTATTAATTTCTACCAAATTATTAAACAATAATTGTTCTGTAATTTGAAGTAATTGTTCAGAATTAATTTGTGACTAAAAATAAAATAAAAATGAATTTGAGTGATATGACAAAATGTCAAAATTTCCTCTTGTGACATTTTGTCGAATTGGTGTTTTGAAGATTTTACATGTATTGGCAATTTGTCCAATAAATTATTGAATTTTTCAAAACACCAATTCGACAAAATGTCACAAGGGGAATTTTTGACATTTTGTCACACTTCACGAAAAATCTGTTAATAAGTAACTTCAAGAAAATCTTTTACCAATTCATTATTATCTTCAGTTTGTTCTTCAACTTTTTGTGCCATTTTATTATTAAAATCTTCCTCACATTTAATTTTTTTACTTTCCTTTTCTTTTTCCAATTTAAAAAATAATTTATAAAATTCAGTATTTTTGTGTTTCGATTTTAAATGATAAACTAAATTTGTTGTCGTAAAATTGTTAACACTAAAAGTGTATTTCTTCTCTTTATTTTCGATGCATAATTTGCATATAGCTTCTTTATTGTTGCCTTCTAAACGTTGAAATAAACCGATTTGCCAAATCGTTGCTCTCATTTAAATTTTTCTTTAACTTTAAAAAAATGAAAATTAAATCTCAGAAAATACTCGAAAAAAATTTTTTATCAGATAAAATTGATAAAATGATAAGATAAAATATTTAAAAATAAAAACTACCCAAAATCCAGTCATTTTACCACAGCGGGGTTCGAACCTCACACCCTCTCCGTCACAAGTCGGAAGTCTTACCTACTTAACCATACACTACTTGATAGGAGAAAAACAAATAATCGTTTAAATAAATTGGTGAGCTGCCTAATTCGATTAATGGATTTTGTAAAAATTAAAATTCTAATTAAATTTTTTAACAAAACAAAAAATAATTTAAAAAAATATTTTATATTAAGTAAAATGAATTAGTAAATGAAAAAAGGGAAGAAAAATAAATTTATTAATTTAAGAGGGGAAAAGGCAATCAATGGACAATTAGTTGGTTTATATAGAGAAAGGGAATAAATTAATTGTATACACACAGAAAAAATTTTTATTTGTTCATTGGTTAGAGAAAAAAAATAAAAAAAATAGTAAAGGAAAACAAATAAAAAATATAAATATTTAAAAATTATTAAAAAAAATTTTAATTTTTAAACATCAGCAGAAACACTAGGCGTGCCTGTACGGCTGGCAAAATTGCTGTTCACTATATTATTGTCTGCTTGAGGGCCAAGATGAGGTAAAGGTTGAAAACGTGGAGGCGAAAGTGTTTCTATATGAATTTAAAAAAGTTATTTTTGGATTTTGGGGATTTGCTGGAAAAAAATCTCCTTTCCTAATTCTTGTAGATTTACGACGCTCACATATTTTTTAAATTTTCAAGACCCAAAATTCACGATACAGAACACAACAGAGATAAAAGACGTAGCAGGGAAAGGGGTCGGGTTGCCCGAAACCCAAACCTGGCTTCTATTCGACTTATGTGAAGATCCCGAAAAAATTTTTAAGCCCCGATCCGACTTTTTTCCCTCAACACGACCCGGTTCTATCAGTACATATCAGTGCAGTAAGTTTATATCTACGGACTAATACCGAGTCCCAGTGAAATCAGAAATGTCAGTGAGTCATGTTTAGTTACTAGAGATAGACCGAGACGAGATCTCGATCAAAAATCTTGGTTATCGAAATCGAGATTTAACGATTTTTATCTCTTCGGGAATCGAGATTTTTTCGAGATTTCGATTCTTGTACGTCATTACAAGTTCGGTCTCTAATAGTTACCGTTACCCATTTTTCATATCTTTCTCGAAGTCCGCCTTTTTTATGACTCTTCCGCTTCCGGTTTTTCTCTTTCCGATTTTCCATCTCCCATTTTCCCCAAAAATAACAACCACCAACTAACTTCTCAATTTTCCACCATTTTGAATAACAGGAAAACGTTGTTGTTGTTGTCCATTAACTATATCATTAGGAATACTTGCAGTACTTGCATTAATACTTCGAGGGAAAGGGGAGGGAGGGGGTGGATTTAAATTAATTTCATTTTTGTTATATGAGGGGGGAATTATTTTTATATTATTATTTTTTGTTTTTTCTTTTGCCGAATTTAATGGAATTAATTCTGGACGGTTATTAAAAGTTGATTTTAGGAGGGTAGATTCATTACTCCTCTTTGAAGAATTAAATTTGTTTTGGTTAGTATCTTGTTTGGAGTTTCTTCAAAATAAAATTAAAATTAAAAAAGGCTGTCGGAATTCACTATAAGATACCCCCAATACTAGTTACACCTCTATTTAATAGACGCCCTTTTTAAGAGTTGGTCGCTCACTGGGTGGGGGAAGCTGCCTAAGCGATACCCTCTATCGCTGCCTAAGCGATACATTCCCAAGAGGGTATATCTTATAGTGAAATCTATATTTTTTACCTTTTCGAAAACAGCAAACAAGTTAACAATAACAACAACAAAACGAACAAAATACCAGAAACAAGACAAAGAATAATAAATCCATTATAATAAAAAGTTGAGACAACTTCCTTCGGAAAAAATTAAATTAAAACTTAAAATTAAGATTACCCCATATAAAACTCCTCCCTGTTCATCAGCACAATAAGCATTATTTTTAACACCAAAGGGACAATTTTGACAATTGGTGACCTTATAAAGAATTTTATTTTAGTGATAGAGAAAGACTGAGAATTTTCTCAACAAAGGGCAAAGGGGCTTGATCACTTTAAGCCTGAGACCGAGCACCCTTAGGAGACTGAAACTTGGGTCCGGAGTTCTTACTTTGTCTTTGAATGCCCGGAACATAAGAACCAAACAGAAAATTACTAGGTTCTTCTAGTCAGTCCGGTTCCTAGCAGAGCTGGGTCGGAATTTCGATTTCCGACTTTTGAGTCAGTTCCGATTTTCGGCTCTTCCGATTTCCGACACCTCTGACTGTTACGAACCACCTCTGGTTCCTAGCAACAATCCTTGTCTTGTCTTAAAACCGCATTTCCACTAGAAGATTACCCACCCGATATGGCCATGGGGATTGAGTGCCCCTAGAGCTAATCTATTTTTAAGTATAGAAAATCGGAGCCCTCCGGAAATCAAGGACATCCAAATTATTTTTAATTAAATTAAATATTAAATTTACATCCAAATTTCCCCCATTAGTCCATTTACATTGACTAAAATACCCAGTTTTTACATTTTCACAAATTGCATTATTCGATGTAATAGATGTAGTATTACAATTTAAATCGCAACCAGGACCCATTAAACGTCTACCATCTCTACTTATTCCTCCAGCACATGAGACAGAATAAGTAAATGACAATCTAAAGAATTTTTTGAAAGTTTTAAAAATCTGTGTGGACTAGAATGGGAGTCTAAATCCAACAAGATGCTCTTTGAATAACCCTCTATTAAGAAGCAAAAATATTATTCAAATCGAAAGACGAAATTTCGACGACTTTTTTAACCCCCTCCTTTTGTAGATGGAGAGCAGGGATGTTACGGGTTACTCAAAACTCGAACTTGTTCGACCCTAAATCTGCACATAATTTCAAAAACCTGACCCGAAACCCGACTTTTTTTCTCAACGTGACATCCCTGATGTTGAGTTATCAGCCAAGTAAGCTCCGTAGTAGTCGGTGGGGAGCATCGTTAAACCAAGTTCGATAGTTCAATTCCTGCTCATGTCAATGGATTCAACTCAGCCTTCAACTAAACTCTAATAAAAATCCTTACTGAGTTCCCAATATATCCCCAATAAGGTTAACACTTTGCTGTCCACGAATATCCGAAGAATAGCCAGAAAATAAATTTAAAGGTTGAATAAAACTGTCAACAAGAGTTACAGTATTCGTTTCATATAAACTTCCATCGGAATCAATTTGAGGTCCCAAATTGTAAACTAGAACGGCTATGGCAGACTTGAAATTAATTTTGAATTTTAAATTGAAAATTAGTCAAAGCTCGCTAATATAGGATACCCCTTTTTAGGGCTGAAAAATCGTTCTTATAATGAGGGTATTTTAAATGGAGGTTAATCTAATATTGGGTGTATCTAAATAGAAGATACCTTAGAATGGAGTCTCTTAAATAGAGAGTACCCTATACTGAGTGGTATTTTAAATAGAGGTGTACCTAGTATTTGAGGTCTCTTATAATGAAGGTCTGACCTCTATTTAAGGGACGACTCATTATAAGATAAGATTTTTTATGCCCTTAAGGGGTATCTTATAGCGAAGTTCAACTCCATTTAAAAACTAACAGGTTGAGAATCAATCAAAAACTTTTGTGGCACTTGTTCAAAATTAAGTTGGCCTGCTTGGTTAATTGGATTATAAATTGTTTGAAAATATTTAAGAGAAGAACTTGAAAAAAATATAAATTATTTTTATCAAAAAACAATTTTTTGTTACCTCGCAGAAAGAACAAAAATTGTTAAAGATGTAAGGCAATTGTATCCATTACGTTGTGGACTAGCCTAAAAAATTTCTTTTTTCGTCTTTTATGAATTCAACTGCTTTAAAATTGGGGGAAGAGTAGGATATTATTTCAGCAAGTCTGATAAATCTTAATTGATGCTATAAGGAAGAATAGGAGGGATAAAGCTGACCAACATTTAAAAACACTTACTAGACGAGTGCTTAAGTTTTAAAGGTGAAAGTAATGCCCCGGTAGCTCAGCCGGTAGAGCAATTGTACGAGGTGGTGAAACCAACCACAGGCCTTCTAATGTCCATACGGTATTTTGTCCGGACGATGTTTTGCCCCTCACCCTAGGCATGCCATCCTTATGAAATTATCCAAAAAAAAATTTCTAGACTCACCTGAATACAATGTTCACCAAAAGAGCCTTTAGGGCAAGTACACAGCCTCCCCTGAGGTAATCGGAAGTCCGGATTGGAATATCCACGTAACTGAATCTTTAATTAAATTTAATTAATAATTTTATTCTCTCCCTCTAAAACAACCTCAATATTAACATTTTCCAAATTTGAGGGCATTTTTAAATTCGAAATTAAAGGTAAAGAATTATTTAAAGAATTATTCCCCCCTTCATTTATTTTTTCATTAATTTTTGATTTTAATAAATTTGAATAATTAAAAGAATTTTGTTTTTGTTTTGATGTTGAGTCGAAATAGTCAAAAGAATTTATTGTTGGAATTAGTAAGAGGGTTAATAAAAAAATTAAAATTAAATTTTTAAAAAATTTAATTAGTATATTTTTTTGTTGAAGTGTTCGTGGCATTTTTAATAAAAATTATAATTAGAAATAGAAATTTAATTAATTTTCAGTCTATAAAAATAAATATTAAAATTCAAGCAAATCGTTGTTGGACCTAGTTATAAGATATCCGCCTGGAACAGAAAAAATATTGTAGCTTATATTGAGCTGTCTCTTAAATAGAAGGCAGGGCCTCACTATAAGATACACATTAAGCTCTATTTAATACACGTTCTTAATTGATAACCTCAGTTTAAGAGACACCCATTATAAGGTACCTTCTATTTAACATACGCGTCATTATAAGCACAATATTTAACCCCAAGAGATTACCTTATAGTGAGGGTAGGTTGTAAAAAAATTTTAAAATTTAAAATTAAGAATCATACAAAATAAAAAACGAAGGTCAAAAAGAAGGAATAAAAATTGTTCTTTTAGCATTTATTTATTTTAAAATGACTCATTTTTTCAAACAATTCATGGGATAAGGAAAGGAGGAACATAGAGAGAACATTCATCTTTAATGTATATTTTAACATTTAAAGTGTTATTTTTTAAAAAAATATTTTTTTTTTCAAAAATTATTTTTAAAAATACAACAGAATTTAGCTTCTCTATAGGGTGACCTTAAACTTTGGGAAGGAAAGTAAACAGGAATGGGGCGGGTTACCCGAAACACGATCAGAAGAGAATTGTGAAAACCCGACCTGACTTTTTTCTCAACCCGTCCCATCCCTGGTGTACACTGAATCAAACACAATTTGGAGATATTGGGAAGTTAATAAAATCAAGGGTTTTCAATAAGATCGAAGAACAAAGGATTATTCTGTTCGATTCTCTAGTTCGAATATTCTAAGATTTACTAAAAAACTAACAAATTTAAGTGCCCTTAAGTCTTTCTCAATGGATACTAGTGATGCTCGGGCCCGACTCCCAAATCGGGGCATTTCCCCGAATTTTTGGCCTCCCGACTCCCGAGGTCATTTTTCCCGACCCAACTCCCATTTCCCTGGGGTTTTTCTTCTCCCTCAAGTCTCTCCAATCCAAATGTATACCCACAAAAATTTTAAACAAAAAAAATTTTGGATTTTTGACAAAAAAATTTTTAAAGACAATTAAAATTAAAAATCAATAAAAAATTATGATTGTATTTTTTACAATCCAAAAGCTTTTTAAATTTTTTTTTATTTCTCGCTTAAAATTTGTACAAAAAATATTTTTAATGAAAGCTTTTTTAATACTCTCATCTTTTTCTTATCTGTACAAACAAAAATAAATAAATATTTACTCTTTATTTTTGCGACAAGAGTTGTTGGGGAGGTTAGTAGTGGTGGTGGTGTGAATCACCTTCGTCTTTCCACAAAATTTTTAAAGAAAATTTTGTGGAAATATTTAATGTTTATTTGAGGTTAAAAACAAAAATCATTTTTAAAGATTAAACCTCTGGAAAAAATTTTTTTAAATAATAAAAATAAATCTTAAAGACAACTTGAGAATACAAATTTATTTTCCGTTTAATTCATTTACCCGTATTTTAAAAAAAATTAAAGATTCGGTGAGGCCCTGAATCCGGAAGAAAATTTCCGTGGTTTTTCGCGCTTTCCGGACCAGATTAATCCGAAAAATCCATTATGCCGCGACCCGTCCGGCAACAGAAAAAAATCGCCAAAATTAAGTTTCCGGACCCGAAAGAATGACTTTATAATTTCTAGTTAATTATTTAAAGTAAACAAATGGTGTCTTTCGGTGAAAGGCTGCTCTTTTTGTTGAAATACATGATCGACGATATTTCTAACGTTATCACAAAATATTATTGATAATTAAAAAATAAGTACTAAAAATATAATTAGGCTAACTAAAGTTTACAAAAACCTTTAAAAAAAGTAATTTAAGGAAAAGTAAAATTTTCCCCCAAAAAATCTAACAATTAAAAAAAGGGAAGATTAAATTACATCCTCCCTAAAAAGTGTGAACTATTAGCCCATGTGAATTTTTCTCTCAAAAAATTTTTTTTTACTTTTAAAATTTAGCCAAAAAATGTTTTTTTTCTTCTAAAAATTTTAATTAATTTTTATATATAAAAATCCAAAAAAAAAACAAACAAAAAATTAATCCTACTATTTTTTAAAGTTTTTCCAAATCCTTCCCATTTTTTCCACAAAAACATTTCTTTTAAATACTATTTATTGGTTTTCCACAATAAGCAGCCAAATTAGCTTCACGGAATGCTTCGGAGAGGGTCTAGAAAATAATTTTTTTCTTAATTTTATAAAATTAAAAAAATCCAAACCGGATGTGGATGACAAACTCTAGCAATATCTTCACATGATGCTCCATATTCTAAAGCTAAAGTAGCCTCAGCAATCATCTCGCCTGCATTCTAAAATTTAAAAAATTGCAAAATTAAGTTTGAACATGGAAAATTAAGTTTGAGAGGTAAATAAATGCCTAAAAGATCAACTTGAAAAAGAAAAGGAAACTCAAACTACCAAATTTGCAAGTTTTCCCTAGCCGTATTTATATTTAAAAAAATTTATGAAAATTGAAATTTGAATGAAATTTCTCAAATTCTCAAAAGCCTGTCTAAAATTTTCTCCTGTTCTATTTATTAAAAAAAGTAGAATTCAAAACAATTAACTATATTTTTAATATATATTAATATATAAAAATAATTTAAAAATTAAACAAATATTCGTTTGGGACAAAATGTCTCATTTAAAAAATTTTTTCAATAAATTAAAAAAAACAAACCGGCCCAATAATATGAACACCCAAAAGTCGATCAGTATCCTTCTCTCCCAAAACTTTAACAAAACCTTCAACATCATTATTTGTCTTTGCACGAGAATTGGCGATAAAGGGAAATTTACCGATTTTGTAAGAAACTCCCTGAATTTTAATTTACATAATTTAAGAAAATTTAAAATTATAATCTCAGAACTCGTTATAAGATACCACCTTGGAATTGAAAAATTATATTTTATGAGGTGTTTACATATTGGGGGGTGAGCTGCCTAAGGCAACTATCCGATCCAATCGCCACGCAATTCCAAAACGTCAAAATACCAAACAGTATAAATGACACAAAATTTAATGGCAAAATTAAAATTTTTTTGGCGTAACTAGTGCATCTTATAATGAGTTCCGACTTCTTATTAAAGTTTAACCTCTTGTTTAAGCTGCTCTTCAGATTTTCCTACCCACGCAACTTCAGGATGTGTATACACAACAGAAGGAATTGCATCATAATTCATATGAACAGGTCCACCAGCCATACCCTCAACAGCAACAATTCCTTCATCCTTTAAATATTTTTAAAATTGAAAATAATTTTTAGAAATTAAAAAGAAAACCTCAGCTTTATGTGCCAACATTGGCCCTTTAATTACATCACCAATCGCATAAATTGAAGGAACATCAGTTTGGAAATTGTCATTGACTTGAACTCGCCCTTTATCGTCCAAATTTAATTTTACATTTTCCAACCCAAGAGAAGTAGTGAAAGGCCGTCTGCCTATACAAACTAACAAAACATCACAATCAAGCTGTAAATAATTTAAATAAATTAAAAATAAAATAAATACTAGTGAATTCCGATTTTAGATACCTCCAGTAAGATAACTCTCAATTTAATTTCAATTTTTAATGGAGACAGCTATGAGTCAAGGAACAGTGCTGGTATCCTCTTGGATCAGGCTCTGGGCATTTTAAAGTCTTGGCTCCCAAGCTAGTACCCAAAGCCATAAACACTGTCGGGGAAACATGTTCTCTTGCTATATGTAGCGAACCCATAGGTCCCCGACTGCTTTTGAAAGAAGAAGCTGCCTAAACGAAACCTCATAAAATAAATAGGAGCACTAAAGAGAGCCTCCCTTAGGGGTTCTAAAGGTTCGACCCTCTTAATAATTTAAAATTAAAAAAACCGTTTGTTCCTTTCCATCCTTCACACCTTGAACATTCACTTTAATTTTTCCATTTCCTTCTTTTGTAGCACTAACAACTTTAGTTCCCAAAAGAAAATTGAATCCTTGCTTTTTAAGAAAACGTTGAAAATTTTTTGAAACTTCTCCATCAATTCCTACACCTCCAATACTATCCATAAACTCTACTGCTGTTACTTGTGATCCCAATCTTTGCCATACACTTCCCTATGAATATAGCAATAATTTTTGGGGAAGAAATTTTTAGTTTAAAATTCCTAGGAAAAAGTCCGCAAGATTTTTTCAGCAAAAGTTTTCCCATTGAAAAAAATCCGCAAGTTTTGTCCGCAAAAGATTCTTAAAAATCTGAAAGTTATATCCGCAAAAGCTTTCCTAAGAAAAATAAGAAAGTAAAATACCAATTCAAGTCCAATAACCCCCGCTCCAATCACAACAATCTAAAAAATAAAAAAATTTCACTTGTCTGCGAAGATTTTTTCAAACCTTTTCAGGAACTTTTTTGAGGGAAAGGGCCCCCGTAGATGAAACAATCTGAAAATTAAACGTTAAAATAAAAAAAATAAATTGTTAACCTGTTCCTCGTCAATATCAATCCCTGGGAATGGCGTAACTTCAGACCCGCTAGCAATTAAAATTCTTTTTGTTTTGACAACCTCGACAGATCCATCTGCCTTTTTTACTGTTACCTTAAACATTTATTTTTTTTAATAAAAAAAAATAAAAATCAAACTTCATTTGCCCCTGTTATAGTTCCAATTCCTTTAATATGTTCAACTTTATTTGCTTTAAAAAGTGAAGCAATTCCACTTGTCAAAGCCTTCACAGATGTAAGTTTAGCTTTCATCATTTGATCCAAATTAAGTGTTGTAGTAACTTCAACTCCTAAAATTTTGAAAAAAAATTTATTGAAAAATATTTTGAACAAAATTTAAAAAAAGGGACAAAGAAAAAAATCTATTGTAAATCGGAGATATTATAGTTTAGGAAATCGTGCTGTTCGAAAATTCAGGGGATACTCCATTATCTGCCCATTTCCGATAACCATAAATTGGCGATGGGGGCTAATGAAATAACGCAGGGCTCTCATTCGTGCTTTATTTGAAAGTATTATACTTTGAAACCGACCTCCATACTTAAGAAATTGAATTTATACTTTATTGAAAGTATATACTTTGAAATCAACATTTTTGATTGAAAATGAAATTGGGGAAGGGATCGGGCAAAAAAGTGAATTTTTTTAGCCTAGGGCCTTCGAAATTCTCAAAATTTTCGCCTGCGGCGCTGAAAAAGAAAGAAATCTAGCTTCTTGGGCTCCAAATTTCAAAAAATTTTCGCCTGCGGCGCTGAAAAAGAAAGAAATCTAGCTTCTTGGGCTCCAAATTTCAAAAAATTTTCGCCTGCGGCGCTGAAAATGAGAGAAATCCGGCTTCTAGAGCTCTAAAATTCTCAAAATTATCGCTGCGGCGCTGAAAATGGACGAAAGTAATTTGCTTGAGGTTAAGACTGTCAGGGCTTTATTTCTTGTATCAGCGAATTTTGACATGTCATGCGTTGAAATGCACAAAATGCTCAGTGGAAGCAAGAAATTATTAGAAAAGATTCATTTAAGAGAGAAATATAAAAGATTTGAGCACGCATAAATATTTTCCAATTTAATTTGGAGTATACTTTAAATTTGGAAATTTTCTCCCTATATACTTTTTTATCAAGATTTTGATACTTTTGAGTGGCATTTTGTCGATGAGAGCCCTGAAATAACGTCAAATCCAGTCGGTTCTAAAATCTCAATAGCTTCAAGGTTTCGGTTCCTGGAATCGTTTCCCGGAGGGCATTACTGTGCTAAATTTGTCATAGAAATGTAGGGCCCAAAAGATCAAAAATGACACCAAAAAATTTAAAAAATAATTCAGATTCTCTTCCAAATAAAAAATCAAAAAAAAACCTCGAGAATTTAAGTCCCCATGTTTAGCCATATGATAAAAATGAGAATTGTTGAGCAACGCTTTTGAAGGAATACAACCAACATTCAAACAAGTACCACCCAAAGTTTCATTCTTTTCAACACAAACTGTCTTCATTCCCAATTGAGCAGCTTTTATTGCGGCTACATATCCGCCTGGGCCAGAACCGATAACAACCAGATCTGATTCTAAAAGAGAAAAATTTTAGAAAAATTATTAAAAGTAACTAGAGTATCGGCCTGAGTCTGGACCAAGGCCTGTGATTTTCCTGTACCCAGAGTCCAGGCCCAGGCATTTTTTGACCTTCCTGGGGTTTTCCTGGGTCTGGGTTTTTCCTGGGCTACAGACCCAGGATCCAGCCCAGGTCAATAAATCAAACCCAGAGCCCAAGAACAGGCCCAGGCTTTTCAAAAATATTAAAAGAAACAAACCTTGTCCAGTAGCCAATGTTCGAAATAAAAATTTGACAACTCCTCGTTTATTAAATATTGTTGAATGTCTCGGAAACATTTTTCTTTAAAATTAGAAAGTCAAAATAAGCTGAAAAATTAAATGATAATTAGGTGTAAAATGGCGTGATACACGTTCACAACGTGAAAAAATCACAAGAAAAAGGGATGTCTTACGCAAAATTTACGTAAAAGATGTTTTACGCCAAACTGTCTTAGCGCCGAAACGATCGCGACAAACTGGCTGTTTTTTAACTTTTTCTTCAATTCGTCCCTCCCCAATTCGTCCCACTGTACAAAATTTCCCCAATTCGTCCCATCCAGTTTTTCTTAAATTTTGGTTGATAAATTTAATTTTTAGTTTTTTTTCTTGAAATTTCTCAAATTTTGTTAAAAATGGTTTTCTTTATTTGTGACAATTGTGGAGAATCTTTAAAGAAAAATCAAGTCCAAAAACATTCCTCAAAATGTAAAAATGGCTCTTTTTCTTGTATGGATTGTCAAGTTGTATTTACTATAAATAATTATGATCATCATATTAAATGTATTTCTGAAGATGAAAAATATGGAGGAGCTAATTATACTGCGAAAATTAATAAGGTTTTTTTTAAATTTATTTTTTGAATTAAACAGGCATAAAATAATTATATTAGTGAATTTTTTAGGCGGTCAATCCACATTCTAGACAGGCCCCCGGTGTTGAAAAAGGGAGAAATTTGGCTTCATAGCCTTCAAAATTAAGCTTTTTGGCTTATAGCCTTCTAAAATTCTCAAAATTTTCGCCTCGGCACCAAAAAATTCGATGCATAAAAATTTTCCCCCTTGCCCCCCCCCCCCCCCGAAAAAATCCGGCTACGGGCTTGATTCTAGATACCTTCAAAATTTATTGAAAAAATGCATTGAAAATTTTCCCTTCCTCTCTTGAAAACTTTCTATTCCTTTCCTCTTATCTTTTCTTCTTCGCCTATATCAGCTAATTGGGAGCTGCCTAAACAATTCCCCAACTATTTATCCTTCATATAAGATACAATTTTCAGTTCCAAAGGCATCTAAAATTTAATGTTCGACTTTATTTAAATTTTCTTTTTTAGGGAGAAGTAAAACAAGATAGTTGGGTTAATCAAGTTCGAGCTGCTATTAAATTTGTTAATGACCCGCAATTAAAAGGTTTACTTAGAAAAATACAAGGATATACAAATATACCCAGAAAAGAATCTAAATTTATTAATTTTCTTCAAAATTCTTTAAATTATAAAAATTATGGGCTTTGTAAAAAAGCGTGGGAAGCAATTAAAGATGAAGCAGAAAAATTAAAAAATAAAAAGGTTGAGAAATGTGAAGGTAATAAGACTGAAGTAATTTATAAGGAAGTTGAAGAAAAAAAGGAAATTGGGGAGGAAAAGGAGGGGGAGGAAGAAAAGCAAGGGGTGGAGGAGGAAAAGCAAGTTGAAGAGGAGAAGCTGGTTGGTGAGAAAGAGGAAATTGAAGAAAAAGAAGATCAGGTTGAAGAGGAAAAACAAATTGAAGAGGAAAATCAAAAAAGGTTTTTTATTTTTATTTTTTTAAATTTTGGATTAGGATTGGGAGGGATTGATCCTCTCTTACCCAAAATTGCAAAAACTTTCTACGAAAATTGGACATACAATGAACGTGTTAGAATATGGACTTAAGAGGGCATACATAACAGGGTGTGTCAAAACTTATTTTCAAAAAGCTAAAAGCTTGACGGCACTCCATGGGGCATATGTGCGTCAAAAAATATATGATGATATGCTTTCGTAAAAAGCCGTACATCTTGCGTTGTAAAAATCCTCAGATCGGTCAATTGCTTTTGTTTTCTCGTCCAAATTTTATTTGAAATTTAATATTTTTTAAGTTTTTTAATTTTTAGAATTTCTGATATTCCATTAAAATCAATTTTAAAAAAGAAGAAAAAAGAGGATAAAAATGAAAATGGTAAAAAATTTGGAGAAAATTTAATTCAAAGAAGTAATGAACCAAAAATGTTTCCAACTCGTATTGTTTTTAATGATAGTGATGATGAGTAATTTTATTTTAATTTTTTGTTATTATTGTTGCCGTTTTCGAGTCGGGCGGACGTTCGAGCATTTTTTCGAGCCTCATTTTTATCGAGCCGGCCCCCCCCCCCCCCCCGAGTTTTTTTCGGGCCAAAATTCGATGCCCGACTCGATCTTTTGGACCGGGCCGGCAACCCTGTTTGTTATGTATTTTTAAGAATTTGTTAATAGATTTTGGAAAATAAAAAGAAAATCTCTCCTCGTTTCTCGTTTATTTTTGAATTTTTTTTGATGGCTTGCTAACTTGCCAAATTTTATTTTTTAATTAATTTAAATTTATTTTTTAGAAATTTTTTTAATATTACCTCCTTATCTCTTTAATGGATGATGACATTTCGTCTGTTATTTGTAACGAAATTGTAGACAAAATAGAAGATGAACAACAACAAAATTTAATTTCTACTAGTGAATGTCAACCTTCAACCTCTACAAATTGTCAAAATTCAAATAATTCTGTTTCAAATTTAGACGTCCAGGAAACTCCAAATCACCCTTCAATTCAGTGGAAAAAACCAACAAAATCAATGTTTCTAGTCCAACAATTAATTCGGAAAGGAATATCGCCTAGAGGGGTCCTTTCAATTTTGTATCCAATGTATTCTATTCCAACAAATATACCTGACATTTGGATTTTACAACTTTTACAAGAATTGTGTGAAATTAGAAGTAGAGAGAAATTGCCGCAATGGAATACTTTTGAGGATGCTGTAGAATTAATTAGGTTTTCTTTTAATTTTTTGAATTTATGGGGGGATATTTAATGGAATAGGAATATTTTTGGTAATAAGGCAGGGTGTTATCTGACCGATTTATACGGACACCATAAATCTATTGGGACGAGGGGCAATACAAGGAATAACAAATCAAGTAACGGACAAATCAAGGATCGACAAGTCAGGCAACGACCAACTCATGGATTGGTCGTTCCTTGATTTGTCTATTCCTTGAGTTAGCCCGACACGATCTATTGGATTGGACTGATTATTCTAGACTTACAATTAACCCAGCATTTTTTCTCAACACGGTCCATCTTTGCCTTGTTGTGATAAAAAGAGAGAGTGTTTGCCGGTTCCTCTTCAAGTAACTCATCTTTATTCGAAACATTGTCGTTAACCCTCTAAAATTTAAATTGAGGCTTTCGGGATTTTTAATAATTTTTGGGATTTAAACGAAATTTTCTAATTTAAGACGTAGCAAATCAATAATGATTATATCCGGAGCTGGAATTTCTGTCAGTTGTGGAATACCCGATTTTCGTTCAGAAAAAGGAATTTATGCTCGATTAAAGGATGATTTTCCCGAATTGCCTGATCCTCACTCAATGTTTGATATTGACTTTTTTCGTCGTAATCCTCGGCCATTTTATGCTTTTGCAAAGGTATCTGAATAAAATATTTTTTTAAAGAATTTTGTCAAGGGTCCTTTATGGTTTTTGTTTCCGGCTACCTGCCTCCTTTTCCAATTATCTCTTTTCTTTCCAAAATATTACGGATTGTCAAGGGTGCATAATGGTCAACTTTTTCTAAAAAATTTTAATTTCTTTTTAATAAAAATTAATTTTAGGAAATTTTCCCTGGCCAATTCCGTCCTTCTATTTCTCACAAATTCATCAAATTTTTGGAAGAAGAAGGAAAACTTTTGAGGAATTATACTCAAAATATTGATACTTTGGAACGCTTGGCAGGAATAAATAATTTAATTGAATGTCATGGTTTCTAGAATTTTAATTTTTTATCAAGTCTTTTTAAAGGATCATTTGCACGTTCAACGTGTTTAAATTGTAAAAATGAAATTGATTCGGAAGAAATTCGTGAAAATGTTTTTCAAAAGGTTTGTCAATTTTAGAGTGTACCCAACCCCAACGTTAAGCCAAATTTTCAAAACGTATCCAGGGGCCTTTTTCTCCCTTCCGCAGAATCTGCGTTCTGTGCACAGAATTCTATCCGCAGAATCTGTGGAGGGGAGAAATAGACCTCAGAACTAGAAATGGAAAGAAGGAGAGATTCCTTATACGATTCCTTATACCTTATATATAAACATGGTTTGGGCTAATTAAGTAAGCTAGAGGTAAAGATTAGCCTGTCAAGTATCCCTCTTGGCCTGATAGACGTTGCAGTGTCTCCTCTCTTTTAATAGATTTTATTGAAGATCCCCGACTGGCCAGCGGATCTCCCCTTCTTATAATTACAATATTTAAAAAAATTTTCTTCAGAAAGTCGCCTATTGCCAGAAATGCAAATTTGGTGTAATTAAACCAAATATAATATTTTTTGGAGAAGATTTGACTGACCAATTTCATAATCAAATGGCTATAGATTCAACAAATGTTGATTTATTAATAATTATTGGTTCTTCTTTACAAGTTCGCCCAGTTAGTCTAATCCCCTATAATATTGACAATTCAATACCTCAAATTTTAATTAATCGAGAATTGCTACCTAATTATACAGCTGATATAAAATTACTTGGAGATTGTGACAAAATACTTTGTTTATTGGCGATGAGTTTAAAAGGTCAAATTTGTGAAAAAATGATTCAAGGTTTAAATTTATTTTCAGACATTTTTTTTGAAAAGTTGGGTTTATTTAATAATTTCTATGGGACAACCCATTAGTTGAATCGAACTGTTGATTTTTTAAGTGGCAGTGAGCTCTTTTTCTATCCGTCTTTCTTGGCTTTCACTCTTTTTGATTAAGCCTGGGATTAAACGAATGCTCTAAACATGCGGGTTCTTTACTTCTAATTGTGTCAATATGATGGATATCCTATAAGTCGTTGGGTACAAGGGATGGGATGTCTTCCGACCTACGCAGATTTCCACCTTTCTTTTTTTAGAATTCCACCCTTCCGCGTTTCGTCACATTTTTCATTCTGGGCCGTTTTTTCCATCCTTTTGTAAACCCTTTTGTAAACGGGTAAAATTTTAACTCAACTGACATGTGCTGTTCCATTTTAATTTTTTGAATTGAAAAAATTTTTTAGAATTAACTTCTCGTCCTCACAATTGGAATAATTTATTATTAGAACATTTACAAACTTCTTTATTAAAAGAAAACCAAATTTTAACAAATAATTTAAATATTGAACAATTTAAAAAATTATTTAATGAACAACCAAATAATAAAAAAATAAAAATGGATAATGAAGAAGAAGACGAAAAAATTTGGGTTGGAAATTATTTACCAGTTGAGAAATATTTACCTGAATTTAATTCTATACTTTTGGTAATCTTTTTTTAAAAAATTGGATTTCTGGACATTTTAGGGAAGGACATTTGTGGACAAAAAGGAAGGAAAGGAACCGCCCCAAATATTTTAATGAGGGATTTAGGCCAATTTGAAATTATCCTTTGTTAGGTCCTGAACGTGCCGTAATACCAAAACGTCGAAGCGTAAACCACCAAAAGCTACCAAAATACCAAACCACAGGAGGGACGTCAAATGCTAACATAAATAATAGAAAGATTTTTGGGGTGTTTGATATTTTTGAGCTTGATATTATCGGGTTTGGTATTTTATACATGTTACCCCACGTGGTGAATTTGGCCTAATAGTCTCTTTTTTTTATTTCTATAAGTTTCAATGTTGTCCGTAAATTTTTTACTAAATTAATATTTTTTAGGTTCCACCAAATATAAACGTCTTTAAAGGAGCACAATTATTTTATGATAAAGATCAAGATATTTTTGTACCAAAAGCTGGTGTTCAACAACAAAATTTTGATGATGATTATGAAAATCTTGTTCATTCTTGTGAAAAATCTTCATCAAGTGAATCATCAATTATTTCAGAGAAAGGAGGTTCTTTGCCTTGTGATGATAATTCTATTGAAGATTTGTGTGGAAATGATGATGATTTTGGTTAATTTTTTAAGTTTTTTAAATTTATTTTAGATTATTAGGGATTTTAGGGAACGATTTTAGCGATTTTGAAAGGTCCAAGGTTGAAACTTTGAACCTCTGTAATTCTTTGATTTCGAGGTCAGAGGTAAAAAAAAGTTAGGAAAGATAATTAGGAAATATGTTTTTCACACATGGGTCCTTCCGAATTTTTAAAAACTGAAGAAAACAAATAATAAAGGAAGCGTAAGGAATATAAAAAAATTATAAAATTTAATTTTGTGAGTGTTTCTTGTAAAAGTATTTTACTATAATGTTTGGTCATACTTTTAATGAACTATAAAAAATTTTTTTGAAGGAATTTTTTTCTAATTTACAAAGAAATTTTTATTCTATTAATTTTCTAAATTTTAGCTAAAAATCAGAGAAGGTCAATAAGTTGTCCGCCAGAAGGAATTAATGAAAAATAGATGTGTGAATAAAATAAATTTTATTTTAATTTTGTATATTTTATACCTCGCTTGTGAAATGATATTTTTGTATATTTTTTAGACATAAATATTTTTGAGATTATTTTAAATTTTATTTAATTTTTACATATTTGTTTATTCGTCAAAAAAATATTTTTCTAAAATTTTTTTTTAATTTTATTTTTAGCCAAAATTAATTTAAAAAATTTATTTTTATTTATTTTGACTTAAATGGAAGAAGAATTTTGTTCAAATACTTCATCACCTTCTGGACTCCCCTCATCTTCTTCTACAGCCACAAATAGTTTGGTTAGTTCAGAAAAGAAGGAAAAAAAGTATTTTTTTAATTTAATTAAAATTATACATATTTTTTTGTTTTTGTAGAAATGAGCGTTTTCGTTATGGAAATTTTAATCGTTATTATGGTGTGAGGACGAAAGGATTTGATCACGATCCGTTAGTTTAAAGAATATTTTTTTAATTTTTAATAAGTGTCCTGATTATAAGATTGCCCAGTGGACTAAAGGATTTATAGCAAGGTGTATATTAGATTGGGGATACCAAAATGAGATACCAAAATGCATGGGAGTCTCCCGAATAAGGTTAGCGGTTCCGGGTACCGAATCCGAAAAGGGTTCGGATGTTGGCTTCGGTTCTAGATACCTGGAGATTTCCCAGGAACCACCAACCCTCGTCTCGAACTGTAATACTTTTTTGGTACCAATCGCTAGTACATCATCAATTTACTCTAGAAAATTTTCGTTTTCTTTGGATAGCGAATTGAAACTAAAAAGTTTTAGGGCTTAAAATTTTGTGCGAAAATTGTTGGAGAGTCCAATCACTAAAAAAATTAAAAAAATCTTTTTCCTTTTTTTCAGCCGTTTGGATATATTACCAAAAGAATGGTTTAATAAAAAAAGAATTTTGGATGTTGGTTGTAATGCTGGACATTTAACTTTGGAAATTGCAAAGGAATTAAAACCTTCGTGGATTTTAGGAATTGATATTGATGATCATTTAATTGGGGTTGCTAGAAAAAATATTAGACATTATTTTGAATGTAATGATGGAGATGGACAAGAGGTTTTTTTAATAATTTTTTATTTTTTTTAAATCAAGTAATTGGGCAAATAAGAGAGATCATGTAAGAGAGATGAAAAACTGCGACAACCTTTTCATCACGTTTAAGGTGCTCTGTAGGCTGAGCTTTGTTACATAGTTATAGGGCCTCAGCCAACATAAGCTCTCATTTGGATCTTCCATTCCCTACTTTCTCACAGTCCCAGGAGTCGTTCGTAAATGATGAACGTACTGGAAATCGGGTCGAAAATCATGATTTCTCTGCTTCACACATATTTTTTTTAATTTCTCTTTTTTTCAAAAAAGTTTATTGGAAAATTCCCAGTATCTATAAAAAATTACAATGTTTGGTTTTCTCGAGAGAATTATGTATTAGAATCTGACGAATATCTTGAAATGATAAGAGAAGAATATGACGTTATTTTGGCCTTAAGTATTTCAAAATGGATACATTTAAATTGGGGGGATGAAGGAATTAAAAGATTTTTTAAAAGAACTTTTAAACATTTAAATAGAGGTTTGGTTTTTTGAATTTTATTTTATTATAAAAATTGGATACTTTTTCTTAAAATTTGGTTGACCCTTGGGTGTGGGCAACTCATAAGCGACTCTCTATAATTTAAGATACTCCTTTTTAAAAGTAGCTCTTTATTTAAGATAAACCCCGTTTTTTAAGTTACCCTTTATTTGACAAAAGTACACCTCGTAAAAAATACCCTCTATTTATGATACAGCTCATTATAGGGTACTCTCCAGCCTATGTTAATGAGGCCCGACTCCGTCAATCATAAAAAATTTGTCTATTTCAAACATAAATTGAAATTAATGATTATTAATTTAGGTGGACGTTTACTATTAGAATTGCAGGATTGGTCAAAATATTACAAACGAGCAAAAACAACGGTTAGAAATTTAAAAAATATTTTTTAAAAATTTATTTTCCTCTTCAGCCAGAAATGTTTGAGACTTACAAAAATATCAAATTTAAACCCGACCAATTTAAAAATTATTTAATTGACGAAGTTGGATTTGTAGAATGTCAACAATTGGGAATTCCTAAAGCTGTGACACGAGGTGAAATTTTAAAAAAAATTTTCGATTTTTAGAATAAAAAAATTTTAAGGGTTCGAAAGGCCTATACTTGTCTTTCAAAAGGTAAACAATTTAAATAGTAGAAAGCGACAATTAATTGAGGATAAACGAGAAAACGACCACAAACTACCGGAAAAGAAATTTTGTTGATTTTTTGAAATTTTGTAAATTATTTCTGATTATCTACTTTGTTATCCAATATATTTTTTAAATTAAAGAAAAATCAATTTTATCGATAAAGAAGTGAAAAAATGATACATTTTAAATTATTGTTCTACTAAAGGTTTGTCCTTGCATTATTCAATTTTAAAGTACGAGGACACATATACTTTCCACCATAACTACCTTAAAATCTTAGAATAAATTCTTAAAGTTAAATATCCAAAAAACCTCATTTACTTTCGCCGCCACTAGATGTTGACGGAGAAAAATGAAAAATTCGAAAAATGAAAAAAAATTTTCCACTACTTCCTCCACTAGTTGAAGTTTGAGAACGTTTCCAAAGTTCCATGAACATATTGCTATTTAGATTTGTTGTCGTTTTAATCAAAAATTTAAACTGTTAAAAAGTTGGAAGATATTATTTTAAAGGTAAATTAAAATATAAAGAAAATTTCACTCGGAACAAAGTTTGAGAATTTTACTGCTAGTTATCGAAAAAACATCTCCAAAAATACAGATTAAACAGCATATTCCTAATAATATATGGGGTATTGAGAAAACCCCCTAAAAGCCCCTTTCCTTGTTTTCTATATAAACAAAATAAATCTAAATGACGGAGATTTTAAGGGAAACATTGCTTATATAAGGAAATAAATTAAGGAGGAGTCAAAACATTCTAGCAGAAAAATTTACAAAAGAACGGAGAAGTGTAAAACCCTTGTGAAATTAGAAAATACCAATGAAAATATCACTAGAAAGAAAAAGGGTAATAGTTTGGAATTCGCCCCCCTTTTTTCACCATTTCCCTGACCATTTTGAGATTTTTTGTTTGATGCATATTTTATCATATATCATTCGAAACAGCTCTTCGAGCTTGGTCGAATGATACCATGATTGGCCAGATCTGATCAATCTTACCAAAATTATGAAGCTAAATCGTTTTTGGGTAAACTTTTTGTCCCAATGCAAGGGGATAAAATAAGCGGTCATAACTTTGTTCACTTAAGTCAGTTTTCGTTAATTTTAAAGTCATTCGACTCAGCTCGAAGAGCTCTTTCGAATGATATATAATTTGCCATAAAATGAGAAAAAACTAGAAAAAATAGAAAGGAAAAAAAAGGGGACATTAATCAAAACTTTTAATTAAATCGGCTCGACTGGAGATTAGAAAATTAACTAGCCGAGAAAGGGTGGCGCCCAGACAATCACGTTCAAATTTAAACCTTTGCAATAAGCAATGTTCTCATTAAGATTCTTTGACCTTTAGCTTTTATGTTTGTTTTAATGCAAAGCGTAATCTTTGTTTAGAACAAAGAAAATAAAGAAAAAGAAGGGAAAGAATATTTTTTGATTTTCTTAGAATTTTTTAAACAACATTAAAATTGAAAAAGTCGTATAATTAAATTTTAAATATGAGCTTTATAACGGAAAGCTTATGATATGGGTAATAGTTTAGAATTCGCCCCCCCCCCCTATTTTCCCTTCTATTTTTCCTAGTTTTTTTTTCATTTTATAGCAAATTATATATCAATCGAAAGAGCTCTTCGAGCCGATGAGAGAAAAGGAGCAAAGGGGAAGCGTCTCTTTTTTTCCTGTCTCAAAACCAGGGGGGCTGTTGTAAATGGCTAGGTTCCGGAAATCAGAATTCCGCCCGATCTCTGCTACAACACGTGTTTTAAATAAGATTTATTTTTAATAAATTCTGGGAATTAGGGGCCTTTCAATGACTGGAGTCCCTAACAAATAAGTGTCTGACAATGCAATCAATAAGGTTCATCTCGGCATTTTAATTAAAAATTAATCCGTTTCAATTAATCTGTTTCAACAACTCTGGTACATTTTTCAAAAATATTTTTGAAAAAATTTTCTGTTTAGCCAGAAATGTTTGAGACTTACAAAAATATTAAATTTAAGCCCAACCAGTTTAAAAATTATTTAATTGATGAAAGTTGGATTTCCAACCATTGGGAATTCCTTAAGTTGTGACACGGGGTTAATTCAAAAAATTTTTTTTCGATTTTGAAATTAAATTTAGGCCTATACTTGCCTTTGAAAAAGCAAATAATTTAAGCGACAATTTAATGAAGATAAACGAGCAAATGGCTTGAAGATACAGAATAAGAAATCTTGTTAACTTTTGACATTTTTTAAATTTTTAAATTAATTCTTCTCTGTTGGGTACAGCCCAAGTAGGCGCGTGGCCAAGTAGGCGCAAAGCCATAACTTGCTGTAAAATTTCCAAATCTTTCAAAATTCAGTATTAAACGATTCCTCACGTTGAGCTAAAGAGAATGGTACCAAAATTGTTAAGGTCCAGAAAATTTCCGGGTAATTATGGCTTTGCGCCTACTTGGCCGCGCGCCTACTTGGGCTTGTCCCTTCTCTGTTATCCTATTTTTAGTTATTTTGAAATTTATTCTAATCCCTCAAAAAATTCAAATTATTTAAAAATCAATTTTATCAAAAAAGGAGTATACATTTAAATTATTTTTCTTTTAATTTTTCCTCCTTGCATTTCCCCCGATTCCTTCTTATAATTCTCTCATTTCTCTTTCTTAATCATCATCATCATCTTAAAATCACAAAATAGATTTGATTTAAAAATCAATGGTCTTACTTTTATAGTCTCCAGCCATCCAGGCCAACAAAACATCTAATGGCATCTTTCTAATACGTCAAAAATTTAAACTGTCAAAAATCGAATTATTCTGAAGAAAAATTAAAATTAGAATTAAAAAAATTATTTTTAAATAAAATTTTTGGATTAAACCAAAAATTATAAGCTCGGCAAAAGAGCAACAATTTTATCGTAAAGGAGTAAAGAGAGAATTTATGAAAATCTGAAAATGTCAAAAAATAAATAAAATTAAAACAAAATTAAACCCAACGTCAATCAGATTTTCAAACAAAAAATAAATTTTAAATATGGAAAATTGGAACGTTTAATTTTCTCTCAATTCTTTCTCCTTGCATTTCCAACCAAATAACTTTAAAATAGCGTTGGTGCTCGATCAACACTTCAACGGTCACGCTTTTCAGGACAATCACGGCTGATATGTCCTGAATTTAATTTTATTTTTGAGGAGGATAAGTGAGGTGTTATGAACTTAAGTGACCCCCACTCTTCCCGTTCTCTAAAATTGCCTCTTTATTTTTGAGAAGGTGACCCCATTCGTCCCGAAGGTGACCCCAAGGAAGGTGACCCCATTCGTCTTAAGTGACCCCATTCTTCCCAATTTCTCTCAAACTTGCATCCCTTATACTTTTAATTGCCTCCCTTTTGCCATAAACAATAGAGGGGAAAAGGAAGGAAAGCCCATAAATTCCCAGCCCAAAGAAAAAATTCCTAACCATCCTGTCCGCAATTGTAACAATTACGATTGCCACCACCACCTCCACCGCCACGACGGCCACCACCACCGCCTTCAGGACAATCACGAGACATGTGGCCATACTTGTTACCTTAAAAATAAAATTTTAAAATCCTTTCTAAAATTTATATTTACAGTTGTAGCACTTCATATCCCCTCCACGTCCTCCACCACCACGGTCATCACGTCCTCCACGATCGCGACCTCCTCCTCCGCCACCACCGTCTCCTCCTTCACAATCACGAGCATAGTGTCCAAAACCGCCGCAGTTATAACCTGATAGAAATTTAATTAAAAGGGGATCGCTAGGGAAATTTAAAGGAGAATTCCAAAAAAATCTTCTCCCTGGAGGATAAAGAACCCAAAAATTGGAGCTAAAAATCAACCAAAAAACCCTTATCTCCTTGATATAAAATCAGTCAAAACCATACACTTGCCGCCGCCGCCTCCTCCGCCACCACCACGTCCTCCACCACGGTCATCACGACGTCCGCCTCCACCTCCGTCGCCTCCACTTCTGCATTCACGTGCAAAATGTCCATAGCGTCCGCAGTTGTAGCACTTGGATTGTCCTCCATCGCCGCCTTAAAATTTTCAAATAAATTTTTTAACGAAACAAAAAATCAAAAAAAACCTCCTCCGCGTGGACCACCTCTTCCGCCGCCACCACCATCATTGTTCGGACATTCCCGCGAGATGTGCCCCTTAAGTTGTGCCGTTGCAAAACACTCCTCCCCCCTTTACAACTCCAAACACTAAACACCCAAAAATTCAAAAACCGTTTCATGGCAGCGATAGCACTCCACTCCTGAGCTCATATTGGTCAATAAGATTTGTCACTGTTCCAACACGTCAAAAAAACTTCAAAACTTCGCCTCTTCGTCCTCTCGTCAAACTTCACCACGTACAAGCACAAAAACTTAAACTGTTAAAATATTAGGAATTAGAATTTTTATAAGGAAAATGGAAAGAAAACTGGGGGATTTATAAGGAATTTAGGGGATTTTTGGACGTTAATTTTCGAAAACAGCCTCAAAAATACAATTTAGACAACTTATCCCTAATAATAGCTAGGGTATTGGACGTGTTTTAAAAAATCTCGTTTCCTTGGTTTCTATGTACTGAGCTTATTTTTAAAAGAATAATTCAGAAAATAAAGGAAACTACGTAAAAAAATCCCCTTTCTACCCTTAAAAAACTATTGGCAATATTTCGCCATTAAAAAACAGCAACGGAATGAAAGGATAAATCTAAATGACGGAAATTTCAAGGCAAACATTGCTTTTATAAGTGAATAAATTAAGGAGGAGTGAGAATATTCTAGCAGAAAAAATTACAAATTGAGAATGGAGAAGTGTATAACCCTTGTGAAATTAGAGAAAATATTGAGGAAAATAGCAGTGAAAATAAGGAAAAGAAACAGAGTGATGTGCAAAAGTTTTGAGAAGAAAAGGGTTACGGTAGCTTAACAATTAAATTTTTAAAACTTTTAAATCCTTTCAGTTTGGGCGCGGCAAATTTAGGCGCCGAGGCAAAACTAAGGAATTTAGGGTCTATGGCCGGTGGATTTTCACAGATAATTTATTTTATTGAAAGGATGTACTTAAATCAAAACTTTTAATTAAATCGGTTCGGCAGAAAATTAGAAAATTAACTAGCCAAGAAAGGCTGGCGCCCAAATAATTACGTTCAAATTTAAACCTTTGCAATAAGCAATTTTCTCATTAAGATTCTTTGACCTTTAGCTTTTATATTTCTTTAATGTAAAAGGTTTAATCTTTGTTTAGATCAAAAGAAAAAAAAATAAAGAAGGGAAAGAATATTTTTTTTTAAAAAAGATTACATTTTTAAAAATATTTTTGAAATACTTTAAATAGTACAAATACCAAATTTTAAATACAAATTTGAAATATAAATTGGACATTAAATATGTATCAAATATATTTTTTAAAATAAAATTTTTAAAAATATTAGCTTTATAAGAGAAGGTGTAAATAACTCAAATAGATAAAAAACCATTGACAAGATCACACTGCGATCTTGGTCACTCTACTTTAATCACCCTACTCCATCTCTATCTTCGCTACGTCAGATAAAGTGCTCATATTAGCTGTCTCGTTGACTTTACAAATTAGTGAATTTTAAGAATAAAAAATGTGAATTTGAAGAAATTTAAAAATAATTTCAAAATTTTGTCTCAATCAATTTTTGATTTTATTAAATTTTGATTTTATCAACTAAAAATACATATTAAAATAAAATAAATCTCCCTTTTAATCTTTTTTATTTCAAAATAAATTTACAAAAAAAAATTTCAAGTAAAATGCACATAAAATATTTGTTCATGTAACCTTTTTTCTTACCTGAAAGATTTTTAGCTTTTTAAAAAGAATAAAAACAAAAAAAATTTTTTATTTAAAAAAGCCTCTCATATTTCATTTAAAAAATTTAAAGCGCAAAGGATTGAGAAATGGCATTAAATCGACATCTCTCTCTTTTTCGTTTGTCTTCACAAATTTTGGCTACTTTTTGATTTTTAGAAACAACTCGTGATTAAATTAAGTTGCAATAAAATATATATTTTTCTCTGCCTATCTAACAACTTTTTTACAATTTGTAAAACTTGGTCTCCTATTTAACAGTCTACATAAAAATCAACCTTTTACAATTTGTAATATTTTTACAATTTCTAAAACTTGTTCTCCTTATTTTACAGTTAAGCATCTAATATTCAACTTTTTACAATTTGTGATTTTTTTTACAATTTGTAAAACTTAGCTTCATTTAATCTCATTCCACAAAAATGATTTGGGGAGGGAATACAATAGGTGAAGAGGATGAGGACGATGAAACTATTCAAGACAACAACAACAATAATCACGAATTAACAGCATCTAATCAAATATATCCAGTTAAAAGTCCCCCCATTGGTTCCAGATTTATTGGAAAAGTTGCGATTATTACTGGTGTGTTTCTTAGTAAAAAGACTATTTTTAATTCAATTTTTTTTGTAAAGAATCAAATTGCGCAATAGACAGGGCAACAGCTATTTTATTGGGAAAAGAAGGGGCAAAGGTAACAATACATGGAACTGTTGAGAAGGAATTGAGGGTAAAAAAACTTTAAATTTTAAATGAGAGACTAAAATTTTATAGGAAACAATAGTTAAAATGGTTAGAGCAGGAATTAGTCAAGATAATATTCTTGTTGTGCAAGGAGTTATTGAAAACGATCAGGTAATTAATAGACTAACAAACGCTAGCTGTTAAATTGAACAAAAATCCACTTAACCATGCTTACACAAAATTGTGTTAAATTAATTAATAATTAAACTTGAATTATATTTTACAATTGTAAAAAAAAAGTATTTAAAAAAAGTTTATTTTAGAATTGTAAAAAAGTTTATTTTTAAAAGAAAGTTTATTTTACAATTGCGAAAATAAGTTTATTTATAGAAAAAAAAGTCTAATTACAATTAGTAAAAAATTCAACTTATTTTTCAATTGTAAAAAAAGTTTTATTTTTACAATTCCTTTTTTACAAATATCACTAGGCGTGAATTAATAAAAGTATCACTAGGCGGAAAAGAGTAATAAATATTAAACCTACAATTGTAATTTAAAAATATTTTATTAAATAATTTTAGACCCTAAAAAACCTTGTAGACAAAACCTACAGCAAATTTGGCCGAATTGATATACTGGTAAAATTAAAATAAAAAAGTAACAAAAATTAAATTGAAGTATTTTTAAAAGGTGAACAGTGCTGGGGCAATCGGGAGAACTCAAGGCAGTAATTCTCCAGCTTCCTCTATTTCCAACAAATTAAAACACAATATAAATAGGCAAAATAGTGGAAGTGTTGATAGTGATAGGGAAGAAAATGATTTATTGGAAGATGATGGAAAGCCTAGTGGAAGTTTCAGAAATTCACTTGCTAGCAGGCGACGGTGAATATTTTTAAATATTTTTACAATTGTCATTAGGTGGAATTTTTATTTTTACAATTGTAAAAAAGTTTATTTTAATGTTTCTTACTTTTACAAAGGCTAGCAGGCGTATTTACAATTGTAAAACAGGCGTATTTTACATTATAGACCGGCAGGCATAATTATTTTTAAATTACCTTACTTTTTACAATTGTAATTAATTTACAATTTGTAATAGGCGGATTTTATTATAAAGTTTTATTTAATTTCTCTAAAGTTCTCTCATATTCCAATGTTCTTTTTTTACTTTTTTAGCTCTTCACATTTTGATTCACACTTTGACACACTTTTTAATATAAATCTCAAAAGCATAACAAAACTTACTCGGTTATGTGTTCCTTATTTGGAGAAACAAAAGGGGGCAGTTGTTAATGTTAGCAGTTTTGGTGGCCAACAGCAAGTAAACATTCTCTTTTTGAATATAGGGGGACAATTCACCGTCTGACACCAAAATTTTGTTTTCCTAATTACCTTTAGTTAGCCCAAAACGACTTGGGGTTCTATCAAGGTATCTAAGAAAAATTCAATTAAAATTCGTGTCATTTTGACAGCCACTGGGATAAGAATATTGATATCCCTCTAATTTTTATTTTTAACTTCAAGCCTAATATTTTCTTTTTAGTTTTCCGACTATGCTTATTACAACACTTCAAGAGTTGCTCTAGGTCTTTTAAAGCCATTTTCTAAATTTATCAAAATTCTAGATAATTATTGCCGTTCAATAGCCATTAAATATGCTAAAAAGAATGTTAGGGTAAACAATGTTAGCCCAGGGTTTATTACCAGCGAATCTGCAGATGAGGAAAGCACAGTTAATAAGGTGCTATTTTTGTTTTTTATGCCCCCCTTCTCAAAAAAAATTTTTTTTCCAAGTTTTATTTAAATTGGATAAAAGAACACGTCCCCATGGCAAGGGGAGGCACGGCAGAAGAAATTGCTAAAGTCATTGCTTTTTTGGCTAGTGATGATGCTAGTTATGTGACTGGGGCGACTATTGTGGCTGATGGTGCTGTTTCTATATTTTCGAAACCAGCCGATTTCTTTTAAAAATTTTTTAAAAATAATTAACAATCTCCTCTAGAGCTGTTTCGAAACAAAAAAAATTTCGAGACTCCGAAATCGAGAAGTTTCAAAAATATCGAAGGCGAAATTTCGAAAAAGCTCTAGGCTCCCCTATATAAAAGAACATTATTTCCCTTATATAAGGATTAGTGATTTTACTAAAAACAATTTTTTAAAACCTCTATTTAACGAACCTTTCGAAATAACCAGGTCCGTAGTCCCCATGCCCCCCCCCCCCCAAATCAAAATCTTGGCTACTGGTCTGGAAATAACTCACCTTTTCTTCAATCAATTTCGAGTTGGTTATATCGAGAGAGTCGACTGTATCGAAATTAAAAAAAGACGTCTTTAAATCACAAATCTAATAAAAATATATTTAAATTTTCCCTCATTTCTGATTGTTCACAAACAAGAATTTTTTAATCTTTATTTCCTTTCCCCTGTACAATTGCTGATATAATACTATTAAAACAATTGTAACAATTTTGGATTTTTTTTTCAATTTTCGAAAAATAATCAAAAAATAAATATCAGCAAGAGGGAACAACTACTATTTTTGTCAATAAATTTTAATTATGTTTTGAATAAAAATTTTCCAAAAAAAAATTTTTTTTAATCAGAATACAGAAGAGTTATTAGATTTTTAAAGATTTGAAAGAAGTTTCGAATGATAATTGTTAAGAAGGGAAAATCGGCGAGCATTACTTCCTTTAGAATGATTTCGCGAGATTAAAATTTAAGAGATTTTTTGAAAAGGAAAAGAGTTGATCTTTAGGGTAAAATAAATTTAAAGTTGACTAAACTTGTAGTGAATTAGTAAGGAAATTTTTTGTGTTCTTACATTTTTTGTTAATTTATTTTCAATTTTTTATTTAAAAATTTATTTTTCTTTTATTTTTTTTTTAATTCTTAAAATTCTTTGATTAAATTAAATTAACATTTAAAATTTTTTTTTATTTTTTTGTTAATCTTTTGTGTTCAAAACAAGTTTTTTTTTATTTTTAAATTTATATACATAAATTTAACTATTAAAATTTATTTTTAAAAATTCTATTAAAAAAATTTTTTTTTAATTTTTTTGTTTCATATTTTCCCCTCCTTTTCCCTCTCATTTTTACGTTGCTAAGCAAGCAAGTTTTATTAAATATGTATTACCTATATTTTTTTCTAAAAAATTTTTTTGACTGTCTTACATAACTTGAGTTGTTTGTTTAGTGTTCTCGTGTTCCTCTTTCTTCCCCTTTCTTTTTTTAACAAACCAATTGTTTCAAAAAAAAATTACAAATGAGTATTTTAAATAAAAATTTTCGTTTTTTTAATAAAATAAACAAATTTTTGATTAATTTCGAAGCTTGGCAAGCTCCTTTAATTTTGCAACACGCTTGGAAGTGTACAGACAACAAAGGTAGAATAATTTTTAAATAATTTTAATAAAGAATACCTATTTTGGAGTGAAAGGGGGAAGCAATTTATTTTAATTAAATTGCTGATTAAATAAAAAAATTGTGTCGAATGACTTTCGCTAGTCACTGCCCCACTTAGCCGCGCGAGAGAATTCTCTTAAAAATTTTTTTTGTGACCGCGGGGGCAAGTAACCAAATTTTAGAAGGGTTGTTTTATGGGCTGGGAGATTTGATGCGTCTACTCATGAGCTACCAAACCCTACTTTAAAAGGATTCCATGTTTTTAACTGTTTCCTTGCGATTAACTGGACAACCCGCTCCTTTAATTTTTGCAATCTTTGAATTTTCTTAAGAAAGATAACAAAAGAAATACGTAATTTTATTTTCTTTTTCATTTTTCTAAAATAGAATTTATTTTTTAAAATCAATTTATTGTTTACAACATATTCAATATTGTTTACCATTGTTGTTATTACCACGTGGATTTTGCTTTTATCCTTTCTTTCTATTTTTACATATTGTCGTTGAATATTTTTGTTTTCCAATATTTTTATCCTTTTTTCTATTTGTTATTTAAATCTCTCCTATTTTTAAAACTTTTTCCAATTTTATGTACCGAGATTTAATAAAGTCGGATTTCGATTTGTACACCAAGTAATTAATCAAAGTGTACGGTCAATAGAGAGGTTACGGTATATGTTGAGTATATTTTAGAGGTCGGGAAAATCGCATTCCCGGGATCCCGTAACGGGATTTTTTCAAAATTGAACGGGAAGTGATCCCGCGGGATTAATCCCGTAAATCCCGTTAATCCCTTTCGTCGCTTAAAATACTGGATTCCTGGAGGGGATCCCGTAAAATCCCGTACGAGGTCCCGTCCCGTGTCGAGCTCTAATATATTTACAATCGAAATCCGACGTATTAATTCAGTGATTTTTCTTTTCTCTTTTAATTTTTTTTCTCAATTTTTAGACTCAATTCTTCATTCTTCTCAACAACTTCCATCAGAAAAAATGTCAGAAAATCTCAAAAAAATTACCAAATTTGATTTAACAAATGGAACAACTTACCAAGAAGAACCGGAAGAAATATTTCAGCCTCCCCCAATTAAAGAAGCGCACATTTCTGGATTGTCTAAATATCAAGAAATGTATAATAAATCAATTAAAAATCCTGACGAGTTTTGGAAATCTGTGGCAGAAAAATTGTATTTTGAAAAATTTTCTGAAAAGGGGCTGGAATGGAATTTTGATAAAAGGAAGGGAGAGGTTTGTTTTGGTTTTGATTATTTTTGGGGGATCAGAGAAAAAACTGACAAGGAACCATATGTTACTGTGAGTCCGAATTTGATATATTTTTCGGTCCATTCGATAGAGGACCCTCGACTTACTATTATTGTTTGCTGGTTTTCTTGCAAAATAACTTTGGGCCGAATGGTCCCCAAAAAATACCGAATTCGTACTCACAGTAACATATGGTCCCTTGTGAGTCATTTTTATTGTGGACAATTTTAAGTGTCTGCACCAGAGCTGTTTTCGAAATTTTTTCTTTCGATTTTGGCTTTTTGGTGATTTTTTCAATTTCCGATTTTCTGAGATTTTTTTGAAACAGCTCTCCTAGTGATGGTGGGAGAGAAGAAGTGAGGTTCATAAGAGCCTTCTATTTCATTTAAGGACCCCCTTTTTCTAGCCCTTTTTCTCTTGCAGAATTTTTTAAACCAAAGCCCGCAATTTTTGTCCGCAAGTCTAAACAAAATTGAGAATTTTTTTAGGTATTTATTCGTTTTATGAATGGATCTAAAACAAATATTGCTTATAATTGTTTGGAAAGAAATATTAAAAATGGATTGGAAAACAGAATAGCCTATTTTTGGGAGGGGAATGAACCAGGCGATGAAAAATCGATAACTTATGGAGAATTGTTAAAAGAGGTTTTTTTGAATAAATTGGGTTTTTCTTGGTATTTTTAAATAGACTTTGTTGAAAAATGGGTTATTTTTCGTTAAGTTTCCAAAAGTTCGCAAAAAAATTTTTTGTCCGCAAGTTTTGTCCGCAAAAATTTTTTTATCAAAAAATTTTTTTGTCATAAAATCAGTCTTTATTTAATACAGGTGATCAAATTTTCTTCTGTTTTACGTTCTAAAGGCGTGAGAAAAGGAGATGTTGTAGCAATTTATTTACCAATGATTTTGGAATTAGTTGTTGCAATGTTGGCATGTGCTCGTATAGGTGCTATTCATTCTGTTGTTTTTGCTGGATTTTCTGCGGATTCTTTAGCTTCAAGAATTACACATGCAAGATCTAGAATTTTGTAATTTTTTAAATAAAAATGTTTTTTAAATTCACCGTATGGACAATTCGGTGAATTGTCTAATTTTCGGTGAATTGTCTAATTTTCGGTGAATTGTCGCGGAATTCGATTTTTTTATTGAAAATTCCCGGTCCCAGACTAACTGAATCGTTCTTGTATCGAACTGACCTAATTCTTTACTTTTAATTTAAAAAATAATTTTTTAAAGAATCACAGCCGATGGTTGCTTCCGCGGCAATAAATTAATTGACTTAAAATCCTTGGCGGACAAAGCAGCCAATATTTGTACTCTTCGAGGAGAATCTTTAGATAATATTATTGTTGTTGAACATTTAAAGGTATTTAAATTAAAAATTATTTTTCTAAATTTTTTCAAAGAAAATTCGAATACCTGAGGGAGCACAGGGAATTAATTTAAACTTGGAAAAAGGAAGAGATTCTACGTGGGATTATGAAATGTCTTTACATCAAGAGACAAATCAACAGACAAATTCAAATGTGGAATGGATGGAAGCAGAAGATCCCTTATTTATTTTGTATACTTCTGGATCAACTGGATCTCCTAAAGGTATTTATTTATTTCTGTGCCAGTGAAAATTCTTTTGGAGGAAGCCTTGCTTTCCAGTTCCAGAAAGGTGAACGGGTCCCTAATGGTTTAAAACGACGGTTTCTTGTGTTGGTCCGTTCAGGAACCGAGTTTGGGGTAGAGATTTTTTGAACTGGGAGATGGAATAGAGCAATCGATGAAATTCCCGACTATTTCAAACCGACAGTTATGGTGACAGGCGGTTCCAGGGGCCTTTGGAGACGGAGAACCATCGAGAAAAGGAGCCCCAATTCATAACAAAATAAGTATCATTATCTAACATTTTTTAAAATAATTTTCAAGGTATTCTTCATTCTACTGCTGGGTATATGTGTTATGTTTATATGACAACAAAGGTTCTTTTAAGGAATTTTCAAAATTTTTTTATATTTTTAGTGCTCATTTGATGCACAACCAGATATTGATATTTATTGGGCAACTGCTGATTGTGGTTGGATAACTGGACATTCCTATGTTGTATATGGACCTTTATTGAATGGTTTAACTTCTGTAATTTTTGAAGGTGTTCCGAGTTATCCAGGTTCTCTTTAATTTTTTATTTAGCTAATTAATTTGAATCTGGTCTAGTTTATGAGTCCTATGAAAAATTACGAGTCCAATGAACCTTTTTGAGTCATTGAACTCATAAATTAGACCAGAGCCATTAATTTTCTATAATTTTTCTTTTTTTAAGATCATTCTCGTTTTTGGTCAATTATTGAAAAATACCGAGTTACCAAATTTTATACGGCACCTACAGCTATTAGGTAATTTTTTGGATAATTTTTAAAATTAAATTTGGCCCTATTTTAATTTTTTCTCAGAGCTTTAATGGCATTCCCAGAAGAATTTGTAACAAAACATAATTGTTCTTCACTTAAAATAATTGGAACTGTTGGAGAACCTAGTTTGTGTTTTTAAATGTTTTAAAATTTTTTATCAATTTTTAAAGTAAACCCAACAGCATGGAAATGGTTATATAATGTTGTGGGTAAAACAAAATGTGCTGTTGTTGATACTTATTGGCAAACTGAAACGGTAAAATTATTTAAAAAATTGTAAGGAAATTAATTTTTTCTATTTTTTAAGGGTGGACATGTGGTTGGTAATTTAATGTTAACAATAAATTTAATTATAAAATTTAAAAAAAAAATTTTTTTGTGAATTAAAAATTATTATTTTTGTTTTTATATTGCTCCAACGCCTGCTGCAATTCCAACTAAACCAGGCTCTGCAACGCTTCCATTTTTTGGAGTACTTCCAAAATTGGTTAATATTGAAGGGAAAACATTAGAGGTTTTTTTAAAATAATTTTTCTAATAATAAGGGATGTTTTTTTCTTATGATTATTCCTCGATTAGGGTGATGGGAGAGGTAAGCTCCAGCAATATTTTTTTGGTGAGGTAGTATGAATCTGGAAGAGGGGGAAATTTTCATAATAAAAATTAAATTAAATGACTTTTGGGGCAATCAAACCTCATTACAATCATATATTAAAAAAAAATAATTTATGTTTAAAGGGACCTGGAGAAGGAAATTTGTGTTTTTCACAGCCTTGGCCAGGAATTATGAGAGTAAGAAGAAAATTAAATTTTTGATTTAAAAATATTTTTTTAGTCTATTTGGTGTGATCATGAACGTTTTGTTACTAATTACTTTAGTGCTTATCCTGGAAATTATTTTACTGGAGATGGTGCACGTAGAGGTTTTTTTTATTTAATTAAGAAAGATTTTAATTTAATTTTTAGATGATGATGGTTATTATTGGATTACTGGTAGAACGGACGATTTGATGAATGTTTGTTTTTAACAGTTAGACCTTATTATACCGACATGTTTTCTTAAAATTTGGGTGACTACTGGGTGTGGAAGTTGCCTAATCAATACCGTCCCTCTATTTAACATACACCTCATAAGATACCCTTCTATTTAAAATAACTCACTATTAGATAACCTCAATTTAAGGAGCGTTTTCTTAAAATTTGGTTGCCCACTAGGTTGGGGAGCTTCCTAAGTGGATACCCTCTATTTATAGTAAGATGCACCCTCATATAAGAGACGATTTTTCAACCCCAAGGGTGTATTTATAGTGAGGTTTGACTATTTTATTTTAAAGGTATCAGGCCATCTCCTCTCTACAAGCGAAATAGAATCAGCTTTAGCTTTGCATCCAAATGTTGTTGAAGCTGCAGTTGTTTCTGCTCCACATCCAATAAAAGGGCACTTTCCTTATGCTTTTGTTGTATTATCTAATGATAAAAGATTAACTGAAGAATTGGTTAAAGAAATTAAATGTGTTGTTAGAGACAAAATCGGGGCTATTGCTATTCCTGATGTTATACAGGTTTGCTTTTTTTTCTAAATTTTATATCCGAAACTGTTCTTATTTCGAAACTCAATCCAGGGAAAATTAAAAATATGCCTCGATATTAAGTTGGTTGTTGGCCGGTTAATTTTTGATGGTGGCGGCTCAAATAGTAATTAAGGGTGTTTGAGCCCACACGGAGAAAAATTAACCGGACGCCAATAACCCTGCCCGATATTTTCTTCGCAACTCTTCCGATCCCTACTCGTAACTTTTTTGTATAGTAAAACATTCAGAGATGAGGGAGCCCCTATGATTTATGGGGGGGTAATAATTTCTTAAAACCATAAAATTTAAAATTTTATATTTTTAGCAAGCTAATGGACTACCCAAAACTCGTTCCGGAAAAATTACAAGACGAATATTGAGAAAAATTGCAGAGGGTGACAAACAAGCAGATTTGGGTGATATTTCGACGCTTGTAGATGAAACTATAATTGAACATTTGTGGGAAAATAGACTAAAAGAAATAAGGACAACTGGATAAATGAGGGTTTTTTTATTTAGTAAAATAAATTAGGTAAGAATATATATAAAAAATATTATTAGAGGGGGCTGACAAAAATCTGAAATTTTTTTTAAAAACATTTTTTGAACATTTTTGATAAAGCTTTTTAGGTGAAAATTTTTTTTTTTAATCGAGAAAAAAATTTTTTTGTCAACCCCCTTAATAAATTATATAAATAGACACTTAAATTTGCCCAATGAGAAGATTTATATAAATATAAAAATATTTTTTTTAATAATTATTATTTTTTATTTCTGCCCAAACATTTCCATTTTTACTTAATTATTAATTAAAGTTTTTAAGTAGGAAATTTGATTGTATAGAATTAATTTAATTTTTTTTGTAATTTTAATTGACTTTTTTCTCTATTGATCGTAGAAGTTGTTTTTAATGAAAAAATTTTTTGACAAAAAAATCGAAGAAAAAATTATAATAGAGATTTTCGAGTCAACTTCTTGATCAAAAAAATATATTAATTAATTAATTAAATTTTTTTGTAATTTTTTTTCTCCCAAAAAATTTATTATAGAGCCAGTAGTAGTCTTATATAAATCGTACAAACATCTTTAATTTTAATTGACTAAAAATAAATTTTTTTTAAATAAAATTTTATTAAAAAACATTTTTTTAATTTAAATTTAAAATATTTATCATATTTATTTACTCTCTTCAATTAAATTTTTAAAAATTTTTTAGAAATTTTTTTTCTGTAAAGAAAATGGCAATTGATATTTCAAAAATGCATCCGTATAATAGCCCGGTAATTATTTTTATTTTTTTTTTTAATTTTTTTATTTTTTCTAAGGTAAGCCCTTCACTTTTTCCTCATTTGACAATTGTTCTGTTTGGAATTGGTTTGATTTCGACTGCCTACTTTTTTGTTAATGGAGTAGGTTTTTTTGTTAGTCTTAATTGTAGTTGAAGCTCTATAACGACACTTCTTAAGCTTGAATTTTTTTTGAAGTAGAGGAGGGCATCGTTATAAAGAGGCTTCGCTCCCCCCTTTTCGAAAACATCTCTAGGATATGTCACAATTCTCTAGTTTTTGGGTTTTTAAATTAGAAATGAGAGGAATATATGGGCAAGGGTGTACCGGTTTTTTCGTTTTTTGCCGAATTTCACTTTGGTTACCGTTTTTCGATTTTTAACCTCAATTTCGACAGACCCTTGTACATTTTTTAAAATTAATTATTTAAAGGTAACTAGCACAAAAAAGACTCGAAGTATAATCAAAGAATTGGTTATTGCTTTAATTGCATCTGGCTTTTTGGGGTTTGGAGCTCTTTTTCTGATGCTTTGGGTTGGGATTAATATATAAATTAAAGAAATTAAGAAAATTGTTGCAATAAAATTAATGGAAAAATTACCTATATAAAAAATATACACCTTGTTGTTTAACTTAAATAAATAGTAAAGGGAAGCTTCAACAATTTGTTAAATATAATATAAACCAGTCAAGAGCTAAATTTTTGATTCTCTGGAATTTTAACTGGCTAGAATTTTTAAAAATTGAAAAGCCAACGGGGGTTAAAACTAGGCATTTCTAGGCAGTTCCTCTTCGATTGGAGGAGTATCTGAAAGGGACTAATAACTGACGGAGACAACTCTTAATTAATTATTGCCGGAGAGAGAGGGATCAAAGCTCTTATTTCCTACTTGCCTTGTTGGAAATACCTACCCTTTTTTCCTACCCTTTTCCTGCCAAACTCTTGTTGTTTAACTCATCATTACTTAAATTAATAATTTTATAAAATAACATTTTTTATTAATTTAAAATTTATCAGTTTATATTTTAAAGAAATAATTAGGTACATAAAAGAAAATATATTACATAATTAAATATCAAACCAAAATTTTTTTAAACAAAGTTTTTTTGTTGGCTTTACCTCCCTGAGAATAATGCCTGTGTCAGTGTGTATGTAATTGAGGTGTGAGGAAAATAAATGAAAGAAAAATATGAAAATTTTTAAAAATAAAATTGAAAGATTCTTAATTTTGTGTAGGATATGTGGAGAAAAAAAATATTTTTTGGAAAATAATGAGTAAATAATTATCAAATAATTAGAAGAGAAAATAAAGGAAAGAAATATCATTATGTAATACATAGTAGAAGAAAAATATTTAATATCGTTTTTGGAATGTATAAAAATAAATATTTTTGTTAAACGATTAAACCTCGTTATAAGATGGAACTAAAAGATCATAACTTGGAACACTTGGAACTAAAAAAATCATAACTTTATAATAAGTTTCATCTTAAAGTTGGGGGTATCGGTTAGACGGCACACCCCCCCCCCCCCCACCCACCCAGTGGCTAAACCAGACTTAAGGAGGGAGTATTTTGTAATTTATGAAAAAATCACAATTTGTGTTTTCCGGAAAGTTTTCTCACCTTTTTTTTACCCAGGTTTTATCTTATAGCGAGGTTAGACTATGTATAAAAATGAGTAAAAATATTAGGAGAGGTCAATATTTAAAAATAGCTAGCGAGGTCAATCAACTTTTTAATTTAAATAATCAAGTCCTCTAAAATAATTTTTAAAATATTCTAACCATAAAATAAACTACAAATATGGCATCCTTTTTAAAAAATGTTTTTTAGTCACGTTGCAAAACACTTCCGTCTAAATAGATTTTTTAGGTGAAATGTTGTTTCGTTAATTGTCATTCTTTTAGGTAGAATAATATTCTGAAATTGTAATAAAGTTTTAGGTTTTATATTTTTACAAATTGTAATTTCAATAAATGGGGGAAATTACAACCGGAAATAATCAGAATTTGTAATAATCAGAATTTGTATTTCCCAGAAAAAAATCAGAATTTGTAAATTCTGAAAGGAATCAGAATTTGTATTTTACATTTTCCGGAAAACACAAATCAGAATTTGTATTTTCCGGAAAGTTTAATTTTAATTTATTCCACCTTATTTTTTCTCACCTTTTCAACAATGTTCGAAACTTGTTCTGTTTTAATTTTAATATCCTCTTCTTTTGTTTTAACAATTCTCCTCCTGTCACGCAATATTCTTGCTCTTACTTTACTAGTTTTAAAAGTCGATTGTTGTTGATTTTTAATATTTTTAGTTTTCAACATTTCGTTTCTAGCCCAATCAATTGTTCTCGAGTCAATACAGTCACTTACTGTAAATTTTAATTTTTAAAAATTTTTCCCAATTTTTAAAGACAAACCAGAAGGAAAATGAACAAGTGGGCGAAACTCGAAACACGAAATTTTGACATTATTTTCTTCCAACAATTTTTTCCCATTCTGTTTATTATTGTTGTCATTGTGGGCACACCGAATATGATCTCTCAGAGTCCCCACTTTGGAAAAACGGAGAGAACATCCCTCAAACAAACATTTATGAGGGCGAGACTTTGGGGCATGTCTGACAACTAAATGGTTAAGTAACCAATCTAGCTTCTTTTGGGCATCCCCGCGACGAGGAAATTGTTCACATTTACGCCTTTAAAAAATATTTTTTTTTGAAAAATTAAAAAAAATTTTTTTCTACCATTGACAACGAAAACGCTCTTTTGTGTTTTCTATAGAAATAAAACTTCCACATCTTCGCCGCTTAATCCCACCACTCTTTTGTTGTTTTTCAATTTCGCGTTGTTCAGCAAGAACCCATTTTGTTAGGGTATCAATATGTGCCTAGAAATTAAAATAAATTAATTCTGGTTTTTGTATTTTTCAGGAATTCTGGTTTTTATATTTCTAGAAATTCTGGTATTTGTATTTTCTTGTTATTCTGGTTTTTGTATTTTTGATATTCTGATTTTTGTGTTTTCTGAAATTCTGGTTTTTGTTTTTCTAAAATTCTGATTTTTATATTTATTGATATTCTGATTTTTGTGTTTTTGAAATTCTGGTTTTTGTATTTTCTGAAATTCTGGTATTTGTATTTTCTCGTTATTCTGATAAATTAAATAAATATTCACCGAAATTATATGATCATATAGCCCATCCTCGTCACAAAACATTTCTTTACAATTAACCCATCGACAAGGAACCTTCCCATTTTTATGTTTTTGTAAATTTTGTTGGTTACATTGGTCATTATCTTCTTCCTCAATTAAATCCTCTTTTTTATCTAAATTTATTTGGGTATCATCACAAGAAGAAATTATACTTTCTTCATATTTATTTATTCCAATCTCCTCTTCTTCTTCTTCTTCTTCTAAAGGAATTGAAGAATCATTGTTATTATTTGACGAAGAACACGGAAAGTCTAATGAAGAGGTTGATGTGTTGTCCTCTTCTTTTTCTTCGTTGATTTCTGTTGTTTTTGTGTTTTCCTGAAATTTAAAATAAATATTCTGATTTTTGTATTTTTTGTTAAATAATAATTCTGGTCTTTGTATTTTTATTTAATAATGATTCTGATTTTTTGTATTTTTTAAAATTCTGATTTTTGTGTTTTATTTTTCAATTTTTGTATTTTCTTCTGACATTTCCCGGTTTTTGTATTTTATTTTTAAAAATTCTGATTTTTGTATTTCAGTTTTATTTTAATAAAAATCACCGTTAAATTTTCAACATCCTCAACAGGAAATATTTCAATCTCATTTTGTATCGACCTTTTTTCTTCTTCTTTTTCGGCTTCTTTTTTATCTTCCTTAATAAATTCATTTTGGTTATCTAATTCATTTTTATCATATTCAATAATTATAATCTCTTGTTCTTGAGAACTTGAAGAATTAGAGGAAGAAAAACAAGACTGTTCTGATTGTTTATTTGGTGTATTTTCGAATATTCTGGTTTCTGTTTTCTCCTAAAATTTTGTATTTATTTATTTTTAAATTAATTTTTAGTTTAGTTAAAATAAAAATTCTTTAAAAATTCACTTTTAAATTTTCAAGAAGCTTTTGTTCATCAGAAAATATTTCTCCGTTATTTACACTCTGCCATTCACCCACCCCATTTTTAGATTGAAAATCTTCTTTATTCTTCCTAAATTCCTTTAAAATTAATATTTCAGCGTCTAAAGAACACGAAGAATCATCAGGCGATGAAGGAATACCAGAAGATGATGAACTGTCGACAGCAGATATTCCTGCTGAATTTAAAGAAACATGGGAAGGACTGGGAGAGAAATCGGCTCCAAATTGCTGTAAAAATTAAAAATAGGTTAGAGATTGTAAAAACATCATAAAATTATTAGAGAAAAACAAGTTTGAAAAATTACAACATTTAATGGTAGTTGTAATGTTATATCATAAACAAGTTGTAAAACATATTTCTATAGGGGACAAGTTTGTAAAACAATTGCACTAAAAACAAGTTGTAAAGATAACTTGTTTTAAAAAAGGTTGCAATAAAATTTTAAAAACAAGTTTGTATGAAAAACAAATTTATAAAACAAGTTTGAAAAAGCTCTAAAACAAACTTGTTTTGCAACTTGTTTTAAAAAAGGTTGTAAAATCAATTTGTAAAACATTTAAAAAAACTCACCGGAAATACAAAATTATTAAAATTCATCGGCAAAACTTCTCTAGTTGGTTGGAATTGCAGAGAATTGTTGTGTTGAGTATTAAATAATGCGGAAGGCGTTGATTGCACTTGTTGATTAGTATTTTGAGTGAAATGTTGCATAAAATTTGCTGCTGCAGCTGCTGTGAATGGGTCAAACATAGTTGGAGGTTGAGGAGGAGGACATTGTTGTTTAAAATGAGGAGAGTATTTTTGAGTCTGAAAAAAATTTTGAGATTTGTTGGAGGTCGTTGAAAATAAATTGTTTGGAGGCAGTGAAGAAAAAATTGAATTTGAGGTGGGAAATGAATGAATATTATTGTTGGAAAAAGAAGAATGTTGGAAGTTTTGTGGGAAGTTTTGTTGAATGTTTTGTTGGAAGTTTTGTGGGAAGTTTTGTTGTTGTTGTTGAGGCCTAAAAACATTGTTGTTGTTGATTAAATGTTGGTGTTGAATGATATTGTTGCATAAATATTGTTGTTGTTGCATTAAAGTTTCTTCGTAAACTATCTGAACATGTCAAGTTTTTCAGGTTTATTTTATTGTTTTATTTAAAGTTCATTTTTTTATGTTTTTATTCAAGTTTTAAAACAAGTTTTCATTCATGTTTTTATTCAAGTTTATTTTCTTGCTTTTTTAAAGTTTATTTTTCATGTTTTAATTCAAGTTTTAATGAAACACAAAAGTCCGCAACTATTATCCGCAAGTTTAAATTAAATATTTTTTATATAACCTTATTTCCATATGCGATTTCTTTGAAATACAAGTCCAGAACACTCATCTTGATAAATTTCTAAATAATATCCAAAACAGCTAGCAAAATAAAGCAAAATAAAAAATATACTACAAATAAACTATACACAAAAACTGAAATATTAAATTTTAAAAAATTAAAAAAAAATAAATTTAAAAATCAATAAATCAAAAAAAAATAATTTTAATTACGTGTAATATGTATTAATAGATTTTATTGTATAAAAAGGGAGAGCAAACAAATACTCTCATATGATAAAATAAAAAACAATTCAAAACATGTTTTAATTTTTAAAAACATTTAAAATTGTTTCAAGTTTTAAAACAAGTTTTGTATTTTATTAAAACTTGAAACAAATTGTAAAAACATTCAACTTAAAATGAACTTGTTTTTCTTGTATTAGAAAGAGAAAAACAAGTTTATTTAAAACAAGTTTTAAAACAAGTTTATTTTAAGTTTGAATGTTTTTACAATTTGTTTCGAGTTTTAATAAAATATAAAACTTGTTTCAACTTTAAAATAAACTTCCTTTAAAAATAAAATAGCTTTAAAATAAATTTTTGTTTTAATTTTGTAAAAATCTTTTATGCAAATTTAGAATATTATTTTTATTTAAATTTATAGTTACATTGAAATTAGCAATTAAATGAGAAAATCTAGCTTTAACAAATTTTGCATTATTAAAAAATTTTTTTGAAGCCTTAAAAATAAAAAATCGGACCAAAAAGACCATGAAACAAGCTACAGAAAAATAAATGAAAAACACGTGTTTAAAAGAATAATAATTGTAAAATTTAACGAACACAAACTAGCTACTAAAAAAACAAAAACAATGGAAATAGAAAATTTTATTTATAGAATTAAGAGACTAGCTTTTACAATTATTTGATAAACATTTTAATAAAGAATAAAGAATTTCTTCAAGTTTTAAAACAAACATGTTTTTCTTGTATTATAAACTTGGATTGTAAAAACTTGTTACAAATTGTAAAAAAACATTTAAATAAAATTGCTTTAAATAAACTTGTTTTAAATAAACTTGTTTTAAAGAACTTAAGTTTACAAACTTAATAAACTTGCAAAAACTTAAGAACTTAAGTTTAAACAAGAATTAAGTTTTAAGATTAAGACTTAAGTTTTTTTAAAGTTTTAACAGACACTTAAGTTTGCAAACTTTTTGGAATATGCGCGGAGAGAAAGCGTTCAATAAACACGAACATATTTATTTTATTTAATTTTTATTTTATTTATTTTTTATTTTTATTGGAAAAAAAACTTTTTAGTTAAAGAAGTAATAAATTAATTTATTTTTATAATTTAATTGGAAGCCCAATAATAAATAATTTTTATTATTGCCTTTAATAATTGGAATGGGGGAGGGCTACACGCACCACCTAGAGGGTTGTAAAGCTTATTAATTAAAAGATTTTTTTACAAAATACTTTTTTTTTAATTTTAAAGTATTCTAAAGAGTTTGTATTTAATCCTTTCAAAAAAAATTAAAAAAAATTTTTTTTGTAGTTGTAGTAACGACACGGAGAGAGACAAAATTACCGGAAATTGGATATAATTAATTATACACTCAAAAGTAACCACAAAAAAAGTTGATTAATTTTACGGATTAAAAGGAACAGACAGATTAATTTAAATGGATTTTGAGAAAATTAAAAAATTAAAAAAAATTAAAATGGTAATTGAGGGAAAGTGGGGGACTACCCGAAAAAATGTTTCAAGTTCAAGTTAAACTTGAAACTTGAGAAAATGTTTCAAGTTTAATTAAATTTTTAATTAAAACTTGAAGCTAATATTAAAAGAAGCAAACTGATTGAGGGTGATAAAATTAAATGATAAAAATTAGAAATAAATTTTAAAGAATAAATTTTAAAAAATTCTTTATTTTCTAGACGATTTTTTATTTAAATTTTCTTATAATAAAATATGTAAAATAAAAATTTATTTTCTCGTGGCAGCAATGAGGAAGAAGGTGAAGAGAGGTGAAATTGGGGAAAGACATGTGTGTGAGTGTGTTAGAGAAAGAAAGGTGTGACTTTCAATGAAAGGCAAGAAAAAATTATTTTCAGAAAATTATATTCTGAAAATTTTATAAAAAGTTATTTCTGAAGAAAAAAGGAAAAAATTTTAAGGCTTAAAAAATTTTTTTCTTAGGCCACTTCTCAACTCAAGTACAAAAAGAGTTAGAGAGAAACTTTTAATGTTTCAAGTTTCTTCAAAACTTGAAACATTTTTGTTTTACAAACTTAAAATTGAAAGAAATTAAAACTTGGATAAGTTTTACAAACTTGATACTTTTACAAACTTGATGAAAATTATTAAAACTTGAAGCAACTTGAAAATAAATGAAACTTGAGAAAATGCTTCAAGTTTAATTAATTTTTAATTAAAACTTGAAGCAAATTATTTTTAGTTTTTAAAATTGTATGAAGCGAGAAAATGGTTTTTGCATTATTTTATAGTATGTATGGGTAAAATATTAAAATAAAATTTCCATTTATTATATCTGTTGCCAATATATACTTTAAAGTTTGCAACGGGAATTTAAGCCGTAACGCGTAAAGGATTACATTTTTAAAAAAAAAGTAAAGATTAAAGAAAATGAAAAACAAGGAAAGAATTTGATATTGTGAATTATAAAAAAGAATGAAAAAAATTAATATCAAAAAAATTTTTTTAATTTAAAAAGTCTAGAAGGAGAAAATAAATTTAAAAATTAAATTATAGGGTGGTAAGTTTTAATTCAAGTTTATTTTTCTGTTTATGCTTAAACTTGAAATAAACTTAAAACTTGAATAAAAATATAAACAACAAAAATAAACTTGTTTAAATCCAAGTTTATTTTCTTGTTTCTAAGTTTTATAAATTCAAGTTTATTTTAAATTCAAGTTTAATTGTTTATTTTCAAGTTTTATATAAAACACAAAAGTCCGCAACTATTATCCGCAAATTATAATATAGCTAACAATAAGTACTTTTACTTGTGCAGTGGCCCCTATCATAATTAATTTTTATTTTCACATTTAAAAAGATAAAATTCCCTCCATCTACTATTGATCTTATGATTAAAAAATAACACCTTTTTTGGGGAAAATTTTTTTGCGGATAATAGTTGCACAAATTAATTTAATTAAATAATCAGAATTAAAATAAATGAGAAATTAACAAAAATAGACACGTTTAAAACTTTTTCCATTTTAGGTTTTGCCTTACCTTTTTAAACAGCTGCAAATTTTATTGATTAATTTAATATAGTTTGAGGTATTAAAAAAATAAACTTGAAATTAAACATAAAAAGAAAATAAAACTTTTTTACAAACTTGTTCGGCCAAGTTTATTTAAAACAAGTTTTCAGGTTTTGGAATGTTTTCAAGTTTATTTTTATGTTTTCAAGTTTTTGTTTAAATAAACTTGAAAATAAACTTGGAAATAAACTCGGAAATAAATTCAAGTTTTTAATAACAAAACTTACATAGGTTTATTTAAATAATTAAATGTTTTGTTGCAAAATTATAACTACAAATTAAATTAAAAATTATAGCTTTAATTAAAAAAGAGTTGGGAGATAATGAAGATGTGAATTAAAAATGTCTTTTTTTGTTGAGTCATTTTTGGCTTTTAATGTTTTTTAATTACAAAAAGCAAAATTTAAATAATTAAAAATCAGAAGATTAATTGAGAAAAATTAATTTTCTATTAAAAAATTTTTCTTAATTTATAAGATTAGTTTTGAAATAAATTAAAGAAATATTCAAAAATAAATTAATATTCAAGTTTATTTAATTAATATAATCAAGTTTGTTTTTCAAGTTTATTTTAAAGTTGGTTTTAAATGATTTAATTTAGAACATGTTTTTAAGTTTATTTTCAAGTTTGTTTGTTTTAAAGTTTGTTTTAGGTGTTTAAGTTCATTTCAAGTTTATTTTTAAGTTTGTTTGTTTTCAAGTTTATTTGAGTTGCTTTTATATGTTTTTAAGTTTGTTTGCCTTGTTTTGTTTCAAATTTGTTTTAAGTTTGTTTGTTTTAATGTTTTGTTCAAATTAAATATTCCATAACCTTTAATAAAGCAGAAAAAGGTTGGGAAAAGTTAAGGGTAAATGAAGGGGAAGAGAAAGATGTGTGTAGTTAGAAATGACCTCAAATCGATGGAGAGAAAAAAAATCGAATAGAAAAATGAATGCGCGAGAGGGGAAAAGCCAATAATTTTTTTATCATTTATTGATTAAAAATTTTAAATTTTTTTTAATTAAATTTATATAGGCTAGGAACGGTAGTTAAGTAGAGGAGACTATTCTGGAAGAGGGGGGGTCATTCTTGGCCTCCCAAAAAATTTTTTTCTAACAAAATTTAAAATCCTCTCCTCAGTTCAATCATTCCTCATTTCCTCCTCAAAAATAAAATTTCCAAGACTTTTATTTACAGTAGCAATGCCGCAAATGTCGCGTCGCCGTTTTAGATCGATCTAATAAATTTGGAAGGAATTCACACACACACACACACAGTTTTGTCTAAAAAGGAAAAAAATTAAAAAAGAAAACCGAAAAAAGAATTAAATATTAAAAAAATATAACGGTCGCGTCACCTCAATGACGAAGAAAAATGGAATTAATTTGTAAAATGGTAAAAGTACAAAATGGTCAGAAAGACAAAAAATGACAGAATGTTTAGTTGATTACCGTAAATCCTTTAATAACTACTCTGGGTAATTATTGTTTTGACCTTC